AAATAGCACAGGGCGGCGCGACAGGCCGAGATCGTCAATTCCGCGCAGTAGTAGCAGAAGTCCGTTTTGCTTTTGTGTATTGAAGTGGCGGACAATCTGAAGAGCAGGGGGATCCCGTAATTCCGTGTTTGTATGTCTGTGTCTCTGTGTATTTGTACCGTTGTTTTTGTCTCTGCGCCTGTATGTGCGCATGCGAATTTTTGCTAGATTTATCTGACCGGTTTTTTTTTTTTTCGAAGACCACATATATTTTAGACAGTGGCGTTAACAGCATTAGTTGTACCAATATGCAACTACAGAGAGATACCATATGAATATATATATATATATATATATATATATATATATATATATATATATATATATAGGGAGAGAAAGTGATCACTTCACCATTTACGGCAGCTGGCTGGGGTACGTACAAATTGGCTAGTATGTGACACAACGGTGTTGTCATTGTTCCTAGTGAACTGAATATAGCGATTACTGGCTACTGGCATTTTTGGGGATAGCAAAAAATAGAAGTTCCCGAAAAAGGCTTTGTAACGAGGCCCGTTTGTTAGGGTGATCGAATCCGGCTAGCGGATAGTGAGCAGACGATTCGCGGCAAAAAGCGCTGTTCCAAGTCTGATTTACTGGTTACTACATCTCGCGATCACTCGTTGTTTGTCATACGATTATGTTTTAATCTATGATTTAGCGCGAGGCACACGGCCTTAAGCGCACATAGAAACGCTAGCCATACGTGTCCATTTTTTCCTGCTATCTCTGCATCATTATCATCGTTACCGGTAGCGAATGCTCAACGAGTTACCGGTCTGGTGATTCGTAGCTATATTAGGCATCTATTGTAAATACACGCTGCTGGCGAACCCTTCGATAAACGTCCACCGCCTCCCTGATAAAATTATAGATGTCCTATCGAAAGATGATCCCGACTTTGGTTATCTAAATCATTCGTGTATATTTACTAAACATCCGATATTACCTTAACTAGTTGTTATATTATTACGACCAATTTTTCGACGCAGCTTGCCTGAGATGAATAAAAGTCAGGTATAATCGACTGAATAATAGACAACTAAAATTGTACTACATGAAGAGCACTTAACGACCGAATAGAAACTTGTAGAAGAGGGCGGACTGAGAGCAGGCTGATGATAGAGAAACTTCTGCGACCCCGCTACTGCTGTTGTTGCAATGAAGACACGCTTCGCTTTGTGACTTTGACCCAGCCTGTGACAAAGTTAAATAGTGCGTTTTCAACGGCTTTGCTATTGTGCTCGAGATTCTACCACCGTCAATGCCACTTTGTTGCCTCTAGCGTGTTTGTTTTCCTTAGCCACTGCTTTCACTTCGGCCTGATGCTGGTGCACGTGTTGTTGTTTTCCTCATTTGTCGTTTCCAATGCTGTTAACTACTACGTACTATGCATACATATCGCTTGTTCGCCACAGCCAGCTCTGGCAAATTTTCAACTTGTTTGTGTCGCACGCAGAGCGGAAACCAGGAAGCCAGACGCAGAAATACGAAGAGTAGCAGGTTCTTCGGCAGATCGTGCATATCTGCTAACGCTAGAAATAGCGACGGCGCTTGCGGTGCTGCCGCCGCAAAAGGAGTATGCCTTTTTGAGGTCCACCGCTTCTGCTGCCGTTAGGGAGACAGAAGAAACGTATTGCGTAGTTCTTGCTACAGGTGCTGTTGTTGCGATAGCTTTTTGAATCGGACGTGGACGCGAAAAGAAAAAGGAGAGAGAGAGAGAGAGAGATCTGGAGGGAAATCTGGCCTCTTTTACAGAAGTTGACGCCGCCGTTGCTACCTGCTAATGCTTCACGATTTTCAACGAAGAACAAAACAACGAATTAGCCAAAGTCGCTTTCGATAGGGAGAAAGTGTGTGCTGTTCGGGCGACCGGGCAAAACTTGTACAATTTCAACCACTTCGGCCAATCTTGGTTGGCCATATTAAAGCTAGTAGGGGCTACGGCGACGGCGACTATAACGATGACTGGCTGCAGCAGGCAAAGCGGTAAAGCTCACATTCTATCTTCGGCTCCAGCCGACAGCGGCAACAACACACCTGAGCCATAAACGCCGTGGCGACAACGGACGGAACAGGGCTCGCAGGGGCTAACGTTATGGCCGCTAGAGCTGACCAGCTATAAGAACGCAGTTGATATTCCGTTTAGCTGTGCATTACAAGATATCACTGCCACGAGTGCCCTACAGAAATGCAAACGGATAACCAGCAAATTCGCAAGTTAGTTTCATCTGTGCAGTCTCGTCTAATCCTCAGTCTTCCCTAGCACGCTTCTAGCTGCGCTGCAATAGCTGACGTACCGGTAGTCATTGTCATGCCGGTGATGACCGAACCACAAAACTATCACGACTTCCACCACTACCTGTTATAAAGGCCGAGGCAGCCAACTGCTGCTGCTATAAGCGCTCTACAAGTTCTCTGGGGCTAAAGCGAAGCGATACTGGAAGAAGGCGGACAGCCTTTTTCTGAAGAATTTACAGTTTTTCAACAACGTCAAGAACAATGATAATAGTAATAATAATATGGACCAGCAACGGCAGTTCAGTCGTCGGCTTGTCGGAGTCGGTGGATCACGCGAGTGGCCAGCCGGCCTATTCCTTAGCAGATGTTCGCTGATAACAATGAACGGCTCGAGGAAGCTGACGAATAGGGGGTGGTCCTTTGGTCTCATGGGAAGGGGAGAAACATAAAGCAGAATAACAGTATATGAATAGCAAGAAAATGAGACCGAGATCAGAGACACCCACCGCGGAAAAACGGAAACAGGCAGCCGCGGCCGTAGCAGCAACATGGATTACTATAACAATATTAATAATGACGATGGCCATTTTTTGTCTCTTTTCCGCGTTTCGATGTACTGGATCCTGCTGACGTCCTCGTGTTTCTGCTGTTATTCTTCTAAGTCTGCGATAGCCAGCGATGTCCGAAAGCTGGACAGGGAATAACATCAAACAGCGAAACTACGGCAAGTAACAACTTGGTCAGTGGCTCTTACGGTAAGGCACGATACACAGCGTGGTACAACCAGAAAAAAAGGGATCAAGAATAGATAAACCGGTTCGTTGTCAGCAATAACTTTTGTGTGACATTTGGCCTATCTATGGCGTAAACATTACCTGCGATCAGCACTCGACCCGGTCCGGTTTCTACCATAACTTCGTACATATACTCATACGTGCATTATAATGCACATACGGCTTGTGCTGCCCTAACAGGAACGAGCATTGACCGTGGCCAGGCATGTGTATCATAAGAACATTTTGCCAGCTCGTCCATTGTTGATGCTGACGGCCACCCCAGATATTCTATGCAAGTAAAGCGTACGGTGAACTCAACGATGGCAACCTGTGTGGAATAATGACCGAAAAATTCGTTTTTGTGAAGAAAGAAAAAAAGACAATTAAGGGAAAAAGGCCACAGCTGAAGTCCGAACGGGGTCTACTGTTCACGAATGCTAACGGAGCCATAAAGAAATTCTATACGTACGCAACATTTGCATTAGGAAAGGTAAACATAGAATGTGTTAGACGATTCGCAGATCGGTGTCGGCGTCGACCTGTGAAGTGAGGTACGGATGCGTTTTATTGACAGCAAATGAATCCGCTATCAGGGATGTATCTGCTTGATGTGACGGAAATTAATCACGATTTAGTCATCAGACCACCACAAAGTATACTACTGTATATTTAATCTAAAATACATAAGTAATACAAATACATGAAGACCATACGAATAATACAGAATAACTTCTAATTTACATAGGCAAAGTTCCTTAATAAACCTTGACAGCGCTGCTTGTTCTTTTTGCGACGCTGTTTATTATCAAGCCAACCAGCAAGCCCGCTCCAAATTATTATCGGTCTGCCTTATTCCTCCTTTTCGACGTACAAATATTGTTTATCTTTTTTTTTCTTTTGATTTTTCCTCTCTGAATGTAGATTTTTTTATTGAAATATTATCACATCGCCATCGCGCCGCTAGTGCCGCTGGGGATTAGTAAACCGCCGATGCCAGCTGCGGTTGCTGAAGCGGTTAGGAGCGAACTAATAATTAACTTAATCAGCAATTTCTATTATATATTAAATATGGATACAACTATAATGAACTTCTGTATGCCGTTGAGATGGCGCTTGTTGTCGGTCTTGTCTCGGGGCAAATCATCGAAAGGTAATACATCCTTCAGTTAAAAGGTAATAGACGTACTATTGGACACGTTAAAGCTACTCGGTCAAATAGGAGATCTTCTGTCATTATTGCACCTGATCCGATCTGGCCTAGTGGGCAGAAGGGTGCAATGTCTGGGTACTGTTTGACCATAGTTGATTTCCAAAGGTGTCGTAAAGCTACGAATGTCTTGTATACACAAAGGTACTTGAAGCGAATTAATTGCAGCTGACCCTGAAAAGGTCGTTCTAATGCTATTTCGTTCTACAAAAATATCAGGCAATACGTTTTGCAGGCGATTACAAACTTCGTACGGGTGATAGGTACTTCATGTTGTGTCCAATTTGGCCACGAAACGCCTCGTACGGTAATTGATGCCAATAACTATATTAGCACTAGAGTGTTATGGACATAAAAAGCCGTGGACCACATGTGGAAAAGACAGCGATATATCGGATCCAACGTCAATGGCGAAAGAATTGTTAGCGCTTGTTGCGTAAATCGCGTACGAACGTACATGACACCCTGACAGATACATGTGCTCTGAATTGGATTTGGACAATCTGAAGCTATGCGTGATGAAACGAATCTGCCGTACCTGGAAAAAGGTCGAGCACAACGAACAGTTCTCAGAAACCTCAAAATTAATTAAACCCAAGGTAGATAGCAGTCCTCACCAAAGTATCCTTGTACCGTCGCCAGCACCTTTATATTATTCGCAGCCGAAGTTTAGCTTGCTATTTACACGGCTATAGGTGTTAATGTCCTAACCATTTTTTATTGCTTATCTGTTTTTTTAGCCTTAACTGAGTCAGTCGTAGACTCAACGCAACACCCTTTTACGTTAAGTACGTTCGTAGTTCCGCCCGCAACGACGACGATAAAGTCCACGTCGGAAGTTAGTCCCAGTCAAGCAGTATACGTTCCGGACTTTCCGACCACTGGCAACGACCTAGACGCAGAAGTACTTCAGAACTCGACCGAGGCATCAACCGCCGGCGATAGCAGCGCTGCTGAAACGCAGCCAACAACGAAGCGACCCGCGCCCGTCCTCTACCGGCACGGAAAAATCCTTGAAGTCCCGCAAGCAGGACAGGATACTGCGGCGAAAAAAGTAAGCAAGCACACGCTCTATTGTACATTCCTGAAAGAGGCCTGAATATAGTGACTTTATCACATCTATTTCTTGAAACTGCAGTCGTGTTGAATTTATTAGATCAAGATTTAGAATTTTTCTCAGATCAACCGATTCGATCTATGGTTCATTGTGAGCGTTGAATTTGAGTTACAAAATCGGATCAAGCAGCTAACCCAAAAAATGTACGTTAAATGATCGAAAATCTCAGCGTCAGAAATCGTTTTCTGACGACGACGACGATGATGATGATGATGATGATTTTTCTGTTTTGATTGCGATCTCATACCGAGCTTTTACGTACTGCTTTTTATTATTTTTAGCGGGGAGCAATTGGTAAACCGTTAAATATACCAAAAAAAACGGTTTGTTGAATTTTCTGTTATCTTTTAATAGACGTAACGCAGTGTTCACGCATATATATATATATATATAATTACCGTCTTGTTGAATATGGTTTCTACTGGTTTTCACATCAGTAGATTCGAATCTAATAATGGGTAGGTTTTCAAATAACATTTCTACGGACTAAATAAAAACCGGCCAGAAGCCTGAAATACTAACAGGGTGAATAATCTGACTCAGTTATACATGAAAAATTTGCTAAAATTACCTTCGATCGTAGAAAACTCCGGCAACGCAATGGGCACTTGATTCGGCCATGGAAGCCGGGCAATTTCGTGGCAGGATGAAATTGTTAGCGAACGAGACGCCGCGAGTTCTCTGTGAGCGTTGAGTGTATAACCTGAAGCGCGCCATGTCGGCGTTTCAACGCTGCCCCGTCTGTGTCTTGGCTGGCTAGCTGGCGATACTTTTGAATGAGAACTTGAAGAACAGGTACGATGTCCAGGGAAACACCGTCTAGTGTTCGGTGGCGGACTACTATAGATGTGAATAGACGTCGTCTTCTTAAAGGTACCGCTTTCCGTGACAATATCAATTTTATTTAGTTCTGCCGTCGTTTTTAGCAGATGCCTCTTTCTTGCAATATGTTTGTTACGGTGCAAGGCGGAAACGGACTGGTCCAGATTTTTCGAACGCCCAGTATTGTACCACTGTTGCGTACTGTTTACGCGGCTTCTATTAGCAACGTGGCAGGAGAAATACATCGGCTCAGATCTCAATGTATTGCATGATGCGTGTACAATATTGTCGCAACAATCCGAGCTAAACTGTGTCAGTCCTACATAAGAAAATATGTTTACGGACAGGTGAATGCCATCTGGTCATAATGAAATTTAGCTTTTTTTTTTCCGCTTGAAACAGCGTATATACATGTCTATGCGGGTAAATTGTCGGAACGACACTCTGGTAGACAGGAATCTGTTACTATCTAAGGGACGCCATTTTGTCTGTTTTGAATTGAGCTACCTATACTGTTCGGTAGCGTAACAACGTCTAGCAAAAGTCGTACATGTTGCGTAAAGCGTAGCATAACATCATCGGTGCGGTCAATCTTCACAGCACTATACGTGTTGATAGCTTTTGAGCACATGACTGCGATGCTATAATCTTCATAATTATTTCTCGATACTGAAAACGCTACCTATTTGCTAGGACACAAAGCTTGTACTTTTCCACGGATGGTGGCTCGTTCACCGTCTTCGCTGGTCGCTGAAGTAACCCAGCGACGTTACTGTCTTTGAAAGTAATTTTTGAGAAGAAAATCTTCTGTATCCTGCTTAGATATGAATTGCAGGTGATATCGCGTGCGTCGGGCGATTGATCGCCGGATTTAGTTTGATCAATACTTCGCAATGTCGAAACGCCCTGCCTGTAGAGCAAGCTATGAGTACATTTTCAATAATAAAACAAACCGGTTTGGGAAAAAGCGATTTGAATCCAGAGTCTCAAGCCTCATTATACATATATTGGCTTAAACCGCCATTAGTTCGTTCGCCGAGTGCTGGAATAGCACTTGAATTGAGCGGAGAAGCCCTTCCATTAAAGCGCTGCTTTTATAAAACAATTGATTTCAATGAAACTTTATCGTCCATCTGATGGAATGCCCCACGGTGATAGCAGATTTAAAGCCGGAAGCACCTGGCTTTTAGCTAGTACATTTTTATCAAAAATAATTTCATGTCGGAACAAAGAAAGGACTAGATTGGAATTAGACGCATGCTTTGGACATTCAGTTCCCAGTGCTGACTGCAGTAATAGTTACGAACAGGAAAAGGTAAAGAAGTCTTTTGCTACAAACAAACGTCCTAAGACGGCCACATTTACATTTAAGGCCCGCCCCGTGCTTGATCATTCTCTGTGTTCTAAACAAATTCGCACTTGATAAATGAGAGTCTCGCTATGCCATTAACTATCAGTTATCACCATATAATGTACTTAACTTTTCCGGTACGATATGCTATAGGCCAGAAAGCGGAGAAGGCCAGGTCGAACTAGGTCGATCTTCTTTAGTCGTTCTATATTTGCAATCTTTCAGACATGACAAAGCTCGGGCAAGCAAACGATATGTTGACATGGTGTTTTCCAATGTATAGGCGCTGATGTACACGAAGACAATTTGGTAAACCCATTTCTGCTAATCACTCAGTGAAGTTGTCGATTTTTGATCATTACTGTCGTTTACATCTACATATTGGTAGACCGAAATGGGTTCGAACGGTATCGACAGGCCACTTAAGATATTTCTGTGGCGCCGACTCCTGCAAAGTTCCATTGATTTCCCGATCGCGGAAACTAGGCGACCTCGACGATCGCCTCTCGCACAGTCTGTTCGCGCCCCATAGATTTTCCCTCCGCTTCACACCGATCAGCCAATGCACACACGCGCCGGCAGTTTCAACAAAGACCGCTGTTCGTAATTCGTAGTTACCTCCTTTTAACAATAATCTTTTCAACTGTCGAAGTTGCAGCAGGAAATAAGGGTTCAATCTGCGTTTGGACAGAAATGTGGCTTTCGCTGCTGACGCGGCCATCGTTGTAGTGGCGTCAGCGACAACAACGATTCGTTACTTCGTAGCAGCGACGAGCCCCCGTCACTCCGTTGAACTTCTGCTGTTACTGCTAAATTGCCCTTTTCTATTTTCCCCACGCCGTTGACTTCGCTACTGAACCGCTGGTAATGACTGGGGTGGATTTCACTGGGAAGGCGTAGGAAATGGGACAGCGGCGCGCCCATAACGCGACAACATGGACATCCTTCATTCGCGATGACGCCGGCAACTTCGTCTACTATTGGTGTTTGTGTTACCGAAGTATTTTCTATGCAAGGCAGCGATAAGGTCGGGCCTTTAGATCTGATGTCGGTACCGTTAATTCAAGTACTGCAGCTCCTTGTGTCAGCGTTTGTGGACGCAGCAGTTTAGCGTAGGTTTACGGTAAGGTTACGCTATTCGACGAACGACGATGTTAATATCGAGAAGCTTCAGTGCTACGAGCTGATTACTAATGCAACAACCATTTTAATGCTCCTAAAATAGAACCGTTACTGCTCGTCATCGTCGTATCAACTCGTTACGGCGCAGTGCTTCCTCCACGACCCATAGGAACAGTAAATATAGTAGCACTGACGGCAGAGATAGCTCAACTGGCATCGTGGTGATCATTTCGTCCGATGCAGCAGAAATGCGTCGTTTTGTCTTGCTGTCAATCAAGCTGCGGCTTGATGTCTATAACTATTGCAGACGGCAACCAGCAACGGTACACGCAGTGATAACATCGAAGTGTGCGGTGGCGACTATTTACCCCACAGCCCCTGGCCGCCATTGCTTCATCGGAAGAGATCGCCATTGAATGAACGCTATTGTACTAGTGCAGCAGTGTTTTGCTTCATCCTGGAGCACGAAAATCGCCTATTTCTTGACTTGTTCCTTTCGAGTCCCTTTCGTCAGCTATAGACGATGCTGTTGCTACTGCAGCTGCCGGCGCTCTCAGTCGATGAACGCCGAGGTGTCTAGCCGACGCCAAAAATGTGCCTGTCGACATATATATATGTATATATATATATATATATATATATATATATATATTGGTATATGAATTGATGGAATACTTTTGCTGTCTATGCCAATTCTTTAATCATATATATGCGAATGTGAGTCTTTATGTGTGTGTTATACTTATGATAACTGATCCAGGTATATGCATGCTAATTACTAAATTTATTGCAGTTTCTAGCAGGCCACATGTTAATTAGCTGAACGGGAATAAGGAGAGAAGAAATACTGCCGAGAGTGTAGTCTCGTGACTCAGCCGTTGTCCTTTAGTGTGAAGTAGTTCTTATGTTATTTTTATTAAGTGATATATAGTATACAAGCCTATAGCAACCACGGGTAAACGCTGATTTAAGTGACACCCTCTAATAGCACAGATATCCTTTGGATGACAGAATGATTGTCTCACAGTACGCTAGTCCATATCGATATTTGATAGTTTTGATTCCATTTGCCGTTTAGTAATATGCACTGCTTCAGGAATAAAAGGGCCATACGTCCGTCAATAACGCCTGGATACGAATACATTTTTTAAACAGGTTCAAGCGTTACGACCTCATCGACTGGGCCTGTACCCAACGGAGTTAGGACCGGTATTCGAGCCTAGTAGTTCATCTGAGGAGCTCACGCCCGTGCTGCCATCGTTATCAATGGAAACATTTATGGCATTCGAGCCCATTTCTAGCTCCCCTATTGAAGCCGTCTCGATAACAACGATCAATCCTGAGGACGTTCGCCTTACGCGAACAGTAAGCACGCCACTTCCAGTCACTCAGGTACCCGTCGCTCCATCGAAAACTTCTAACGGAGTGCAAAAGACGGTAACGCTATTTGGTTTTGTTGACTTCACTACGTCACTCTCTGGCACGAAAATCATTTTCAAGCCTACAGCTACACGGCGTGCCGAAAGTCCACAGGAAATGATGGCCCCACCTGCTCCTGCATCCCAGCAAGACTTCGGACACCTGTTCAAGAGCTCATCGCTTGAATCGTTGCGGCCTACTAAACCTCTGAAACAGGAAACAACATCTGAAAAAAAATTCACCATAATTTCACCAAAGAGCATCCCGTCGGTACATCCATCGGCGACAAAAACCGACCGGTACAAGACTGGTCTTGTGAAATCCAAGTCTGGAACAACAGTCATTGATGGCGTCACGACTGAATTCACTACCCTTGTATATGGAACCTTTATACAGGGAAGCTACGCTCACGTGATTCGGAGTACGTCCTCGATTTATGTAACACCTACGAGCATTCCAGATGCATCCACCGTGACGATGATTGGATCCGAAACCTCTATAGCTTCGCTTGGCCGTCCACTGCTCGTTTCTGATGCGCACAACGAAAGCAACCTCATGAACTCGGGTAGCGTTGTAATCACTGACGCAAGCCTGAGTCAGGCGGTACCATCTGCTGTCATTATTACGGAAGGCTTCATTTTGCCGCCCGGAGCTGCTCCACCAGCTTCAAACTCGGTCGCCTCCGAAATTTCGCCCACTTCGACCTTAGTGACCGAGCCAGCATTTATTACCAGTGATTTTATCTTACCAATCGATAAATTAATTATGGACAAACTTCCGACAGAAGATGTGGTTACCTCGTCCAGCACCCTCATCGCAAAAGAAAGCGCAGAGAAAGACGATGCGTCCCGTGTTTTGTCATCAAGCCCCATCCTGAGTGCCGCCCATTTATCGATGTTATCGAAAATTCCGGCCTTCGAAGAGCCCTCACAATCAATGACGATCGAGTACGTGGCGCCAAAACGTGCTTCTGAGAGTGCGATCGCTTCTGACGTCGAGCCAACCTCAACTACAATGTTCACGACGTATACCCACTTCACCACGATGTACAACAACGGAGTCGCGAGTATTCTCAGCAATCACGAAATCCTATCCAACGTCCACACAATGATGCCGCGTCCGAGTACTTCAGAAGACATTTCTGCCCAAGAGCAAGTACCCAGTAGCAGTATAGGAGCAAGTGAAAATCTACGTCACATGATCCTAATTGTATCACCCAGCAGCTCTCTAAAAGAAGTCGCCACCGCTGACGAAAACACGAGGAGCGAGACTCCGTTGCTGCCGACCGTTGCACTCAACTCGACTTTCCTTCTGAGCACCAGTTCTGCTCCAGACTCGTCAAAATCGCCACAGGATGCTACGAAGATCGAAACACCCACAGCAGAGACGCTAACGCCTAGCGTCGATTTCAGCAGCTCCTACGATTATACCACGTACACGTATTACACCACCTTTATCCGTAAGGGTACGACATCGATTACTAGCCGAACTTCGGTAAGTGAACTTTGCAGGTTGGCTCAACTTGCTTTTAAGTTGCTTTTTTTTTCGTTCATTCGTTAATTAGTCCACTCGTGCGTAGTTCCAGTTGCAAACAACAGGACGCCTACAAAACCGATGATAATTTACTGCTATAATGTCTGAACAGACACGCGCATAAGAAGTTATATAGCAGCAGCAGCAGCAAGGAACAGCGGTTTGTCAGGTAGAGAGCAACGCAGAGCTGACGTCAAGCGGAGCCTAACTAAGCAGTCATGCGTATCCGGCGACCTAGTCGATTTTTTCGGCTGATGCCGCTATCACTGTCGCCCCATTGGTCACAAACTTAGCCAGATATTGTCGTCGAATTGACTTTTGTCGTCATACTGACCATTTGCTTTCTGAGCTGGCCTGACAACAGGCTATTTCTTCGATTGACTGAAATGAAGCTGAGCTAAATTGTCAGAGTTAACGGTACGGCGATCCATTAGCTGCGTAGCTCACTACCTTCCTTTTTCGTATCTATTTCACCTGTCTGTCTGTCTGTTTTTTCTTTTCTCGATAAATGGCAATAAAGACGTCATCGCCATTTAATTCAATATTCAAACTCTTCAATGTTTCTTGCCGCCCAAAACGGTAACAATGTCTGGCATCAGCGTCTGCTTCGCTGCTACTGGTATATTGCAGATGGCCGACAGCTGTCTGTTGAGTTTGACAGGACTGGGTGAGATCTTCAGTGTTTGTCGGAATCCCCGTTTCCAGACTCATTCCGAGTACGAGCTCATTCATGGACTGAAACACATCCGTCTAGTTCAACTGGCTAGTGTGGCAGGGGTGCGGGGTCAACTGCACGAGTTCAGATTTATGTCTGCATTGTTACTGCTATGCTTGTATCTGATGTATGTGTCTACATGTACTACTCTGCATCCATCTGCGAGTTTCTGTCTAGGCATCTATTGTTGTGCTTAATGTTAGCTCCATTGTTTATCCTTAGCTATGCTCTCTCTATTAGAATTAATAATATTATCACGAAAGTGGCGCTGGCTTATGAGGTGTATCATAACGCAGCACTGCTCTCTTCGATAAGATCAACTAGATCCATTAATACTTGGCATGCAGCGGTATATTTATCGTGTCTTATCGCGGCGTATCCTACTTGTTTGACGCGGGCCTACACGCAGGTAGAAGAAGAAGAAGCCTGTGGCCGACTTCGGCCGACGCCATTTATGCCACCATTCAGAGTTCTACGGAGGCGATCTATCTATTATTACTATTAATGGTAATCGTAAAAATGTTATTAATAGAGATTTTATAAACTATCATAAATCGATCAGAACAGCAACACTGCCAGATGTCTGTAGATCTATGATGCCAGCCTCTACTAGAGGCGTGTATCCACAGGCTTGGTACACGTTGAGGGGCCTACATCTGTAAAGCTTTACTCAGAGGAGAGCGCGGCAGCTACATTCAATCTGTTCCTTTAGCTTGCATGCTCCAGGAACGTGGCACGTTTTCTTGGTCCACAAATAATAGTAATAAAACCTAACACCCCCATCTATCAGAAAGGCAAACGGCGTCTGCCGGCTGTTGGCATAACGACTGTCCGTTGTCGCTTAACTCCTCCATCTTGTTGTGCCCAGCTTACCCTACCACACGTAGTTACATTCGTTCCTACCGCAGCCTTAACGTAATCACATCTAGTAATGCATTCGCATATGGTAGTTGTAATAAAGCTGCAGCATTGGGCAAATGTCAGACTGTCGTCGCTGCCGCTCGGGAGTCGTTGCCGAAACGAAGAAGGGGTGGCCATGACTCGTTAACCCCCAAGCAAGCCCAATGGGGCAGTAATACCGCTAGTGGTGAGCAGTCCATCTTTCTGCTTTTTTTGTTGCTGGCCCTCAAAAATTAATACAATTCTCGCAGAAGGATTAAAACAAATTAGTGTGGGTAATTGCCGGCCATCTGTACCACAATACCAGGCACAAGGTAGCAAGAAGTGTTCATCATAATACCTGCTGATACTGCTAGACTCACTAAACTATGACAGATCGATCTATAACAGTTATCGTCATAACATGACGATAAGTTGATTAATATATCTGTGTTGGAACGTCACCCAGTGCCTGATTGCCTTACTCACGTAAACCTGTCTGGTAAAGGTGTCACCGATTAAATCAAGGGTCAGTCGATAAAGACGTGTTGTACGTAAACTGAAGATTAATAACAGGCCGTCCACTCCAGGAGTAATTAAATCTCAACCAACTTCACTAATATTAGACCTTCGACTGGCCACTTGGTAAAATGCTTGCGTAAAGCCAAGCAACAACAACAACAACAATCGTAACGTGTTGGACCAGCTGCGTAACCTGAATAACTTAACGTATCCCATTGCATTGGAATGGGTATATATGCTAATTTTATGCCCTGTACGAATGTGTATGTGCTGTCATATGTTCGTGATGTTATTTGCATCTCTTTCATACGCTGACTTACTACTCGCCTAATTCAGTTACTGCCCCATTCCCTACTCCTCCGCCCTCCACTTACCTCCAATCAACCAATCCATTTTTATTGCACTGTATATTTAAATAATATTCAGCTTTGGGACCAACTCGGGATCAAAACCCAAAGTTCTGCAGACCTAACCTGTTTGGTTCAGAGCGCAAACCTTTAAAAATGTAAGAGTCCAAGCTTCAACGCGCTCGTTGGCGTTATCTCGTTGTCCAACCAGGTGGTGAGCAATCTTTATGCGGTAACGGCGCCCGCCTCTATAGAGCCGACGTCCAGTGTCCAGATAACGGAAGCCGTCACCTCGACATACTTCACTACGTACACATACTATACAACATTCTTCAGGCGTGGCTTGTCCCGTATCAGGAGTCGCGAGAAGGTGGAAACCAACCTGGTCACGATCTTCCCGGCCAGCACAATCACGGCTACCACTGAGGTAAAAATGGTCATGGAACACCTATTGCCATCAGCAGCGATCACATTCACAATATCACAGAAACAGTAGTTTACAGCACGCTTTCCGTGCCCGTCTCATTGGAGTACATGTCTAGTAGAAGCACGGAGAGCGGGCTTTGCGCACTCCTTATCTGCTAGCTTGTGGTATCTATCACAACTAGTCGATAGAAAATGCTTAGATTCCATGAGACGGTGCCCAGATTATTTACCATCATTCTATAATATATCTGTTCGGCACTTTCGGCAGTCTGCGTGGGAAAAATGAGTGGCAAATACTGATATAGGGATGAAAACATGACTTCAGAAACTTTACATACGAAACTGATTTCATACTAATATCCGATCCTGTTACTGTAATATCACAGGACGTAAAATAGCGCTTGGGAATATACGGGATTTGGGAAGGTATCTGATGCTAAGGAATCAGAAAAATGAATTTAATTGTAACTAGTAGTAATAGTAAGTTTAAAAGCTCATACCGGAATACGCTAGACCTTTTGTATAGTTACTGCGGGTACACATATGAGACATTACGACGTCTTTGCGTTCAAATATCCTCGATATACGAATTACCTAATCCACGAGTAACAATAAACACCAAACGGTTATACTTATTGGCTACCCCAAAAAGCCCTTTAAATTTACTACCGTTATGTCAAAAGAACATATTGAAACCTAGCTGTAACAGAGCTGATCCTCTATTACTGTATAGCATATATGACTGTCGCAAATACTAATAGCGATTATAATCTTAACAAAAAAACGTAGTAAGCTTTATCTAGTTTGTCAGACTAACATATTACCCGGCCATGTGGTGGCGCAGTGTATTATAAAAACATTAGCAACTCCAGCAACTTCAGTCCGGTAACAGCGGTTTGTCGAAGAAGCACGAAACAATCTCCTACTACAAGTATAACTACCGCTGTTGCATCAATACTGTCTACCTCGTCGTCGTCTCTGGTCCCGGTTTCCCCCTGGAACCTTTCCTTCATGCCCCCCCCCCCCTTCTTTTTACGGAACAAGCGAAATTTTTGCTACCGCATTAAACTGCGACATCAATGTTAGTCGGGGTAGCAGCATTAACAGCAGTGTTGACGCTGGACGGTGGTCGTTTAGCCTGGACGGCGTCAACCAGGGCTTCGCCGTTATTCTTCGACATCGTTTTGGAACGCTCGCTGGATCAGCAGAGCATTGCGTTGGGCCTATTGGTCGGCGGTCCGATCGAGCCGATCCCTTCTCATTGAGACTCGCCAGCTAGACCAATTTATGTATCGGTCAGTCGCCAATCACTGCTATCGTTGCTCTTGCAGTTCAAGTTACTGATGAAGCTGTTGTTTGGGTGAAGCCTACTGATTAGCTGACTGGCCATTTTTGTTTGCGTCTTCATCCGTCGCTCAGTTCGCCCATGTCTATAGCGATTGATTCGACACCGGAGCAGCGACGTCAATATCGGAGCCGCTCGCATCGCTTATGGACGTTGCGCGCGTCGCTTGCAGATACCGCCAGAGATGGTCAAGGTCATAGCAGCCAAGTGAATACTAACGGCGCGAAGAATTTACGTTGTCAGCGACAACTTTCCTGCTGATGACAACGTTCGACGGAACGGAACTGCAGGGCAGCGACGATGATGTAGAAGATTAACCGCAGGGAAATAACGATATAGCAGGACGGCGTACTTAAGGCAAAGCCAACGGTTTGCGTCACGCGACTAAGACCGTCGCAGCGCATAAAGCATTTATCTATTATGGGAGTGAGTCTGTCGCTGTAAACGCCGAAAGTCTCAGAAAACGACCAGAGATTAGTAGGAAGTAAGCGGTACATCGCTCGTTTTTTAGAACAGTCTGTTTAAAGGATAGTTTAAATGGTAAAGGTCGGCATAGCGCGATACAAATACTCATGTTCTGTCTGCGGGTGCCTGTTATTGCTCATTCGTCTTACCTTCGCTTGCTTTGCCCTCAATCGTATTGCTGCCAATGGATGAGTTCTTCAAATGTCTATGATAGAAGTATACATGTCGATATACGGGTGCGCACCCCCATCGACTGGACTGAGTGTGTAGCATACCTGCGGCATAGTCTTATACCCTGCCAACTTTAATTATTGGCATCGCACAACATCAATCAGCGGACTCAGCCAGAATCAAGGCACCGGGTCGTAAGCGCGCCGCTTCGCCGAAAACCGATCACGAAATTTCTACGACGCCAGACTTTGGACAATAGATTAGGGATGTGCTTGTCATCAGTGTGCCTCGCAAAAAAAAGAAACCTTAATAGCTCCAGCAAACGCCTACATTTATAGCAGCCCCTAAGCGCATTGAGCAATGCTGACAAAATCGTTTGCCCCACGAATTAAGCAAACAACACCGAAAATTATACACCTACATACAAACATACACAACACTTCACTAGCCGTTACAAAAGGTAATTAATTATTTGTAGACATAATATAGCGTAAAAACAAATTGCTATATACAATAGATTATTTGTGAAGCTATCATAGATAAAATATTTTTTTTCTTTTCTTTCGTCCCTTAGATTATTATAAGCACTTGTAGAACAACTGCGTTGTTCGTTGTTGAACGCTTGGTGTGCTATTTCTTCTGGTCGATGTCCTTAGCTGCAACTATAATTTCAGGCCCAACAATGATTGCGCCTTTATTGAATTCCATATTAACTGATCGGCGGTAGAAAATCGGTACGTGAACGATGTGTGTGTGTTTCAGAGCTGTAAAAACTAGTTAACTTTTTCTGGGTTATATTTCTAAGAGTTATTAGCAGTAGATGCAGTCCCAGTTGTGGCCTGGTGGCCAGTCACTTTTCGCTTGACAAGACCAGCTAGCGCACTGCGCGAACAACGTTGGACGTCGCTGAATCGTATTGTGATCAAGGCCACACAACTCTGTTTTGTAACGCGCCCTTCTTGCTGTTCTATTGTTCATAAATACGATTGAAACTATTATAATCGTATTGGTACTTCTTAGTTTCTCTACGCGCCGGATCTCCACCTTTCTCGCTAATTGATCAGGAGCAGAATCATGGCGCTACGAACTTCCACAGCGGATTTACTATCCACCGTAATACCGAACCCTTCAACAGAGAACAGGGCCTGTGTCAACGGCACAAACGCACACACCAATGTCTGCGACCTTTCTAAACAAGCGAGAAGCGAACGATCGCCACGTGCCGGTCAGAATTTTACGCTGGGTCGGGGCGTTGCAACAGACATTCGCGCGCCTAACGATGGTGTGCTTTGCTGACGCTGTCGTTGTTTCGAACGTTGGCAAATATCGGCGTATTCTACCGAAACCTGCGAAAATCGCATGCCGATGCGTCGTACCTCGGCCTACCATTCAACGGAAAAACCCGGTCCATTTAGTAGCTTCGAGCAGGCTATAATAGGAGATGCGTTTGTTGAGTGTCCTGCTGCTTAGAGAACTTGAGCAGGCGGCCCCGAAAGATTAAAAAAAATAACATTGCCCCTATTTAGCATGCAGTTATTATAGCTGTTATTATTTTCGTTACTGTTGTTGTTGTTGTTGTTGTTGTTGTTGCTGCTGTTGTTGTTGTAAAGTAAGATACAAAAGTACCAAATTCACATGATTTATCTGCGATACGATGGACCGAATCGAAGTGACTAGCCGTTCTGCCATTAAACGAATAGCAAAGATTCACAGATATGCGGAAATACACATACGCACGATAACGGTCACATATAAATTCATAAATTTAGCTTAAGACGACTGCCGGTGACCTCCGTCAGCGGGTGCGTCGTTCGTGTGTGTGAGTGTTTCTGTATGTGGCCAGTTTTAACGTAAACGCGGTTCTGTCGTTTGCGCGCACACAGCGGTTCAACAAATTCACAGTGATTTCAATGTATCCGATGAGTGTCCAGTGACGACCATTTGTTGGAATGATGGGACGCTTGCTACTGAATCCGTTCAGGATTTTGCCGCTCGGTAGTTTCTTTTATCGTTTAGCATTTGTTGCTTGTTAGCAATGGATATTGAAATTTTACAAATGCGCACGCGGCGGGCCAGGGACTAGGCTTCGACATTGGATGCTACGAGGATGAGAGAGAGAGAGAGAGAGAGAGAGAGATGTAAATACACAAAGGTATGAGAAAAGCTCCGTCCCTTTACGAACTATAGGCGCACGCTATAATATGAACCAATAGCAAGAACAGTGTGACCTTTATTTTGTTGTTGGCGGCAATTTTCGAAAATATTCACATGCGCAAACGGCGCACGTTGTCGTTTTTTTCTCGTCTCATTAAATTCTGAAGCGTTTTGAACAGTCAGTACACCTGTAGATATATAGCACATTCATCTATCAACAACACGAAAAAGTGGAGATTAGATTTGTTACGCCAGGAAGATAACAGACTTTTCAAACAGAAGAAAATTATCTAACAATTGCGTTCTATATGTTGCTATAACTGCTTGTCCCGCTGCTGTCTTTAGGTGCTGACTCCAATAACGATTTATAAGGACCGGTCACCCGTTGTCAGTTTCGCTAAAGTGCCTAAGGTAAGGTGTCATCAGGCGATAATAAATACCTTCGGTAGGTGATAACGTGTGGCGGCCGAAAAAGCTGTCACGTTCCATATGATTGTATATAGAGAAAAATACGGAGAAACTGACTGTTCATCTAAAACGTAAAAGTTACCTATAGAACTGTAGTAACAATAGTCAATCAAGGTGCTTGACAAATAACGGTGTAACAGAGAACTTTAATGATCTAATCTGATCCGTCTAAAGCTGAAATAGAAAGTATATTCGTTGCCCACGTGACCTGAAGACGAAAATAGCTTACTAGCCAAAAGAACACCCAGTTAGCCTTCAATTGAACCAGCAATAAATTTACCTTTTAAATGCGTGATTCTGAAGATGCATACGAGAACCGCAATCCAAATATCTCCAAAAAGAATAGGGCCATCCAAATCCAAAAGGAATATGACCAATATAATTAGCTGTACAGAGGTTTTGTTGCGGGTAATAACTCGCACTGAATCTCGAGGAGAACGATTTCGAAATCAGTCATTAGGGCAAAGCATGCGTTGACCTCAGCTGCATCTATGTGTATGTGTCCGTCCGGAGTACATGACCAGATGCGTGTGTTTCTTATATGTCCTGTCAGACGTCTAATCAGCTGTCCCATATACGACCCACTGCTTTCCACACACACACATCATCTACTAATCAGTGCAAACGTCATACGTCAATGTTTGCAGCATGCTCAGAACGTCGCCGTCATCTAATCGAAGGGGAGGTCAGAGTTGTCAACTTTGGTGTCTCTTTTGTTTCCCCCTATCCATTCCTCTTGACTTTAGTGTACGTCTTCCGCGACACGTAAAGGCAAATCTTGCATTATAATTGAGTGGTGCTACCCCGCCAAAAGAGAAGTGATGAACTCCTTTTGTCCACGGTAATTTTACAATATTTATACGGATACAGCTCGTTGATCCCACGTCAATGGCATAAGCAATGAGACGACGAACCAGCAGATCGTCAACGCAATCAACTCTGAGCTCCAGAACAACAGTAACACAGAATTGAAATCAGAAGAATACTTGTACTCTAACATCTATGTAGACGGCGCTCAAAGTGATCTGCTATGTTCCTGTCACCACGGATGCCCCGTTCGCGTCCTGCCTCTGTCCCGTGAGCGCCCACGAATGACCGCGTGTCGTCATCTTTCACGCGGACACTCCGACTGACAACGTCCCAGCCTGACAGTGATATCACACGATGACACCATGCTAAATCGCTCCATCAACTGCAAGTCACCGCCAGAACCTCTTGATAATCACATCAATAATGTTTGGCGGCCGGTGATGCTTTGGTCCTAAGTAGTCGCTTAGCTTCCCTGGACTAGCAAATCTTAACCAATTCACCCGGCAAGAGTCTGCCACTCGGTCGATCACTGGACACTTCATCCACATATAGTCGTTTATCGGCCACCATAGCAATAACGTGTCTAGTATCACCTACTCCCGCTGTCCGACCGTGTAACGAGCAAGCTGTTTATCTGCCGCCTTTTCGACGCTCGATCTTTGACGAAAGGAAATACAGACTAAGTATGGCATGTTATATTGAAAAAGATGTTCTGCATTGCCGAAAATCCCGGCGATCGGATGGCCGGGGCCTAGCCAGGCAGCAATTCACTTATCTATCGCTGTGCAAAGAAAGACGGAGCCTTCAGAGGCCAAGCAGGAATAATGCCACTAGCAAAGTCGATATGGCTGACCCGAATGCAGTTGCCCCCTTTGCTTCTATTGACGTTGACAAGTCCTGCGTCGCCAGTGAAACGCGCAGCCATCTATTGATGGCTGTGGCCGCGCTCTCTCCACGTAGTAATAGCGAATTCGAACCGTCATCCCACTAGCCGTAAATTGCTTGAGCTCGTCGAGTAGCTACCAAACGAAAGATGTCATCTAACTTTGACGACGATCGTATGGCCAGCGCTGGTGCTGCTGCTATTGCTGGCGCTGGTGGCAATGGAACATTCACCGCATTACGTCGAACATCGTTTATTCCACCGCCGCAGCTCGGATCAATTTCAACAGCAAATCAACTGCTTTTAGCCGTTCCTCACAACTGCCCCCTGCGTCTACATATAGCGGCAATGATGTACGTTTTATAGTCGAATATAGATTGTTATCAGAAAAGTGAGCGAGCGACACTGGCTTATGCCGACAATCAGTCCAATTCAGTTGGCTATCAATACTATAATGTTCATTTTCTTGACTATTCTCCCGAAACTTTGCCTTATCTCCATGTTCGCTTTGGCTAGATACGATGTGATGTTTTGGCGACATTCGTTTCGCAGGCTGGATTTAATGTTAACGGTCGTCGCCGCCGCCGCCGCCGCCGCCACGTTCAATACTGACTCAAACGCTATATGCTATGCATCTGTTAAATTGCTATTACTAATAATGACAACGATAAAAATCTCAGTTGTGCTGTACTGTACAGCAAAGCTTCAAGGGGAAATTTCACCACAATGGAAAATGGGGCTTCAACTGACTTTCTGGGCACTTCTAGTAGACTTCAAGCCTTTCAGTGAGTTCATTAGCTCGAGCAGTCAAGAGGTGGGGGCAATCTATGAGATAGAGCCAAACTATTGCCATTTCAAGTCGCTAGTCGACGCGCGAGCGTTGATGAGCGACGAAAATGACCTATGCCTATTAGTATAACCGCAAAGATAAAGAGGTACACGTATCGTCCGATGGGCCGTGAGGTGCGAGGTACACGATCTTGTAGGCTTTCCTTGAAGCCTAATGAAATAATGCTAAGCAAAGCTTGTCAAGAAGCATTATTCTTGATCTTTAACATCTGTACAACAAGTGTTCCTTGGATATACACTGTATAGTAATAACGTATTTGCGTGCAAATAAACGAATAAAGAAACGATATTCTAAATATATAGCACATTCTAATAGGTTATGAGACCAAAAGTTTAACTTGTAAGAATTGCCCCCCCCCCCACCTAAACTTCTAAGAGCACAGATAAGACGCTGGCCGTGTGGAAATATGAAAAAATTACGCATGATGTTCTATGGAACAATTGAGCAATGGCTGACATTTGTTTATCACGTTGTAGGTGTATCTGAGTACCGCCGATGAGAGCACAGAAACCAATCGCGTCGAGCCCTCCGCAATTAAGGGTAAGTTGCTTTACCATTTTTTGCTTTTACCAATGAGGACAGTCGTGCGTGTTACAGCATTTTGCATACTTGATTTCCGTCAATGAGTCTCATCGTAAGTATGTACTACAGCCACATGAGACTTTAGTAGTAGAATTCGTACCGACCTCTGTCCCTTTGCTACTTCAGTACAGGTTCGTGTATGCCTAAGATGAATCAAACGTTATAGCCAGTGTACATCATCTCCGAAATGCGTCTAACGTTACAGCTATAATAAAGTCAATTAACCATATTAGTAAACATTTTTGCCTTACGAAGCGGCGCCTCGCCCACCGGCATTACTCAACACTAGTGAACTTCAGAACAAGTTCTGAAGCTTGTTCCTGATTCAGTGCCACAACTGGTATACAGTTTTCCCGTTTTTATTTAAAATCGTTCGTTTATAATGCTTTTAATCTGTAGTGAGTAATAACTAGAACTTTGTCGCATTTCAAAGTTCTTCCGCTGTTTTCAACTAACAGAAGAAACAACTATTTCTGTTATACAATCCGACAAAAAAGAACCGCTCGTTCTATAATGATATTTGATTTTGTAAACAGCCCTATGTTTCTATGCATTAACGCTTGCGGCGATGAAAAGGACAACTTGGAAGAAACTATCGACCGGCTGGAATCACATTTGCCGCCGTAGTGTCTTATTAGCTATACCTGCTCAATCTTTTTTCCTCTCCCTTTTCTCCCAATTGGCCGCACGGTTACCGAACAGAGGTCCCCTTGCGCCGTTGATAGCGACGCTCAACGAGACCCAGCAATAGAAAATGTTGTCGGTGTATGTTTCGACGAATCTAACGACTGGACGGAAAAAAATCGCATCGCACGTAGCGTGAAGCTTCTATGAATACTTTGCGATCATTTCAAAATACACCGCCCCTAGTCTGTACAGGGCTGCCATTGAATTCTAATTTGTCTTGTGCGGGCGCTGAGGCGGCGTGGCAAAATCAGGTGCACATTAACGACTGTTTCTGTGGCCAACTGATCGTGTCTACACTCTCAAAATTGTCGGAATCGCCGATGGGCCCGGCAAAATTGTTGAGCTTCGTCCAAACCCATTTTCATTTGCCAGCCCCGTTCCTTTTCTGCCCGTATCACCTTTGTTACAGCTGTCACTGCTATCCTTGTAAGAGGCAGTTTCAACTGTATTGGCAACTGACCGTCGTTATCTTTCACGAATCAGACAAAAAAGCAGACGTAGGCCAGTCATTCGTCATCTCAGTATAAGTACGCCCGGATTTTCTGAGCAATGGATACCGTCGCTGCGACGCGCGCGCGCATATACCTGGAATCGGATAGTGAAACATATGGGGGGAACGCAGGCAAGAGACAGAAAGAAAGTGCAAGGGAGAAAAAGGTCGCATCTTCTTTAGTTGCCGGACAGAAGAAACGTTTTCCAGCCGATGATCCGCAGGCTGGTGTACCAAGAGGAGAGCGCGACTTTAAATAATGTCGGGACAAACAAAATATCGATTCGTCTATCAAAAAATAGTTTTTATCCCACAGGTGGGTGCGGATATGCAAGTACTTTGGTAAGCTTTGATCTAATATAGATCTCCTAGTTGAGCACACGGATATGTTGCCTTCGCAGATCGATTTTATATAAAGAACAATACGAAGAATTACCGTCACTGATGACGATTGCCCATTCGATTAGAATATTCTTCATCTTGGAGTTTAACGCAGTGTAACATTTGGTACCCATTATGAGGATGTCAAGAGAAAAGAAATCGGGATACAGGCATGAATCTTTGCGGAAAGAGTTCACGATATATAATTTATGACACAATATACATACCAATATAGTTGTATATTGTATGGTGTTGTTTACGTGCGGTACGATATAGATGATGATTACGTGCATGGGCGCGATTTGATGCAGAGGCCTAGCCGTCAGCACGAACGTGCTTCTCGGTAATTATATATATATATATATATATATTATGTTAATAGAGACTGGATAACATTATATGGCCATAATGCAGATATCACTATCTGTGTTGTTTTACTAAGGTTCAATAGAATACAAACGTGTGTATGTATATAATCGTTTGAATTTAATGGCCAAAACATTTTGCGTCTCTGAAAACCTTTTTTAAGTGTGTGTATATATATATATATATAGTGAAAGTAAAATATATTTGATTCAGTTATGCAATTTTTACTCACGGTCCTATTTAGGCATTATGTTGATTACCCAACAAACAGATTCGGCCACACAATGCCGGTCGTTTTCTAATTGAAATGTCGCCTAACAGTTTTCCTCTGCTGTTTTTTTTTCTTTTTTGTTTATGCTATAGCTTGAGATGTAGTATAAAGGAAATTTTCGCATCGTTATATTCTAGTTATTCATAGACTGTTTATCTACTGTCGCTATAGGCGATTTCGGATTTATCAGTTGAATTGGCTTTTGTTGAGCGCTTTATCTAACGTATTAAACATATCATGACCTCGCCGATTACGCGAACCGATACGTTTATATCGTAATTACGTCTCGCGTTTATGCCGATAGGTATATTAATTTTGTATCAAAAAATGCTGACTACGTGTGGCTACCAATACAATAAGTACCTACGAAACTGATATTGTTGGCCCCGGTCTAACGGGAACACATTCCGGCACACAAACGGCTTGCAGTTACGACGACCTTTACGTTCTTTTCAACAACAACGGATCCGCTCGGCCGAGAGCTCATCTCGACTTCGTACTCGACGCAAGAAGGGACTTTGAAGGTTGACGATACACAGGTACGTGGGACACGACGTCTACCTAACAGATAGCATATGAAAGATCCGGTTGTTTATGACCAATGGCCTATCATCCCATCTCAATGACTAGAATTCTCTATTATATATCTGGTGTATTGATATACAATGGTCTTATATAGCATCAGCAAACATATATGCATATCTTATATTGTAAAAACATTCAAAACCTAGTTAGAGAGCATTTCTACATAATGTAGTAATATTTTCTCTAAACAACACGGTCGGATTTACTTTGCCCAGTTTGATTGAGCTGGCCGACCCCTTTTGAATAGATATATTACCTGATCAGTGGACATAGACTGCCAGCTCATGTTCATGACGGATTCTACTGTTATTTAGTGAAAGTATATGCAGAATAAACTGTACCTCGTGTACACTGTTTCATCTTACGGTAATCACTCGATAATAAACGATCAAAAATAAAGGGTACTAACTAAACTAGGTAACTATTAAATTTCCGCTATAGCCTTGAACATTATGAGAATTTCGAATATATATCTTTACTGTTATCCAGTTCATTAGTAGTTAGTATATAAAACTGTGAAAAAACCAGTATAAGAATGAGAACAGGCACGAAAAATCGGAAATTGACGGGCGCAACGGATCGAGGTTAGCAATTGAGTTTGATTCACATACAAATACACACATAAAACCCTATCTTTAAAAGGACATTTACAAATAAAGGCATCGGCCGCGATTGAGCATTCGCCGATAATGTACGTACTTTCTATTGTTCTATATTGATTAACTATCACTGCGTCTTCTTTGTGCTGTTTCAGATTATGCCGACAAAGCGTCTTCGGACAGACTTCACGACCTTCACGTATTTCAGCACAACGACTCACGGGCTAGGAGACACCGAAATCAATAGTCGAACTGAGGTGCGTCGATTAATCTAAACAAAAAAAAAAAATAAATAAAAACAATCCTTAGCGAATGTGGCAGATAAAGGTTGAACCTTTTGGTAATGGGTACGCCTGTGTGCGCGTTATCTACGTCACTTTGCCATAGTGATCTAGATACTAGTGTCGGATCGGCTTTTTTTGATGCTTACATATAAAACTTTAACAGTTGCCCTATCGAGTGAATAATTTAGCTGACCCGTGTCCAATCAGACTCTATTTTAAATATCACTGTTAACTATTGCAAAAAATCAAATTTTCGGTATCTGACAAAAACCACCTCCGATTATATTTGACATCGTGAGGTACAGCTTGCGGAAATCAATTAGTTTTGTATTTGCCCGATGAGTTAATGATCAATGAACCTCTCACTCCGACTCAATAACAGGTGATAACTCGTTATGTGCCTACGGAGAACGTGTCTGCGCGCAAGAAGCGCGACATCCAGCAAAAGCTCGAAACGACTTTGACAGATCTCGTCACGACGTTCAATCAGGGACGACTAGTAATTTCCACTAGACGACAAACGCTCACCCGCGGTAATGTCGGCACTTCAAATGGTTTTTTTGCTATCAGTGTCTCGGTATAACGCACGCGTGTCGACTGGTAAAAAAAAAAAAAAAAGTAGAGGTCTTTCGCAATCGTATGTAACTTCATTCGCCAATGCCGGCTAGCGAAGTCACGCGAACATCATTTCTATTCGAAGCTGGGCGTATTTAAGGATTTGCCTTGAATAGGACGTGCATTTGACTCAGTCGGCCTGTGATTATATCGTATAACAACTATATAGACTTAGCAATATTACGTACCCAGGCTCAAGTTCGAAAAATCCTATTTCACAGCCTTGCATTCTATAGCCGTCTACTAGTCAAGTCAGCCTACGCCCTTACTTGACCAAGGGCAGTATATATACATTTTATTTCTATGTATATGTAAAATTAATATTGACATATGGCAAGAAAGTCTCGATTTTTTTCGACTCAACCCTTCCACTGCAGTTATACTGTGTGTGATCTTGTATCTCATATCTATGTGCTGGCATAGGTGACGTTCATCCCCTTCTGTCTGTAAATGTATTCCATACATAGGTACCCTGCATATCACTAACACAGTGGCGTTGCCGTCGGTGGCTACAGTGGCGCCGACAGCTGCGACGGAAGTCGTCGAGGATGTCCATATCCGGGGCCATGCCCCCCTCGATCCACGGCCTGTCGACCATACATACTACACGACATACACATATTATACGACGACACTTAACCACGGCCTACCCGTAACTCAAACGAGGTTCGTCTGCATTACACATCGAGTTCTCTAGCCGACAGTGATTACCCTCATCTGACTGTTGTTTCTATTAGTTGTAAAAACCTGATCTTGATGTTTCCATAATCGACGGACAAATATGGGCAAAAACTATTTGCTTAGCATAAGCAAATAGTTTTTACTAATCTTATTGAGCTTTGCTCAGGTTAGTGTTTTACCATCGTAATTTTAATAAAAAAAAAAGAATCGTTAACTTTTCAACTAAGACCACGGCCCAAACTACAACAAAAAGGTCAGTTCTGCTATAGGTGATTCTAGCAACATCGTTACGCACAAATTTGTTCGTAGTAATAAAAAAAATCTAAGTTTCTATTTTTCAGACTTTAACGAACTAAAAAAATGACAAAGAATAAGCTAACAGAAACGGGCTTTTTTTCTACCAATGTACCAACCAACTATGGTCGCGTCCCAGTTTTAAACGCTTACATAAATAGTTGCTAGATGAAGGTAACTGTGTGCTAAGCTGAATAAAATCGTCTTGGCCAACTTCACTCGTCCTCAAATCTTCGTCGACTTTTTGTTCACTTGGTTGTGTCTTTTTTCCTCATCTTGTCCTTTGAACACATGCTGGGCATCGTTTTCACGTCAAACGACGCCTGCCATCATCGGCACCGGCGTCATCACAGATATGAAACTGTGACGCAGGTTCAACGCATTAACGCGACATTAGGGCTTCCCGCTGCCTTGGATTACCGCGGCTCGGTTTTGTGTCAACATTGTGCAGTTAAAAACGATCTGCCCTGGGTCGTTGATGGTTACGAGAAGATAGCCCCGTCTACGATCTACGACCATGAGCATCGAGGTAATTGAGTCCGATGGCACAATAACCCAATACAAAAAACAAGTACATCATATACCATAGAATGCATTATGTTGAAGTTATATCGCCAGGAGTGGTAGCACGCGTGATAGATGAAAATAATTATCTATTGAGTTACTTTCTAAAGTCGGTCTTGCCTAATGTGCACGCGATAATAAATTCTTTATGATAATAATAACAATCATGGATCAGTCAACTGAAATCGCGGCTTTGTACCTAGTGGACTGTGAATTCTATCCCGACGCAGCTGATGGCAGCAGTCACAATTGTATTGATCTGTGTTCACAACTAAATGTACCTGTGTAATCGTTTAGTAAATTAGGTTAAAACGCGCATCTCCCAATTCAATCAACAGGCACAAAGCCTAAGCGAGTCCGCGCACTCGTTGCCGGTTTCTGTTTTGTGCTTTCCTATTGCGGACTACCAAACAGACGACCGCTAACGCTTGAAGCGCTCGCATTTTTCTATTTGCTACTATTAATTTATGCATGTTCTTTGTGCAGCTATCTAACGTAAGTTATGCCGTCTTCAGAATGTCTTTGCGGTTGCTGTCATAGTTTATGTCATTGTCGCCTGGCTACCTCGTAACGGATCTGACAGTTTGACGTGTATCTTTCACATAACGCTCCTGCTCAACAGAAGAAGCTGCGAGAGCTCATTGGCCGTTAGGCTCAGATGTCCAGGTTTTATTGGCTATTTGTGCCAGTTCCTGGACTACTGCTGTTCACGTTACGCAATAACTATCATCAAGGCATCCTTAACTTCTTTATTTCCATTGAGCATTCAGAGCAGTTGACAACAGGCCATTATCAAAGAATTTATTAGATAGAGTGACAGCTTCGGGCGACAAACAGTTCGGGTCTCTTCACTTTATTTGTGTGCAGACATCATTGTTCATGAATCACCCTTCATGCTTAATAGACGCTGTCGGCTCTGAAGCGACGGGAAGGGACTGGACAGAGACAACTGTAGTAATAAATAGACAACGGGATAGCGTCAATGCTGCTTTATTGTTTATAGTCCGTAATGCTGCTAGTTAAACGAACGCGCCCGGCTGTACCGTTATGACGCGAACACAGAAGCTTTCGAAAAATTACTTGTCCAAGGCAAGAGGCCGCAGACCAGCAGAAGCGATATTATGTAACTATCCTATTGCTAATGACATATATATACGTACTATATAAGTCTTTTACATTTATCCAAAGGAAAGGAGGCTCGTAAGTTGGCACACGAAAATTGAAAATAGGTTCTAACCTACGTTTGGCGGGTGTCAATGTCTCACTTGATCCAAGATCTGAGGTTGTATCTGTCTTCCATAAACAATTGAGCCAAGTAAATGTGGCGTATGTGCGGCGTACCGAATTGAAAATGAAGTAGTTTTCTGGTCATACTTTTTTCTAGTACTGTTCGACGCATTTTGGGGCTTTCAGATGGTGGGCATCACACAGCGTATTCGACATTGACCTTCTACACGACCCATTATCCTAGGGGAACATCTTACGTCGAAACCCATTACAGCGTCGTCACGAATGTTGCTACTACCACGGTAAAATTCAGTTCAAACCTGTCCATTGATTTTATGCCAGAGGCGGAAGGACGTTACCTTAGTTCTATGGTCAAGAATATTAACGTGATAGTAATAAACATTAATCTACATTAAAAACTAAAGACTATTATAAAGTAACAGAAGCTAGATCCAAAGCAACTGGTGACATTTTTTCCTCTGAGCTTCAATAACACGTGATTGCTATAATACATTACAGGTAACCCATTATATGCCAGGACTTCAAGGCCCTGTCGCACCCTGCGCTAACCACCATCATACCACATTCACCTATTTCACAACAAGGTAACACCCATATTATAACGATAGCACTGCTAAGTTACAGCGTTGAATTTTTCATAATCTACTCTTCTTGATGATCGAGGAGGACGCTTGATCAACTCTTCATGCTTTAGTCAGCCAACATGTCTGGCTAAAGTAACTCGGGCGAAGGACCGCGACCGATTGTGCGAAAATCAGGAAAGGCACAGATAGAAAAACGTAATTCGAAAGGTGGATCTAGAATTCGCTGGAAATATTCGCTGAGGAAGCATGGCCCGACTTCAATTCATTGTCGCTAAGATATCTACACTAAGCAGCGTTCGTTTCTAACGTAGACATTTCTCGTTGATCAATGGCCGATTTTTAGTAGAGTGCGGTAACGTGTGGATTATAATTGCCATTATAATTCATTCAGGTACTCTGGTCCGACGGCGACGGTCGATGTCCAGAAAGAAACCGTCACCAAATGTAACGAGCCCCCCGTGGTCGCCACAAGGTAAATCCGTGTTCCCTTTGTGAACGCCGCTAGCGAATCGCTCCCTTCCATTTGTCCCTGACTAATCTATCACTGTTTTTTAAACAATTTTTTGCTATTTTACTGTACGACTAAGTCTGCCAAATCATTTATATATACATGTTGACACAATATCAAACTTAACCAAATTACAGGTTATTTCAGGCGCCATTTTGTAGGTTTGGTCCTTACTACACGTTTGCAGCGTTAGCATCATTTTACGCATCGATAACGGTGGGCTTGTAAGTAAGACGAGCGCTTAAGGGGGTACTAATCATTGTGGTTACGAAGAGATCGTATCGCACAAAGTAAACGAGCCGCGACGACAATTTCGAAAAAAGAAGTTCCCTGCAATTGTAAATGCATTGCCATTTGTCGGAATTTTCTAACGAGACGATGTTGTTATGGGATTTAGAAATTTTAAGCTAGGCTCGCGCTAGTCGATACGTCCCTGTACAAGTAGCAGCAGCAAGAAGGACACTTGTGAAGGAACGTATTTTATTTGATAACATTTTACACGTACGGTGTAAGCGACATAATCATGGAGCATGCATAAATCTACTTGAAGGCTTAGCAAATGTGACTATCTTTCTAAATACATTTTCGTAGAACGAACTAACTTCTATAACTGAAGCATCGTCATTATTGACACCGTAGATAGCCATGAGAAATTTCTAACTTAGCCGTTCTTGCTTTCGAAACAATACTCATCCCTCACGATCGATTTGACGCACATACATAGACGTCTCGTCAACGTTAGATACTGTCGACGCTGGAGTACTCTCCAGCTTTCTTCACGTAACTGTATATAAATAAAGGCGCACGCAGCTATGTGATTCAAACGAAAAAAAATCCGATTTCTCATGTGAAGGAAAGCTCGTAGATGCTTTCCTTTATCAGTCCTCCGATAATTAGACAACCCCTCAGTGACCCCTCAGTAAGCAGGTAGGTACAGTGCAGACTATGGTCATTGATTGCCGTCGCCAGCTACTCCGACTACCAGTTTTCTGTCGCGTTGTGTAAGTCGTATTCTGCAGGGTTGACACAGGGCCGGTTTCTGTATGCTGGTATACGCAGCAACGCAAATGATATAAAATGCTACTAATGGAGTCTTTGTACTCGTGGTAGAGGCTTTGAGGTATTTTGTTATCGGTGGGGTGGCTAGGAAGCCGATCAGCCGTAGGCATCATTAGCTTGGTATTCCAGCCGATCATCATGAAGAAGAGCCCGCCGGCACACGGGTTCGGCACCAGTCAATTGCCAGTTTATTCCCGTTGTCAGGGCTGTTCCTGTAATTGTTGTTGTTCTTCTAACCGTGTCGTATATAGAGTCGTCGGCACAAAGCCGCTAGTTAGTCCTTGGTTGTTCGTCCCTTTCGCAAATGAGCGCTGAACGGAAAACGCCCCTTTGAGATGATACCGTTGATTCTAGGTGCAGGGTATGTGGTGACTTTAGGTTAGAATTTCTTCGGCAATAGCCCTATGTGCTGCTCAGCTCGTCCACTTCAGAAAGCTCCGAAGTTGGCCGGACAAGAAGTGACATGCTTACGCCAAGGAGCGATAAATGCCCGAGTAGAACTGACAGTATCGCCAGAAGATTTTGTTCGTCACCTTTTACTTGAATCTGAATTGTATCTTTGTGCATTCACCGAAATTGTTGATCAGCTGACAGAAAGGTTGTCAGAGCATTTGGCAATGGTTGCTCTGAACTGTAATAGAATCCCGATGTTCGATGGGAGGCCTCCCTGTAAAAAGCCGGAAGTTGTTTTAGCTATAGTACACACTGGGCGACGGTGATTGACAAACATCGACGTTCATCTGCGTGTCGAGGAGGGTCAGATTTTGCCCAAGATCTTTGTCCATGCTTTTCCAAATGGTCATTAGTGGGGCATAAAACCGATGAAAATATATGCCAATGTTAATAAGCTGGTTTTCTTTAAAGACAGAGTCTGTATCTTTGGCAATTAACGATACGAACAGGTCAGAGACAAGAGTTAAGGTCTCTCAAATGTACAAGACGATACAGCTCTCATGTTCGCATTTTGTTGTTGTTGTTTTTGTTGTCAGACTTGCGCCCGTAACAACGTATGTCCGATAATATCAAATGTCGATTTTTACGTTTTCGTTGATCGCTTTGCCTTTGTTTTATTAACGTTAAGTTACGCTCGTAATTTTCAAGACGTAAACAGCGAACGCCTACGACGATTCTCACTTGAGACCGAGTGTTTGTGTCAAATATCCCTAGAAATTATGATATTTTCAAAAATAAAAAAAATGATGGATGATATAAGACTTTCGAAACACATTACTAAACGCCGTTGTCTTCAGTTTTAAATTGGGGAAATCACATAAACATACCTTGAAGAATCGACCTCAACGTGTGTAGGTCGCTCCTGGTCTCGATAATAATACTGTATAGGAGCTAGCGTTAATTTTGATTGGTACACTTATGCCATTGCCAGAAATGACGAATATATTAAACAGCCAATTTACATAACGGTACACAGAATTTTTGAAAAATAAATGAACAATTTCCATCAATCGTGTCCAGTGGAAATTCTTGAAAATCAAAATTTTACTATCATAGGTTGACGCCGCAGTCTCAAGGCCGTTTGCCTATTTTGCTTCGTGACTTAATAGGTATTATATTGTTTCATCTTAGCAGAAATCCTATAACCTTGTCGCCTGTTTGCAACAGGAGGTATAGCAAGACGGAAATCGACAAATGTCCTATCGTCTTTCCGTAAAGGTGTGAATTTTAGCCATCTGAAATGGACCATATAATCGCTTAACTGAGTAAATATTCAGCGGCCTCACGTGTGTGTCAGCCAGACCCAGCAAGTCACCCTGTATTCGTACTCGGTTGTGTAATACACACGTGATATCCAATATACACATTGTATATATATATATCTCCCTTAATTTTACAGAACGGTTCTGGCCCATGCCGTAGCTGAAGCGAGTCAGCCAGTGACTCATGATGTTCATTCCGTCCACAGCGGAGTACGTGAAGACCATCAAGATCATATCCATAGGCCTTGCACCGTCTGCCTGCCCGATTATGGCCTCAAAACATATTATACGACCCACACACACTTCACTACAGTGCTCGATAAGCACGGACATCCTTCAGTGTCGACGAGGTAAATTAAATCAAAAAAAGATGCGAAGCAAAAGGTAGGAGCTCGTACAGCCCAGTATCAGACAGGCACGCAACGGTATCTGGCTAGCCGTACACATTTCACAGTCCCTGTCTGTATCGGTTACCGCTGTTGCACAAATGAAAGCGCGCTAGTTCCCTAATGCGACAAGGCTGAAACGACAGCAATATAGCTAGATAGGTCGCATTTCGTCCTAAGGGCAACACTAATATAGGCTCCAATGTCTCTATTTCCTCTAGATATGAAACGTACAGCGACATTTTTGCCGGAGTTCGCCCAACGAGGACTCGCTATGTTCGCCAGGCAACTAGTGGTAAGTCGATAAATCGTCGAAATTTTTTGATAAGCTGGAATAGGTAATCGTCCTCGGTAGCATTATTGAGTAACAGTTTTTATGTCGAGCTAAACAACTGCGACTAGAATGCACGTATGTCTCTCACACCTTGAAGCCTGTTTCCAATTAACCATTGGCATCACTAGAACGTCTCATGTTAGATCCTGATACAGTATCTGGAACGAGCTACTGATATGGAACAAACGCTCTCATTTTGTAGTGTTTTAACTATTTCGTTATACGAACTGTTTGAAAGAAACTTGAAGTTAGAAAGTAAGTAATCTGAGCGCTGTATGTTATTCAGTCGGGTTGCCAAGATCAGTAGATAGGTACGTATTGTGATTCCTGTCCGTCCAATAATCTGGCTTTTTTTCCCCCCAAATATTATGCTTAATTTAACATTGGGCTAAATCTGTTGGTGATTTAAATAGTAATCTATTTGTACTTCTGCAGTTTACACTGACCTGTTACATTTTCGTCGAATATATATATCGCCTCTCTGTTTCAAGTATATTGAGAATAGCGTAACCTATCCATATCGTTTCGTTTTCTTAGCTTTTTTTTTGTCCAAAAATCACTTTACATAAAAATACTGCTTGATCTGCATGACGTTCCTGGCGCATATTTGCTCACTTGTTGTAGGCTGATCCTGCTTGATGCTAATCCAAATAAGAAAATACTCTCAGGTACTCTATATATGTTTAACAAGTTGTTTGACTACGTGAAAGAATCTGCTAGCATATTAGCAGTTATGATAACCGATATGATCTTAAGCAATCGCATGCGCTCTATTTTATAGACATGTTTATTTATATCAGTCATAGCTCTACTGCCGCTGCTGCTGCTGCCGCTGCTGCTGCCGCTACTATTACTCCTGCTGCTGCTGCTGCGGCTGCTGTTGCTGCTGCTGCTGCGGTTGCTGCTGCTGCTGCTGCCGCTGCTGCTGCCGCTACTACTACTCCTGCTGCTGCTGCTGCTGCTGCTGCTGCTGCTGCGGCTGCGGCTGCTGCTGCTGCTACCCTGTATATGTGTTCAGTGTATACAGTTACTAACTTCACCGTAAAAGTTTATTTTTTAGTGTTTCTAATGTACGCCCGTTTGTGTATGTAACGCTACTGTTTGGTATGAATTGTGAATTTTTTCAGTCACTCGTGTTTTTTTTTAACTGTGCACTATTTTCATCTGTTCGAACGTTACTGGTCGGCACCTGGTAGCTAGCAAATTGAATCAGTCCTGGTGGCCCTTAGTTATGCGGGCTTCAAGTAACCTAGGGGCATTAACTATTATTTAAGTGAGTCGTCACCTAGTGATGAAAAGATCTCATATGATGAATCAGTAAAAATGGTTAATATCTTGATGTACGTGGTGCGCCACTAACGGTTCTTGTTGTAGCGCAAACGAACAAACAACGACCAGTAACACACAATTACTAATGCATCTATACACTATTGATAGTGCTAACGGAACATTTGAAGTGCCTGCCATATTCCGCTTCACCTAAAACTTTTTTTCCATGAAAAATGTTTCCTTTCATGTCCTAATTGTCTTTTCCCTGTACTTCGTTGTTGTCGTTGTTTCCTGCATCTTGCAGTCGTGTCTCGCTAAGCTTTCCTATACGTATTCCCGTGCTGTGCTTTCAAAGTCGGTCAAATTTTAACAAGCAATAACGTCAGTTTTATTTTTAATGTGCTGGGGTAATTTTTTTTACTCCTGTGCCAGCAAATGACTCATGCCAAACCAACTGACTACGGAACGTTACTCGCAGTTGAGTGCTTATCGCACCCCTACGACAAATGATATAGGTGTGCTCCTATCCAAGATAGATCGATAACTATCTCGAGAAAATGGAAAAGGTGTACTCAAGATAAGCCGAATGTCTAGTCGTCAATAAATGGCGACAACTTAGAGTTCTTTCTTGTGTAGGGTTGTCAGTAGTTCGTAGTGTCATTTGCGAGACAGGTCACTGGTCTTTCCTGGTCCGTCCCGTTGTCCCGTCACTCATCTTATCTGTCAATATACACAAATATGTTGAGCAGTTGTTGTTGTCGTCACACAACAATCAACAACTATTATCGTCACTGTCATTCAATATACGCGCTGTGTCATCAGATCACCGCAACCCGCACAGATTATTCTAATGAATTGGTAAACACCTGGAAGTAATAATCGTTTCATTTTATCTGTTGTTGTTGTTGTTGTTGTTGTTGTTGCTTTTTGTATTTTCGTTTTACAAAGGAAAATGTTGTGTCTGTTCTGTACTCTAACCTGGTCCTCGCTGTCCTAATCTTTCCTCCACCACCAGCTACCTTTATGATGGCGTCCGTAATTAGTGGCAATCATGACTAGACTCGTGTGCAATGTAAACTTTTTAATTCGAGTAATAATGACATTCTGGTTTCGCCTAGCTATTGAAAATTCATCAAGAAGAAAACAAGATTTTCAACTAAAATATATAGCATTAGACCGGCCTGGCAAAAACAGATGGAGTTATTACGGCGGAATAACTGCGTGTTAACGTTGCGAGACATTTTCTGCGTGTTTCTACCGCTAAGTTTGTCGTATTCTGGTCACTGGCAGCTTTCGCCATAGAATAGTCCCTAGTAAAGAACAGATTTTTTAGCACTTTAAAGAAATTATTCCGTTTTTGGCTATACACACAGAGAGCTTCTCACAGAAATATACAACACTAGTAGAAGTGACTGATCCTATTTCTTCGTATCCATTCCTATAGCTTTGCTTTTTTTACGTTTGCAAAATACATGTCTCCAAATGAGCCATACCCCGATCATTTTTAGATCACACATACTCGATTCGATGGGACTGATAGAAGAAAGTTTACGATCTGCCGAACGTAAAAACTATATCGTTTGAGATTCACACGGTAGTAACCGATTAACTTGGACGTATTTTCCCTATCAATTGGCGTTCGTCTTTTTATTACGGTGCAATTTGAAACAGATACGTGAGACACGGCTAGCAAATGCTTTTTCTTTTCCTTCTAGCACGTCCAGCTGTTTACCGTGTGTATATATATATATATATATATATATATATTATATATATGTATATATATGTATATATAAAATCGTGTCTTTTGTTTCGCTTTGTCCAAAAACGACCAGTTTTCAAAATGCGGATTTTCAATTTGTCGGTGGTCTAAGTAATAGTAGCTACGTAACATCATGCAGTTAAAATGTCACATTAATAAATCTTCATTTTTTATCAAAATGCTTAGTTAGTCTTGCGTTTTGGGAAACTAGAAAATATAAACGTTAGGTAGCGATTCTCTACCTAACTCCAACCTACAGAGATGACTGGTAATATTTTTATAGCGATGCTATATAGCAGCAGCAGCAGCAGCAGCAGCAGCGCGACCTCTTCCAGCACCATTACATTGTTGTTTTTTTCAAGTCTTCCGTGTTTTGCGGCAAAGAATAATATATGCAGCTCACGTAGCCTTTGCGCGTGCTCTTGCGCCAACATTTTTGTAAGACGTTTTCCATAAACTAAAGACTTGACAACAAGTCAAGGAAATGATTTAGCGGATGTTAGCCCCCTAAAAACAATGAATTTCAAATTTTCTGAATCCTATAAATAGCAAATTCGTTTTGTAGTCTGCGCAGACATTGATTCAGACGGAAGTTATTCGTACCTACCATGTATAATATGCAAGGATGGAATAAACGACAAGAAGTTGCTTTTCTAAAGTGCTACGAGAATGTATCAGCTTTTTACGGTTGTCTGTTGTATTATAACACAATCGGCAAGTTCGACTTTCACCCACAAAATATAAACACAAAAACGTAGGTAATTTTAAGGTGAGATTGGAGGATCGAAGTAATATTGGGACAGTAAATGGACATCGCAGGTGTAGATTGCAACTTTTATGTTTCGTTTTGGTTTTTTTCTGTTAGATTTTTGTGTGTCTGATTAGAAACAACATGTTATCATGACACAACAGTATTAGTTTATTCGACGAATCCAAACGTTGAACGATTGACGGGCACGTAACCGGATGAGACCTGCGGCTAGACCAGTGGCCTGACAAAAGGGAACAGGTATTGTCATCAAGCACATCTACCAATTAGTCAACAGCAGAAAGAAATCGGGTACTTCAGCTCTTCCACAAGAAAAAAAAATGTGTATTGGAGTCTTCGCTTTCTAAGGTAGTCGTATTTGCAGAAATTGCACCACAAATGCGAAGACTGCTGTCAGACGCCGAACAAACTTCAACAGAGCCCGTGGTAGTCATTTCGATGTTAAAGACCGGCCTGATTACGTCCTTTACCCAGGATCGTGTCACGGCAAATGTGACCACACGCTTTACAACGGCGATATCTGCTACCTATATCCGTGGATTCTACGCACACATAGCACAAACATACTCCAACATTCTATCGTCAACGGTCATTCTCAATACAGGAACGATCGCAACTACGGCGCCAGTCTATCCTAGCACTTCGGCCTCTGGGACGTCGGCACCGGTTCTGCAGACGTCCACACCCGAGAGTTCTACCCCTACTAAGAGCATTTCCATCGAAACTGGTCTATTAGTGTCGACTGGTTCTCCAACAGAAGACGGGTCATCTAAACAGAACTTTACAGCTGGGGAAGCAAGCACTGATTCTGTCCACGCTGCAGCGGTTTTCAGCGACTCACCCTTCTCGGCTTCACTCGTCGTAGCCGGCAGTTCCACGTCAGCCAGCTTATTGATGTCATTCCTTTCCATCCCATCTCTGACACATCCCACTGGTGTAATTAGTTCAGATATTGTCGACTCCGTTGTGTCATCAGGTACAACTACAGTGTGGCGCCGCAATGTTATCGGTACTTACATCAATGGATTTTACGCTCATGTCGCTTCCACGGTGACTGAAACGGTTCGACCCAAAGCAACCCAAATGACTTTTACATCCAGTAAAATCTCGTTGCCTGCGGCTTCGTCAAAAGAAACGTCCAGCTCGACTTCAACGTCAACTCCCTCAACCCTGTCAACAGGTCTCCTTTCCTTGAAGGCGTTGGCTACAGAAATGGCGAGCGGGAGAACTGTTGTCCTGTTTTCGGCAGTATACGGAACTTACATCGGTGGACATTATGCTCAGTATGCTAAAATTGAGAGATCAACTATAACGCAAACTACGGCTCGTGCTGTGGGTTTCACGACAGTATCGAGCGGTGCGGTCACTCAACCTAGCGCTCTTAATTCGAGAGTCTCATCAGCTTTCACGACAAAGGCTTCGACCCAGTCTTTGCAATCTGCGAGCGGTCCCGCAGTGGGTTTGATCACGTCTACCACTACTCGGTTCACTCACAACAATTGGATTACTGTTCAAACTGTGTACACGATCGGTACGTATATTCAAGGATACTATGCACATATCGCCAAAACGTCTTCAGCAGCCTTCCCAGTAACTGTCGAACAGAATCCATCAAAGTCATTAACTCCATCCACGCAGATTGTTAACTCAGCCTGGGCTAGCACACCTGCTGCCGTACAGATGGTTATAGACCCATCTCAGACATTACTGAATGCTGGGGCCGCTACAATTGATCCGTCTATAGAACCTTCAGTGCCATTTGCCACCCCTGTGCGAAGTTATCAAACAAGTGCTGAGATACCCGCTCAGACCGGCTCGTTTCTACAAGGTTCAACAGCTCAAGGCATTGTAGAGTCTATTCAAGCTCACCAGCGCACGCCTTCACTTTCATCTGACGGAATTTCCAATATTTTATCGCCTGCTGGCGAAACCACACGTTCAAGTGGGTCGAGCACAACGATAACGGCATCGGCCACTTCCGCTGATGATGATGATGATGATGATGATCTTAAAACAGGATTACTTTCTAGGTCTACTATCGTTAAGAATGTTAGCGGAGTCTTGTACATGTTCACTTACGATGTTACCGGAACATTTATCAACGGCTTTTATGCGCATATTGCTAGAACACAAAGCTCTCTACTAGAGACGTCGCAAGCCGTTAGCGCATCAAAGACGGAAAAGGTGAAAAGGCCTATTGTTACATTCCACATCAGTGAACCTAACGATCACATAGAAAATCAACTTTTCTTCGATGAATTATCACAGGAGATTAAAAATAAGTTGGAGAAGTCACTTACTTTGGAAGATGTCGAGGGTCGTTTCGAACTACCGAAATCTGCAAGGAGGACAAGGCCAGTGTTTCCGAAACGGCGGCGGCAACCGGTAAGGCAGACCTCTTTGCCTGAGCCCATCGAGAGTGAAGCGTCACCACCGGAAGAAGTCGCTGCTTCTGCTGACGACGATTATGATTACGATTATGGGCGCAGTGAAGAGGATCAGGATCAACATATTGAGCCTGTACGCCCCCAACGATTGGCTCGAGCCGGTAGTTACAACAGTCGTAAAAATCGCCTCCAATCAGAAGCCGACCCCAAGTCGAATGTGCGGCCCACTGAGGCAAACAGATCGATCAAAGCTACTCGACCTGCTCTGCTCGCGAGACGTCGAAAGACCGATTCTGTACAAACGGCTGAATCTTCTCGCAGGACGGAGACTGCAGAGAAGTCTAGAACCCGCACAGGGACGCGAACCAACCGTAAGCGTCTTCAGCGGCAGGAAGACGATGGTAATTACAAAGATGATCTGAGACAACAAACCGCCGAGGGCGAACCGAAGACTCGGGCCCGCCAGAGAGGCCCAAGTCGTCGCAAAATTAATCGGAGCCAACAGCAACGGAAGGGCCTGGGCGCTAGGCAGAAAGGCCGCAGGCAGCAACAACAACAACAGGCCGCATTAACGCAGCGACAGGGAAGGACTCAATTACAGCAGCCTCAGTATCGTCGTGGAATCAAATTTAATCCTAAAACTAATAGAAACAGTCTGCCTATAGGTCCTCAGCCAACATCGACAATTAGAAGGGCATCCATTACCCTGATGAGTATTGTAACAACCACGAAGACCCTTCCGATATACCACGGCTTCAGAACGAGCTTTGCCACCATCACCACTACCGCTGTGGCTACTTCGGTCGTTAAGCCGACAGAATATAGTATCATTGAGGAAACGATAACAGCAACTTCAGTTATCGACGGTGAGCCTAGTTTTGTGGAGCGCCATAAAACAAAGACTTTAGTAAACCGCAACACGGAAATCAACCAGGATAGCACAACTATTACAGACATCGTCATCTCGACCACGGTCTTCGAACAGATTAGAACCGTTCCAATTCTGATAGGTTATCGAACTCGAACCGATACTGTGACCGAACTATCTACCCTAACCCAGCTTCACACGAGCGTCCGGACAATCTTCCCGGAGCCAACAGCATCGATCTGGAATTATGCCCAAACCATCTCGCCATTCCAACAGACAAATCCGTTTCTACAAGCGAATCCATTTGTTGCTAATCTCGGCCAAAACCCTGGTCCAAACCTATTCGCGAACGCCTTTTATAACCAGCAGCAGCCACGACCGCGGTATCTCACAAGCACGATCGTTGCGCCGGCTACAATAACAACCACGTCCATTATACAGGTGAACCTCCGCGGGCGTAAAGTGCTCAAAACGTTGACCGATACAAAAATAACGGAGACCACCCATTTTACGACGTTCGCAATCCAACCGACAGCAGCTCCGTTAGTAGGAATCGGCCAATTGCCCCTGGTTACCTCGCAATCAGTTGCACCACAGTTCACGACGGATATCACACTCGTGGTGACCGACCAGCTTGGCCAGGCTCGGCCTGTTGTCACCCGTGTGGTCCTGCCTATCCAGCACGGGAAAAACCAGCCAAATGATGGCGGCTATAATATCTCACAACGACGGCAGAACTATAGAAAACGATACAAAACTACACCACGGAAAGACGCGGTGGATGACGCCTATGACGACGGTATGTACAGAATGCACCGAATTAAAGCGTTTCTTTCGAAACAATCGATGAAAGCAACAACAACAACAACAACAAATAATGAAAGGGCTTCTGCGAAGCATCTAGTTTCGTCAGGAGTTCTAACATTTAGGGAACAGGGGCACACCGTGGTACCAGCATCACCGCGAAGCGTTGTTTTGATACGGGAACTTATCTGTGTGTTACATCACAATGTTGATATATTTTATAGATAAAAAGTAAAAAAGGCAAACATTCCAAACCTACTAACAAATAGGCTATCGGGATAGAGGGAAAAGGCTTAATTAGAATGTTTCGTTCCTGAAAAGCTGATGCAAAGTAAACTCTAAGCAAAAATAGGATTCAAGGCTCAATCGCAAATAGCATTTCAACTTGGGAAGAAAGGTTCCATCCGAGCATATAATGGTAATACGAATGAGTTTTACTTATACAGAGTTGTGCTAGCTGGAGAAAAATAAAACCTGAGAAAATTCTCATTTACAAACCCTTTCTATACGATACAATGTCCATAAATCTACAGAGCCCTTGGATGAAGTCCTGAGTCCCTCTGAGACCGAGATCCTGCCATCTGTGACGACTATTCTCAAAAGCGATCAAAGTAAAATTTATCAGCAAGAAGCCAGCTCACATTTAAAAAGGTTCGTAACCTACGTTTGATATAGAGCAGGCTCGGTTTACATTCATACACAATAGGAATCAAGCTTGAAGCATTTTTTGATGTTACTGTGTGACAGCAAGCTATGCTGTATTAACGAATACTGTTAAAGCAATAGCACTTGACTGGCTACCGTTGAAACTACAGGTTAGTCCGATCAGCAGTGGATAAGCCAGCTCCGGAAGACGTCTACGTGGGTCGAAAGCTCCTGCAGTTCCAGCAGCGACAGCTAGAACCCAGCTCCAGTTATTACCTGCCACAGTTCACCAACTATAACCAGTGCGTATCTCATTCATTGGTTTTCCTTATGGAACGGACTTTCAGTGTCGAGACTGACCGAAGCTGCTCCTACAACTAACAACCATTATGTAGCTAACCATAAGCAACCTGCTAAGGGCACCCAAACAAATGTATACTGCGAGCATTCGAATTAGTCTAGTCTAGCTATAATGCCAAGGAACTTCGATGAGATCCTACGACCAAATCGATTTAGATCCAAGATCAGCCCGCACAGATACAGTCGTGGCATCATCATCTCCTACTGGCTCCCAATCGCATATACTTAATTCAAAAATAATATTGCTTCTTTCGTGTTTTAATACTGGTCCACTTACGCATTTGTTGAGTGCCACCTTGCTTTTTTGTGCCTGTCCTATTACAGTGCCCAATATGTAAGCCGAATTCTACAGTCATCAATCGACAACTATTTCAGTGAGTATGATTGCTTTTTCGTCCATCGATTCGGTATTATCTGGTCGTATTAGCATAGGCATCCATCGCGACCGTTGGCAGCTGGTTCCTCCATGTTATAAATAAATGTATGTTTGAACTTTTTATAAACACTGCCTCTACAACCATGTATGCCTGTGTCGACCTCGGAAAACCGTGCAAGCATGGCGGCGACGGCATGCCAGTGAATAAGTAGAACCCAATTGTGCGTTTCAGACCCACCGCAATATGACTTCCAACAGTACCAACCATTCCAACCCTACCACAATCAGTACCCGTATAGCGACTATCCTTATGATTATCACTCACAGGTGAGCTTTCTGTTCCTATGCATAAAGAACATATTTAGATATATGATTAAAAGTATATTATCTAAATACGAAAAATCAAGACTGTTCAATGGGAAGCGCTAGTCGACGCTACTCTAACCCTTTTTTCAATAGGACTGTCTAATCATAAATGTTGGCTAAGTTAAGATACTTTTCATGATAATTTGTCACTACAGGTGCCCGTACCTCCCCAGAACGATTTCCACCAGCAGCTGGCAGGCTTCCAGCAGTCGTTCAACCCTCCGGCCATTGAAGACCCATCGTCACAGCAACAAGCACAGCCACAAGCAGAGCCGCCGCTACCCCATCAGCCTCCACTTGCCCCCCAACAACAAGAACATCAACAACAGACCCTGAACGTGAACCACTTCCCGCCTCTTTTGTCGTATGATGTCGATCCCCCGAAAGACGCCAAAGAAGTTCTGGTCCCGAATATCCAGGTTCTACTTTGACTCTTATTTTGTCTCACCTTTGTATAATTGAAACATATAATACACGTAGATATAAGCGATTCTTGCGTACCGATGATTCTAAAGATTTTGCATAAACATATTTGAGGCTAAAAAATAAATAAGCCAATAAATAGCTATGCCATAAGTTACTAAAAGTAGCGTACAAGTTTTTAAACCCATCAATTAGCGCATATACGAATCTGCTTTATTAGATAAATTCCGTGGCTCAGTAGCATTGATCTGAATTCGACAGGCAAGCCGTCCCTCGAGATTTATAGTAAAAAGCTCGAAGTTGAAACGAAAGACCATCCTTCGAAAGGCAAGGCCCACGCCCACGTTTGAGTTCAACCCGACGACGACAGAGTACGTGTTATCGAAGTATCGAAGTTAAAAAAATTACGATACAGCAACCAACATTTTTTCTCATTAATATATGTATACTAAACGATTTTACGTTTCTATAAAACCTTGCCTTGTATTTTGTATATATATATATATATATATATATATATAATAATTCCTAATTTGCTCTATTTTATAGGATTGACACAGCCTCGTACGTGACACCGATGCGTCTCCGCAAGTCGTCAGTAGTTCGACGTCGTCCTCAGGCATCCGAATACCCCGAAGTAAACCCCGAATTGGCCCGAATTCCCGTGCTTAGCCCCGCCCCAACTCCCGAATCGACCTTCGTTGCACAAACTCCCACGCTGATCCGCAGCTCACGCGTGATTCCTCGTCAGCGACTGACATCAGTTGTGATTCAGTCTAGCCTACCGCAATATTTATTCGAGAGTGCTCAAGTGGAAGAGCTTGTGACGCCTGAGCCAAAAAAGAAGCCCAAAGTCAAGAAGCTGCCGGACGGAACTAGGCGTATTGTCTCCAGCCGAGTGCAGCCAAAGTTGCCGGTTCCATTAACGTCTGCTCCACCGGTTACGTTCTACACAACGTTTACCTACTTAACCACGTTTCTGCATGGAACACATACTGTAAGTGACATCAATGACCCACTTAATTAGATCGTCTACCATATGTTATTGTTAATTACGAATGCTAGGTAGCGCTGTATCTGCCACAAGGCAACAACGCCGCATGGTGAAGTTTTGCATTCCTTACCACTCGTTGATCGTAAAAATTGCTGTTCGATCTTCACAGGTTTATCAAAGCCGTGAGTCCGTTGTGACCTCTATACATAGTGGTCAGGTAGATCCAACATTATTGTCGCAGATCTCGAATGGTTATGTCGATGGATCAACTGTTCCGGTAATCACAAAGACCAAGGGTCTGGCTACCACCATTGTGAATCTACAAAGTCGACTGCACATCGCAGGTGACATTGCGCCAGCATCCAGCATAGCGCCGACACCACTGATAGAGGCCACTTCAGTTACGCCCACATTCGACCTTGATCAATTAGATAATGTGAAAAAGACGGTCTACGTGTTACAAACGTTTATGTACACTGTCGTCGATGAAGCCGGCGTCACCCACACGTCGTCGAAAACTGAGATTAAGTCTAACATTTTAGCTACCCCCACAGGCCTTCTCAAGATACAGAACACAGAAGAAATGTCGATCAGGTATGTTATTATAATCAGCAAGTAAATAACATTGTATAATCCGTTCGCACTTCAGATGTGTTCCGACGATATGTGTTGTTGTTGTAACTGCGGTCTAAGCAGTATCTTCTTGTAGGAACTGATTATACGTGTATACAATGTATCATTGCCCAATTTCGATGTGTATTTCAGCAATGGTTACTTGGCGCTCGACAACACCCGCACGGTAAACCTCGCCAACGACGTTCGCAATGGCAAAACAACAAAAGTTGACCTCTCACTGCGTACCGTTGTCAAGCTGGACAACGTGGGTGACGCCATCATTCGCACACAGCCTGCTAGCTTTGAACATACGTTAGCAAGTATTGAGCCGTCCGTAACGCAAACTACGACTGAATACGTACAGGTCACAAGACCTATTGTTAGCTCAACGGATATGACTCGAAAGAAGATTAAGATTAAATCGATTGTGCGTAAAAGACCGGGGGTACAAACGAGTATTTTGGAGCCGTCTCAACTGGAGAGCTCGTTCCTGTTTGAAATTACGCCGGCCTTGACTGAACCAACAGATTCCTTAACTGAGCTAATAAGCGTTACAGTTTCACCTACTAAACAAGTGAAGAGACTGAGGGTGACAGTTCGGAAAAAGGCAAGCAAGCTTGTCCGGCCAGTGCCTGAATCATCCAGCACCTTCGTTGATCAGACCTCAGCTACACCTCCTCAGATCTCGCAACCATTCCAAGTTGTAACTAAGAGCAACAAGACCAGACTTAAAGCAAGCAAGATTATCTCGCGTCGGGTACGACCATCCGATCTAATTCGTCAATCACCAGTAATCTCGGTTACTCCTGTGGCTTTTACAACCACGACGCGCCTGCCGATCGAAGTGTCTGGCTCAACAGAATATCGTGACGTTGAATTGACCACCTATTCGCTGGTCACCTCAACGATCACGCCCAGCTTTTTCCCGTCCAGCCCGCATCTTGCAAGACCTATACAGTCCTCACCGGTCGTTCTCACCTACTTCACAACAACAACATACACCATACCGATTACTCGTGATGGGGCCACAACCTATTCCACGAGTGAGCACACCAACAGCCGCATAGTGACCCAGTATCCTGAACCCTCCTCTCTGCAGCCATCACTTGTACTAGATGCTGCTCTTGTAAATGAACTTCAGACCCCACGCATCTCCGACTTTGAGACAAAGACGATGTTTACGACTTACACGTATTATACAACTTACTTCGTCAATGGATCAACATCGGTAATCAGCTCTCTGAACGTCATCTCCAATACACTTCAAGTAAGAAGTCACCAGGGAAAGCTATCGTCCCCTTACTGTGTGGTATACACTCGTATACCGCACATTAAATATGTATAGTAGATTTAATTCGAATTTCTATTCGACATCTACTTATGCACACATCCTGCAATTTCCTGATATCAATAATTATCCGTTAGAAACCAAACGAATGGAACACACTGACACATCTTCGTTTTATTCTCCTGCTAACTAATGCACTGCCTTATTTCTATAGGTTCCACTCCTCTCAATTCTGCCGACTCCTGCCACTCCTCTGACAATTCTCAAAACCTCCGAGCGTCTCAAGGTATCGACGTCATACAGCACATTTACGTTCTACGCCACTCTGTTCAACGGCACCTCTTCTCTCGTTACTCCGTTCGAAGAAGTACAAAGTCAGGTGTTCACGCTCACAGAGTCGTTCGTCGTCACACGGACGGTCAGCATTGCTCCAACAGCGGGTGCTGCTTTGCCATCTGACATTTTGCAGAGCGTCCTTCCTGATCAACCTCCACAAGAACCGGTCAGATCAACGCAGACCTCCTCAGTCCCGTCCTTTACTCTGTTTACACTTGCACCTGGGTCGACATCATCCTCGCGTTCGGGCCCGCTGGTTCCTTCCGTCAAAACTTTCCTCACGACGTTCACCTATTTCACAACGTTCTTCCGTCAGTCCTCTTCGTATGTGGTCAGTAAAGAATCAGTGGTCACGAGCTACGCAACCTTATTCGTCGACCAGGCAAAACTTAAGCCTACAACGACAAAGCGACCTGTCAGCACTACAACGAAGCTCGATCCACGAGTCCCGTACACAACCTACACATCGTATACCACTTATACGTTCTACACGACATTGTTCGGTGGCAAAGACAAGATCGTCATCTCGAGCGAGCAGATTGTGCCTCAGGTAAAAGCTTGCCTCTTTCTCGGATTGCTGTGGTAGTATTTGCGCTATACTTTTAGCGCTTGAATAATTAATACTATTTTTTGTCAACTCTTCACTCTATAATTTTTCTCTTTCCTATATTCTGTACAACTAAACAGGTGGTCACTATGCGGTTGGATGGATCTACAACCAAGATCACTCCTACGACAACCCAGTATTCCACCTACACCGCTCCACCTGTCACGGACGACCTCGTCCCCTCAACGGAGACTCAAGAAGTTCGCAAACCACTGGTTACAGTGACTTCAATGTCTTCGCCATCAGCTTCGTTCTTCTCTCCATCGTCGACCACTACTACCAGTACGTACGAAGTTGTTAGTCGTCCAACGGAGACCACCATGACAGCACTATCGGAAACGAGCACTGTTACATCTTCCACAACCGAACGAGCTGTTGAAACAACGACAACCCTGTTTACCATACCAACTGTTGCACTGCCAGAAATTATCATCCGGGACGACAAACCCACAGTGTCACTTACCAAAAAATCATCCACAGTCACGTCAACGGCTCCGCTCACTACCTTACCACATACCCAAACATTGATCCTGTCAAGCTCAACCAGATTCTTCGGGAGAGATCGGCGACTCACACATATTGGATCTGGAAGTATACTGTTCCTTATTACTGGTCAAGATGGACTTCTCACCCGATCACAGGGTCTTACCGCGACAGCCAGTGCAACGATTGCTACTACTGCCATCGAGCCGACAGCGACGACGACAACGACAACGACGACGGCGACAACGACGACGGCGACAACGACGACGGCGACAACGACAACGACGGCGGCGACGACAACGACCACCACCACTGTCGGGGCAACTCAGATTGCGCCGTCGAATACTCAGCCTGGGACAATCCTTGACCTCACCGACATCCTTGGCGGTAAGGGAGGTAAGCTTGGCGAGGCAATCAAAGGTATTGTCAATCTATTCAACACGAAGAACACGACGACTAATCCCGATGCTGCCACTAGCCAAATCAGTCGGAAAGACTCTTCTCTACCTGCTGGACCAGTCATGGTGTCGAGCCAAGAACCTGTGTTCATTCCGCTTAGTCCCGTTCTCGATATTTCCAGTTTCATCAAACCTGCCGCTACTTCAGCCAGCATAGCGCCAACAAGTGTGCACTCTAAGCTTACCCCGATCTATAAACCTGACGAAACGAAAGAAGGAAAAGGGCTCCACATTTCCCGTGAGAAGCTTATGTCCGATATATCAAAGGCCATGACAAAGGCAACATCTGCCCAGACGTCTACAGTGGCGTCCAAAAGCATCATCCCCTCAAAGACAACTGGTTTTGAGACGACGCCTTTGGAGAGCGTATCGGTCATCGTTGGGGCGGAAACAATCTTTTTCGATGAGGGTACAAGTACTGAGCTTGCGGATAGCACGCGTGAAGCAACGGAGGTTTCCACTTCGACCACTGGAATCCATCCAACGTTTGTACAGACCGTTGGATCTGCACCCGCAACGGTCAGTCCTAGTCCCGAGGTTTCTGTGGAGATCTCACATGAGTCTTCAGTGGCGCCCAAATACGAGGTGCAAGCCCAATCTTCAATCGTTGTTCAGCCTACAGCAAGTAGCAGTCCAGTTGAAAGCATTGTTTCCGAAAGCAGCATTCGGCCAAGCAGACCAACAATTTACTTCCAGGTATCTTCAACTGCGACCACCCCCGGTCCTAAACCGGTTAGCGAGGTGGATTATGGTGGAGTCAAAGTGTTCATTGCCGGTCGCGGCAGCAGAAAACCTGTTGAACCTGTTATCAAGCCGGAGAATCCACAAACAACTAGAAAGCCCCTTCCTAATATCTTTAAGGTACCGTTATCTTTTTTCTTTTCTTTTTTTTTATTCTTGCGAGTACAACATGGCCGTCCATCTTTATTTTTGGGACACTCGAGGTTGCAACATTTTACTTTTTCGTCAGGAAAGCATTTTTATGCTTTAGGCGAGACGTATTCGAATTTCAATCACAAGCAGACATAAGATATATTTTGGCACAGAATCTCAGGTCAATTAGTTTCTAACTTGCCTAACTTTCACAGGTCGGAACTCGAAAAGGTCCAGGTACAACGACCAAGCCTCCCTACACCGGCCCTAAAGTTAAGATCAGCTTCCCCAAACCGCCTCCTGCCGCTAGCGATATCGGACAAACTAGTGACGACTTCAACGACATCTTCAGCGCTTTCCAGCCGTTTAATAGCACGATCAAAGAGGTCTTATTCAATATATGTATATACAATTCTCACTAGAAAGGCATACCTCATGTACGATTTAGCCTCGCATTTTCGAACTATGCAGCTGAACCTCCTTATCATGTGTAGATTGTGGGCATTGGTAGAAGTAACTGACTTTATATATATATATATATATGGCACTCTGTCAGAGTTATCTATGGCTGGATTCCTTTAATTAGCAATAAAATCGTAGAGATCGACTCAGGATAGCTTCTGTAACATCGAGACCGCCTTTGTGAATTTGCTTGAATAGCAACCGGACGGACCCACCCCAACGCCTCTCTGCTATCCGAGTTGCGACAGTTCCCGGCACGAAACCTGCGCGCCTAATCCATCGAAGTCCGCTCGCAACAAATACATTTGCGTTTGTCGTCCTGGCTATACAAGGGATCCCGATGGTACATCTAATCGTTGCATTGGTAAGCACCCTAGTTGCGTTTTACTAGATAATATCTGAGGTTCGATTTACTAATGATCGTGCGTTAATTCGGTACTTGGTCCCACTTAACACGATTACTATTACTTTTCTCCAGATCTAGCTGATTGACTGTAGCAAGGCTAAGTTGTTATTGCTAATTTCTTGACTATACTTATTATCCATTCACGACATAGTGGATAGCATGCAATAGATTTTCTTCCGCATAAAATCTAGATATGTAAGCGATATAATTTCGTCGTTTACAGTACTCGCCATGTAGAGTTAATTCAGTTTATGGACGTTTTTGGTTTGCTATTTGGTATTTAGCCTCACAAACGTTCCTTCTGCCCGTTCATCTTATTCGGGCATCATCGAAAGGATCTGCCCACTCACAAATGCCGCGGCTTCTGCATGCCCTCAAAGTTTCGGTATGTTTTTACGGTAAACGTAAAGAATCGTTTTTGCCACAGTGTAATTTAACCTATTTTATCATTGAGTTAAGTAGTTGTACTCTAAAGCTTTAGATTTTTAATAGGAAACCAGTTGTTGCATAAGGCTAAAACGGACTGGCGCCAATTCGCTGATGAAGGCCCACAGGCCGTGACGCGGTGAGGGCCATTCCGAAATTGTAAAAAGTGTAGTGATGTGAACGCGGGGGGCTGATGTAGCCAATATTGAAAAGCTTAATAATTAATAAAAATTTGAGTCTTAGTTCGGGATCGACCTAAAGGTCCCAGGATTGTGATCCCGGCCCTCTGTTCGCCGCGCTATGCGCTGCGTTATAGATTTTTCCTTCACGTTCAAAAAGCGTACGGAACTGATGCCTCCGGAATATGATTAGCGCTAACTAAATGGAGTAAGCTAGCTCATACAATCAGAGATTTAATTGTAATGCACTAATAGCGAATAGAACAAACGCTGAATAAATTCAGTATCGTATCTGTGTCTTTTTGCAATTTCAGCTTGAACAGATGTACAGCGACCATCTTGGCTTCCCCAAGGGATCCTTGCTTGACGCCAAAATCAACTCGGTTCAGAAGGTCACCAACTATCAAAACGAATCTTCTGTAAGTTATAGAGTATATTTTATATAGTTTCTTTATACGATAATGCTAGTTATTAAGTACAGCGTTTGTCGAGCTTTTTCAAGATACTGCTGACACAAGTACCGACACCTTAGAAAATTAACAATTTCTAACGTTTCCGCTGCTTTCCCTCTATTATGTCTCTACTTTATCTTTTGTAGCTGGCCCTCACTCTGGTACTATCACAAAGAGCCTCCAACGCGGACATATCGTTACCGTTGCTTTCGGAGCAGCTGACTCGAAGCGCTTCGGCTCTTAATGCCTCGCTTGTATCGTTGCAATCGCCCTTCTTACTACTGGCGTCCGCTCCTATTGAAGCACTTCAGGATCTTGATGAGTGCACTTTTGCTGATCTTAACGATTGCAGCTACTACGCTCGATGTATAAATGTACCGGGTAAGCACATTTGGCATTAGCGTTTACAAGTTATTAGCTTGAATAACAAGTTCCTGTTGAAGTATTGATGGCGCTAGCATCGGATCGACTGATTGTTTCTAGTTAAGGGTAATTGTTTTGACTGTCGGGCGTATGCTCCATTATCTTCATTGGTCTGTTGTCGTCATAAGCGGTGATTAGGTACATTCAGTCATGAAGCTCGAAAATATGCATATACGACCATGTCTTCTCCACTCTCTTTGCACTGGAAAAAGCGTTGATAAGACAACAAGAATAATTTGCGAGATCAGCTCTGAGCGTACAAAAGTCGTTACTACTTGCCAGCTTTGGTCGGATCGCTTCAGAACAGAAAATTTCGAATTGAATGGCAAACACTCTGGACGGTCCCAAAAAATGGGCACTTCGTAAGCAAAATGGCTTAGATGACTTATCTACTGTTTGTATGTTCTGGGAAAGACCGAGAAAAAAGGAACCGGACCACCATAGACTTAGTGAAAATAACAAGCAGTCGATAAGGACAACATGGCTTGCGTTGCTTGCACCGCAGAGATGATAGAAGATTGTTTTCTACGACACCTTTAAACGCGAGCCAGAATAGTTAGACTCTGTCAGTTCAATGCCATGAAGGAATATTAGTTACTGAAAGCTGGGATATGATGGGATAAAGGGGGTGCTGTACTATGGGCTACCCGAACCCTGGAGAAGAACCATAGGAGCTCGTTTAGAAAATCCACTCATTTGGGCCACGAAAAAGGTCTTGGATTGGTAAAAGGTGGCGCAAAGTAATATGATTGCACGAGGACGCTATATCGAATACTGCTTCAAGCAATTAATGAAAAAGTTCCCACGCAGTGTATAGCTCGCAATCCGCTCGATATAATTTTCACTAGCTTCAGTCAGTGCAAGCGGCGTAGCTCTAAAAAATTAGTCTGCAAATGGATCGACGAATGAGTGTCTACCAAGGATGAAGCCTTTTTTTCCCCATGAACTATCAGAAAGAGGGGCAAACGTCGTAAAAAAGAAGGACACTATCTTAACTAAAATGTGCTCGCTTCTTTCTTCGGAAGATAAAAAACACTTAAAGGAACACTCAAAGGAGCTTCCAAACGTAACTCAATATATTATAATTTTGTCTAGGAGCATTTTTTGTTATGTAATTTCTTTAATGAAGAAATTTTTTACCTATTAGCTAGTTCAACTTAGATATGATGCCGACATTGAATTGATATTATTCTGATGTGACGAGCGTGAAGGATAAGTCAAGTAGTTGCAATATAGTAATAGCTCGTTTCGTCGATAGGCTCATTCCACTGCGAGTGTAAATCGGGCTACCAGGATCTGGACGTGGATTCTCCCGGCAGAACTTGCTCGTCGGAAATCAAGAACTGCCAGTTCTGCAGTGCTCGAGGAAGCTGCATTTTGGGTATTGACAATGGCATCGAGAAGACTACCTGTCGCTGTAATACGATGTACCTTGGAAGACGCTGCGAGATTAACGGATTAGGTTGGTTTTTGTTTTCATTTCAGCCCTTCCAATTTTCCTAGCAAAAATCAAAAGACACTCATGCAGCTTCCGACAAATAATTTTTCAAGAGCGTAATTATACGGTGTATTTCAAATGGCTCGTTTATTGAAGGAAGCAATTTTCCTTCCTCACCGTTACACAGCAGTAACAGTTTTTTAGCGGTTTTCATCGCGTGGACTTATGCAGGATTTTTTTTTTCTTACAGTATTAGCTATAGCACTTCCAATCGCGTTGTCCTTGCTCACCGTGACGGTGTGCTGTTCGGTCAAACGCTGTAGGCCACGATATCGATCCGCGACTGTCAAACCTCCATTGCCACCAACGAAAATTGCCATGGGTAAGTGACCATCGCCAGGACAATACCACAGAATAAGCAACCTCTCTTCTAAATAAACATCCGATAAACGCCGTAGGCCGTTCATTCTACCTACATGTACACAAAAGCAACGTTATCTACTAAAAAATTGCGGTACCAAGATATCTCCAACGACACAGTTCGTTTGTTTCCGATCGCTATACTTACGTTGCTTAATAGTAACAGTTGCCCACGACTATTATTACAGCCTATCCAGGTGGCGGATCGTTGCTAGCGTCATCTGATAAAGGGCATTCCGATAAGACCCAGATGATAAGTGACAGCTCAAGCGAGGGCGAAACTAGTCAAGGTGGCGATCCGCATGGCTGGCACGGACATGGCCATCACCCACACAGCCACCACGGACCCATTGATGGTCGTCACACACAGGTTTGTTCAAGTCAACTTAATACTAACTCATTCACTAAGGCTGACAAAATACCATATTAAGAGATATTCGTTACAACCCCAAACGCATAGGCCCCGTAAAAATGCTTAGCGTTAACAACAGGCCAAAAAGTATGTCTGTTCGTGTCCTTTGCAGATGTCGTCCGGAGGCTACAGTGGTTACGGGGACAGTCTAGCTGAAACGCTTTCGGCACACCCGCTCCCATCAATAGTAATTCCACGAGTCCGGCCTAAGCTTCCTGCACGACAACGGTGAACAAAACGGTGCAGGAGCCTTGGAAAGTACGCAACATAAAGCATAAATTCGAAGCATAAATTATGAAAAAAAAGGTCAACTCCCATTCCCCCCAAAATTTAGTTGTCGAAAAGGGATGGCATGTGGACTGAACAAAGATTATATAACCAGTCTATTTATTTCGCTGTTTGCTTCTCATGGCAACAGCTTCACTACACAATCTAAACGCACCGTACAACCATATCAGGACAAGAGAGAAGAGATGTGGAAGTTCAAAAAAATCAGAGAAACTGTTTCTGTCGTGCAAGTGTTGTCCTTTCGTTGAAAGACGCGTTCTCGCTCTAGATATTGAGCATGGCTACGTTGATTTTACACATAGAAGCAGCCCAACTATTATACTTTGCATGGAATAAACGCGAAAATTTCAGATAGACGGATGGATAAAAAGTGAAACGGGTCGAGAATGATCATTATCTCCGTGTTATACAACGGTGTCATAAGCGACTGCTGTCGCAGAAAAAAATTGCACTCGATGAAAGCTAACTTATTGCGCTACCCGTTATATAAAAGATATAACGCCTAAGGCAAAAAGTGAAACGTAAGTGAAACGTAAGTGAAACGTAAGTGAAACGTTGATAACAACATAAGCGAACGCTAGGTAACAATAGTTTCGTTATATGCGATGCTATCGCGAAAATAAGGGAGCCATTGCTTTGTTCTTATTGCCAACACCTCCCGACAGGCGGCTCTGCAGACTGCGCAGATACGTATCGTCTGCGACGCGTAGTTTGGTTCGTTTACTCCCATGTGGGCCTGTTCTTAAGTTAATAGTATCCTTAAATATATATATTTAAGGAATAATTAATGTAATATCGACGCTTTCTCGGCGAGGAACTAAGAAAACTCCTAACAGAAATATAAGCATCTGATGATGCGACTCTTTTTTTTACCCAACAACTGACGAAGACAGTAGCAGATAGGCTCTCCTCACCGTTGAATACATATTGCGTACAACAAACTTTCAGTGGCGCCTACTAACTACCAAGCTCACTGTGTTTAATTACAAATTAGTAGCCGAATACGTAAGGTGCGATTATAACGCAGTCCTATTAACAAATTATGACGCTTGGTGACTGACGAAAGGGTAAGACTATGTAATAGCAAGTCTGAGGGAAAATTTAAGCAAAACTATCAGCACTTAACTGTCACTCTAATCGAAGACAGACGACAGCTTTCGGAAGTCGATGAGACATTTATAGACAAAGAATGGATAGCAAAAAAAAAAAAAAAAACAGAAAAGGAAATCGAACAGCGAAAGGTTTATAGTACCTTTTAGTTTCGTCATAGGCCTTTTTTATGTTACTGATTCTGGAGTCCTAAAGGACCCGCTAGTAAATGTTCTTCTCGGCCTGGAACAAATACGTTCCAGGGTGGTAGGTTCCGGGTCGGGAAAGACTCAGGTCGCCCCGATGGGTTGCGCCCAATGTTGTGCCATCCACAAAAAAGGTTCGTGAAATTTCCGAAAAGCCGCAGGACAAAGCGGGGCGTTTCGAGATTTTCTTCTGAGGACATGAAAGTCTAACGTTGTTACTTATAGTTTATGCATGTTGAGACTGATCTGAATATTATTATTATCTTAATTAGAATTAATGTTATTTTTATAATTCTTTGTTTACGTAGCGAGAAAGGAACGTGTATCTGAAGCGCGTTATTGTGGCAGCGGTAGAAACAGAAACAAAACAGCAAACCGACGCGTAAAGGCACAGTCTCTGCCCTGGCCTTAATTCATTAAATTTGGGCTGCCCACCCGAAACAAGTCTTTACCACAGTGGCGAAGGGTAGACCAAACATTGCACTAAAAGCAAAAAGAACTAGGTTCAACGTTCGAAGATAAACTCAAAAATGATAAATGTTATTATCAGCATCGACATCAACCATTCTCTAGTGCTATCAGTTGCTGAAGCTCCATTGTGATCGCACATCCTGCCAGTAGTTACGGGCAGGCTTTTAGGTAGATCATGACGACAAAATCGATCGATTGATGACAAGGGAGAGAAAAGAAAATAATCATAAATGCTAATTCTGACTAGATAATTGCAACGATGATAAAGGAAAGGTTGTCACGAACGGTGATGAGAAACCAAATCATTTTGATCATTGGTGGGCTAGAGGGGTCGAAAGTACAATGATATTGATACAACAAAGTTACCTGAAACAAAGTTTCTAGATATACAGCGGAATAGGAAGAAAAAACCATGGGCAAGTCAATGGCAGTGAACGGATAACTAAATAAGTGTTACAGATTAATATCACCATTTCTATTCATCTAAATATACTACTTATGGTTGGTCTAATGTTACTGTTCATACGCACGATTTGCCCGGTGGGCTGCGAAGTACGACTAGGTTTGGCTCGATCTGCATTGATTTTGGGGAAAAATTCGTGATCCACTGCCTGTGTTTATCTTTATGGAACTCTAAGTTTAGACTCTTTACCGGTTACCAAGTTATCGGGCGGAATCATGCATGCACGCGTAACTCGCTACCTCGTCAATAAGATCAACGAAGTTTACGGGATCGTTTTGCTCAAATGAGGTGTTCAATTGTTTTGTTGTCATCATTAATTTTTAAAGCCATTCTTGGCGTTTATCGCGGATCCTCAGTGTTGAACAACGACAAAAACTCAGCGACTACGACTACGGTTACTGTGACAATATACTACAATCGACTATGTGTTAACAATTGGTTTTCATCCCTTTTAGTCTTCCAGCGAATGTGTTATTATATCAATAAATAATATGGAATAATAGGCACTCACTCGATTTGAAATCCGGCACGCTGCCCGCCGCGCTGAGACGTTGAAATTGCTTGACGAAATGTTGTTGGCTGTCGATCTTAAAGCAGACGACGTACATAAGCTAGATTGGTCGTTGCTTCTGTTATCGATTTGTTGGTGGAAGCATTAAGTTGTGCACACTCTCTGATTGTTATTATATATCTTTAACGTGTCCAGGTTCATTATTGTTGGCCGAGCAGTGACGTTTACCAATTGTAAAACTACTTACATTTATGTATATCCAGTGTCCTGGTACTCCAAAACAGCAGCACATTTTCCATTCAATAAATTTTTTCATAATGTCCTATTATTTACAATTTTTAGTACGACAGCATCATTGAGACGAAACGAATTCGAGTTGAAACATTGTGATATTACCAATCGATGTTGACATTATGCAGACTGTAAATAAACGTTTGGTTGTGTTTTATCGAAAAATCTAACTGGCCTTTAATCGCACTTATAGTTACGAAGCTGATTGCTATCGTATGATATTGTTTGTTTAGGGGCTTGTATTTATGGGTTATGCCCTTCTGGAGGCTTAACAAAAAAACTTGTTGAAAATTGAAAACATACCTAGGCCTCGTAAAACTTCTAGGATTACTTCATGAACGGCTATTGCGATCAACCGTGAAAGACGAACTCTGTAACGAGATTACATATATAATCGTATAGAGAGTATATAACGGGGGGGGGGGGGGGGGTCTTATTCATACATATGTGTGGTAAGTAGAAGTTAAGGGAATTAGAGCGAAACTGTGTAATTCTTCTTTTTAAAGCTAGTTATTGTCGAAGATTGCCATTGTCATTGGCAGAGGCGGCAGCAGCAACAGCGGTTGGAATGTTGTCGCGGTTCGTAGCCAACTAGGGCGAGCTTAAAAATTGCTGCCATTTGTAAGCACTACTTTAGACGTCAGGTTCTTATGTGATACGAAGCCTCAGACTCAAACAAGGACCATCTAACATGTCCCTCAGATTAGCCAGCGAACTTACGAATTGTCAAAGGAATATAAACCATGTTTCTGCTTAGCCGAAATACTAACATTAAAACTCTGAACCTCATGAGTTCGCTGCGTGTAAATGTAGTGCGTATATGTACAACTGTAAGGGCACAGGAATAGGGTAAGCCACGAATGGAAAAAAAGAGGCTATAATGCTTAGTGGGAAGAAGGAAGTATCAATTAATGGCTACGACCTAATGAATTCGACGCCCTAAATCCAAGCATGTACGAAAATTCATGTATTAAGCTTTGATGATAACTATCGTACTAGTGACTAGAAAAGAGAAATATGAATTGTTTGGTACGACATGGAATAAGTCAAGCTGATCTGACTTAATGGAAAGTTGTCTCTCTAAACTTGAGACGAGTATTGGGTATCCTGAACCACGCTTGGTACTCTCCACCGTTTACGTATCCAATACGCCAACACGTATTCTATTCGGGAGGCAGAAATTTTCAATCATTGTTGGTTCAACATTTCGTGCGGCTAAGCGCCGATAGTCAAGCGATTCTATTCGCTCTATCTTTCATTGCAGAATCCACCGCAATTGAACATCACGAAGCGCGCCAACGCCTCAACGTCGGCCAACTTCGCGGTCAATAAACGTCCAGAGAGGAATTTGTTAATATATACACATACAATAATCCAGCAAGGAATTGCAACTTGTTCCTAAATATGTCCAGTTTCATCAGCGATGATCGAGGGTAGTGAATTTGTCGGACTCGTTTTTTGCTGTAGACTCCTAGACGACTTGCTCTGTTTTCAGCACAAGATGGTACAAAAACATAACAAAGTGCTCCGGTTAAGTTCTGCTTTCGTTATAAACACGTTTACTAAACTCATAAGATTGCTTTCAAAGCGTCCTTATAAATGGCAGACCACGCTTTCGTTCTAAAGCTCCAAAAGCGATGATTGCTCATGATGAAAATTAAATTAGGTCAAAGCAGGTATGGCTTCCTAGCATCTCAACGTATGCGCGTCTCCGCTAGGTTTCCACTAAAGGTAAACAGTATCGCGCGCATATATCCCTCATGGTGGCTGGCGACCGCGTTTAAGCCGGAGTAGCTAACACTAACAAGAAAACCGGCACCGTTTTTAATTGTTTTTATTTTATTTAAACACGCTCCAAATTAACAAAATTGCAAGCGCCACTAGAATCGACATTATCCTGGAGCAGCGATAACAACGGCAAGTAATAGCGGAAATATCACATCAACACCGAACGTATCCGGTGAGACTGAGCTAGATAACGTCAATCACACATGACCTACTATATTGGTGCCATATCTTTGGCATAGCTCGTTGCACGCTAAATAGAAACGTACAATGTCGAAACCCAAAGGTTAAATCGCTTATAATCATAATAACAATAACAAAAATAGCTAGCTACATGTATAAATTCGAAGGTGAAAAAATAAATCGTAAAGCAAGATAGATAATTGACACTGACCACTGAAACAAACATCGCGTCGCACTCAACAATAAACTTTGTTCCTAAAACAATTCAGCAATGTTTCCGCCCGAATTTCGCCTCTCCACGTCGGTCTACTTACTCTATTTGGTTTCTATGTGTTCGTATCTGCTGATCGAGCCAACCATCAGCATCGTTCAATGTCTATTGTCGAATGCACTTCCTCGTAGTCCAGACGCCCTAGCGTCCCCATCAGTAACTAGTGCTCCCTATGAACACGCTCACTGGCTATAAAATAACACATGTTACATACCCTAGAACTAACTCCAGTGCAGCGTCCATCGTAACGACACTACACTACAACTAATCATCGGGAATCTTCAGTCATCACAACAAACGCAGTCGTGATGAGTGGTCGAGCTTTCGGGAAGCGTCTTTCCATGGGTTGCATAGAATAACAAATACCTATTTTCGAATACACCAAATGAAATATACGCGCGTTAATTTCTAGAACGTCTAGGCTAAACTAAGTAAGAGTGTCTCAAACATATCAAATGTGAGGGTGTACATCCGGTAAATAAATTTGGTAACACGTCGATCCATACTAAAGTTATTATGTGTTTCTCTCGTTTAGGTTCTGATGTGCGTACAACTTTTTTTTCTTGCTGGCCGCTAATGTTACGTACGTATTTCTGTTCTAGAAATAGAGGTGGAATTGAAGATAGTCAACAGTCCAACAGCCGTCAATGCATCATCGTTTTCGTGCATAATCCACGCTTTTTGTTGCTTTTTGCTGTTTTTATCATCATCATCATCATCATCATCATAAATCAGTAAACGTATAGTGAACTCCTCAATCTTATAATAAGCTGATTGAATATGTTGTCTGACTATTCTTCGTTTTCTTTTATTGCTTTTTTGTTCTAAAGGGTCTCGACACGTGAGACGAGGTCTACAGTAACGTGAACAGGAATTATTCCCCATTATTTTGGGAAATTACAAAGTGAGGGTTGCAACGCAGGCTGACTCATCAAAGTAGCCCTCAGGGAAGAGGTTGTTGAACATCCGGTGAAGGATAGGATCGTCTGAAGAACAACCGCCGTCAGCTTTCGGTGGGCCCCACACGCTGTCCGGGGATGAACAGCTCAGGGGTCCAACGTCTAACCAGGGCTCGCGCGGACACGGCGGAGGCGATTGTGAGTCCGACAGCGACAATGGGTCCGAGATATCGGAGAGAGTTCTGCCAAGCGGGGAAGATCTGCATCAAGATCAAATAAAGCGGTCATGCAGTTTAGAAATTTCTTGACTTCATTGAAAATTTACTTACAGCAAACCCCACCATATCTTGCTTGTCGTCACATATTAGCGGAACACAATAACGTAAGAAATATTGATACTATCAGTGCGGGCTCAATGATGATTTCTGGATCTCGGAATAGCTGAAAGCAATTTTTGGCGTCTTTGCTTAGCATAGGAGCATAGTAGTTTTATAAAGGGGGTACTAAGAGGGGTATAAAGAGGGGCTTTATGAACTTTCAAGAGCAGTCTTCTACCAGTGTACCTATGCATACATAAAATTAACGAAGTGGAAGAAGTTCGAACTGTGTTTTGTCTCGTATGAAATATAAACTTTAGCCAACTTGAGATAAGGATACATTTTTGAAAAACCAATTTCGCCCACAATATATCACACAGAGACAATATATAACACACGGAAAGTGTGAATTAATAAAGAAACAGGTATATCGAACGGTAAAACACTGTCTATTGTAACGACGTAATAGAACGGTATGAAAAATAATAGAGCAGTTTTCCTTACCTTTCAACGATATCGTCTACTTTGACGTGATTACTTGTGATCGCCACCGTACTGATAAGCACACGTTGATCGATCCCCCATGGACAGAGAAGGAACGAGTGTCCGCTAAGGTACCAATTTTGTGAGGCCTCGATCATGTCGCTTGGATGGCCTTCCAGTGCTGCAGCGAGATAAAAACATTAGGAAACATCAACTTTAGCACAATTGGCCGTCCCCCACCACACTAGAAGCCCGCCTGTGCTCGGACAGATCAATTTCTATGGCGGTTGCGTGGCTGCAAGGTCTATTGGGCGCACCTCACGACTTCCATGAAAGCGTCCAAAGAACCCTAGATCCGAAAGTTGTGAAGCATCCCAGATCGAGGACTGGCCAAGAGAAGAATTTTCACTGTGACTGCAATGATTTGCACTTGAAGCTGAGCCGTTGAAAGACTTTTCCAACGTTGTTAGTCCCTTGTTGCAGCCCAGATCAACTATCCTAATCGAAAACCCATACACCCGCACACAAGGACACTTACACAGCCCCTGGCACAGCTGACCTCTAGTAGCGAAGAGGCGGACTACTGGCGTGAATTCGCCGAAGGGTAAATGTGGAATACGCATAACAATCTGCTCCAATTGAAGACTCCAGCGACGGTTCATCCAAAGATGGCCTGGCATATGGTTTCCAGGCGGCAGAAACCGCACTGACGTATTAGACTGTAGTATAAGTGAGTCCCTAGTTGAGGCACATAGTATAACAAAATAATCGAATTGAAATAAAAGACGACATTAAAAAGCATCGATTACTGTTCGTTTTCGTAATAAATGAACGGGTATGTAATATATTCGTGCGGATTGTATGTTTGCTAAAGCATTTTTATTTCTAGTAATTGAAGCGGATCTGATAGCAATCCTAATTGGTAAACATATTAGAAATCTTTGACATGAATTCTACAGATCTATGTATGAGTATATAACAAGACTACCTTCAACGGCCAAGTTCTGACGCTCTGGAGTATACTTTATATATATAAATAGAATTTATAATGAAAAGTTGTTGTCTATATAGTAATTGTATCAGGTATTGCGGATGTTATAGCTTCTGCACAAAAGAAGAAAGATTCCAAATATCAATTTCATTTAATAAGAGTGTCGAACGTGCGAATGCCATGTCAAACCATAAAGAAATAAGCATAGACGTCAAACAGATCGGCAGCGAGAGACACCTCTGACTGTTGCGATTTTCAGCAGGAGCTGACGCGGCGAACTCCACGCAAATTGAATAGTAGAGCCATGGCTGCAAGTTGGCAAAGCGGAAATGGATACACGGAAAACTGCCAGAGATCGCCAGCTAAAAAAAGATGACAGAAAAATTATATGAAACACTATGAGTAATAACTATACGGCGATTATCATGAACGTGTGTAATATGTAATTGATCATGCAGTGGCTAGCTTCGCTGTATCAGTTACGGCTTAGTTCTTACTACACTTAATAAGCATACAGGATGGAATAAAAGTCTGCCATCCTGTAATATATGGTAGCTTTGAATTTACGTCGCGCTATTTAGACTGCTCCACATAATTCCTTCTTAGGCATGTCGAGTGAAATCCAGTCATTCCTAAAAACGACTAATAGATTGTACAACTTCCGCTGTCCGACGTCATCAGGCCTGTCCTGTATTCGTTCGCGACAACAGGCCCACACAACCAAGCCTATCGTCACTCCAAGGCACATCCGGCTATCGTAACACTACTACTAGCTGTGATAACTAAGTGTGCGTTTTACCCAATAGCATCGATTTTTGTTTTTTTCAATAATCTGCAGACTTGCAAAGTGCTGTTCAACATAGTAGGACGAGACGTACTCTCATCAGTCTGCATCCCCCAGTACAGAAAGAAGCACGCCGTCGGCGAATGTACAGTTGTGTTAACGTCTGGCTGGCACCGATGGCAGCTTGAAAACCAAGGCCGTGGGTAATTTTCGTGGGACTGGTCGTAATGCCTTCGAACCGGTTTAGCTCGGATTGGGTGCCCTCGCTGAGGGTAAACCCGTGCATCTTCCGTCCTTTTTGCAACACCCGTATTACCGCCTTTTAGCGAGTATGGTTAGTCGAGACGCCATGTCCAATTCGCTCAGGGTGATGCTTTCGACGGCAGGTATATGGGCTTGATGATGCGCACTACGACCTTAAAGCTTCATGGTGCTGATTGGAACCTCCCACTCTGGTTTGTTTTGTTTTAACCCCAACCCATTCCTGCCTGTGAACGCTGCGCATCAAATCCTCCCTCGGAACAGCGACAGCACCTGGCATTTCTCCTTTGCTGGATGCACTTCTCGGATCACTCGAATCAACTCAGCGTAGGAATTAACTTTGACCACTGTGATGAAGTTCGCAAAAGTAGCTGATCTTACGGTTCTTTCAGAAGAAACTGAATTCGAACTTCAGCCCCAACTGCAGTTCCTGTCGGAACAGGAACCTACTGATCTAGTTATCCCAAAAGTCGTAGATATTACGCCAAAAGCTATTATGAGCCTCTATGCATGTTGCATATGCAAGGCAACGTGGGATTTCAAATGTAATATAAGCTAATAATAATATTGCAACTATAATGTAAAATGCAGCCGGGTAACAAGATGTCTGCATAATATTATAAACGATCTACTTCACTGGCCACCAATTCGTCTTTTAAGTGCTTAACCAACCGATTACTCACGATTTCGTCTCCGGAGCCAAAGCACGGTTGAGGCACTGGCCGGGGCATGTCGTGTATTACTTCACTAGCTAGAGCCGTTGGACTACAGCTGCATTGATGAAGTCCAAACTGTGGGCAAAGTTCATGACCCTCGTCGCATGTCCAAGGAGAAAAGTTCGAAGCAAGTGACGTCATCGATGAATGAAGTATCGGTGGCGGTGAACCCGCTGACTGAGTCGGGAGCGGCTGTACGAGCGATGGTATCAATGATGAAGCTGAGGGGAGCTCCGAGATCTGGGGTGGTGAGAGCAACGGGGCCGGGGGCGGTATCAGAGGAGCTGGGGCCGGATTTAGCGCGGTCACTCCCGGTGATGCTGCTGTTGCCGATAACGGTGCCAAACTTCCAACCACTGTCGAAGGCATTTGCCCTACCGAACATGGAAATGGTACCATGCCCGTACAAGAGGCAACAGCTGTAGCCAGCTCCATATCGTTAGCTGATAATGGCATGAGCATTTGCGACGTGTCCATTGTCGAAGTGTTCGGCAAAAAACAACTATTCCTCGGAGAAATTATTCCAGATCGTTGACCCAGTTGGTCAGCTGCGCAGTCGATTGAAGGAATATATCCTCCCTCACTGTAGTGTAATCGTGAACTTCGTTCCGAATGGTAAACGCTTCGTTTTTGATAGCCCCCGAGGTATCCTCCAGTTAGGACTGAATCACGGCAATGGGCTGAGGTCGGGGTACCTCGGTGTCGGCAGCTGTATTGCAGATAGTGAGAGGTCGGGGTTGGCGACGACATCCCTTCGATAGCCGTCAATTCTCGGTACTGCTGCATCTGTATGAACTGCAGCAGCTGATCTGAAGATTTCGCAGACAATAGTGCCGGCGAAAGGTAAGGAGAACTGTTGATCACACTCTGGGGTAGCTTGCTGGTCCGTTTCTTACGAGCCATTTTCGTACAACACGGTGAAATTACGCTGATAGTGGTAATAGATAATAAGACAGGTGAAGGAACTAGGCTTTCGTCTCGAAAGGCATGAACCTGACAACTAATCGTCGTTACCGGCACGGGCAGATCTTATCATAAGCACCAGCCAGAAAACCCAGCGTACCGTCACTGTTACGGTCTTGTCCGTCTGCTACCAGAAAAATCCTTTGAAAATTTTAGTGATGTAATCGTTTCCATAGTAAAACGGAATACAACGTCGCAGCGATTAATAACGGTAAACACATGTTGATGAAAACATTACGCAGGTCGTACGGAGCCAAAGAAATAGTGAACAACGTGAACGTGTTATGCAGTCACGTGCTGTAGGTGTACACACGTTGCACATGGCAAAGGATCGCTAGCGGGAAGTGTACAAAGCGGTGAATTCTGTCGCTTCGTAGGCTGTCTGTTATGTTTGCGTATTCAATTAGTGTATTATATAGTTCTGTGTACCTAGATACTTGTATGTGCGAAGTGATATCAACGTCCGAAATTTTATTTATTCAAGAATATTTTAAGGAAGCTCACCTTAACAGGGTTACATCTTAACGATCCGAGCACAAATTTTATTCCAGCAGAGAGGGCGAGAGCAAGCGAGAGAGAGAGAGAGAGAGAGAGATAAACGGCCTGATTTGTTAATCTCAGTGCAGTAAATAAACCAAGTTTAAAGGTTGGTCGTTATGATTGTTTGATTCCACCATATAATAGAAGCATTTTTGGGCGGGGGGGGGGGGGGTCTCCATCAGCTCAGAGTAAACGCTTGCGCACCTTCTACTTTCGAAGAGACAGGTTTAAAGGCGTCAAACCCTCAAGTCAGCGTTAAAAAAAGTGCAAGTGATTATTCTTATTCATGCTTCTAAGAATTTCCATTGTATGTTTTATCTCTACAGTTTATCGCTCCTGGAAAGAAGCACTTTTTAGCTTTAAACGAGACTAAGGCGATTCATCTGAGAGACGGAATCGTCGTTAGTCTCGGCTAACTTGTCAAAAATTCGATCAATTATAAATATCGTCCATCAGTAGGACATTGGTCAAGTTTCAAGCGCATTTTGTCGGAAAGGGTTACCATTGGTGGAACACGGGATTCGTATGCTATTTTCTTTTGGCCACTATTATCACTAATTTCTATTCTTACCGGTAGGTACTATTCGAGCAGCAGAGCCTATCAACATTTTATGTCAGTGTACATTAGCAGTAAGACAGGATTATATTATAAAGTATATTATAGCAAGCTTCCTCAACCACTACAGCCCGTACCACCTATGCCTAACAAATATTCAGCTTCACCACTGTCGTCACTGAATTGAAAATTGCTACCGTATTATTGGCTTATAACTTGTTGTATGTTTATTAAAACCCAAGTGACTTCTTCCGGAATAACGTCATCGTCGGCATAATCGTCCTTTTTCCTGCTTGCCGAAATTTACCTTCTTTCGCTCGCTTTTTGCTCTTGGCTCTCGCGTTTATTTCAATATTTTGCCTCTTTATGCCTATCTCTTCTTAGTCTTTTTCTCGCCCTGTCCGTTTTTCGTCTCTCACAGAACCGTCAAACCTGAATAGTGCAACGCATGGATCACACGACTCGCTCCATAGTCGTATTATTATAAGATTCCATTTACTTGACCTTTTCGCGTCGATGTCGCTCCATCTGCCTGACTCCACTGCTCGTGCACGTGTTATGAGTCGTCCTTTCGTAATACTAAGCAAATGACAATATTTTTTCCTTTCGCGCTATCTGTATGTCATCATTGCTTTATTTCCATTATTATGCGGCTTTACCCGTTGGGTCACTCATACCGTGTACCCATAGTGTATATGCCTCCTTTATATGCTCGCTTGTCCCACAGGCGTAATGCATCATTATTGACTATATTATACTATTAATTTAGATTATTATTACTACCAATTCTTCTGCTTTTATCCATTAGCTGCCAATTTTTCATAAAACTGTAATAACCCAGTTAAAGTCGAAGCCTTTTGATTATTGTGTGTTCGAATATACGTGGTGGGTCTATGTGGGGGTGCTCTGTTTGCTGTACCCTTCGTTACAGGCTTATTCGTTACGGCGGACTCTCAGCAAAAGCAAAAATTTGATAACGGATTTGTGGCAGCGCACTAATTATACCAGATGTATTAAGCTACTCAGTCATATCCAGTAGAAAAAAACAAATAGGTTCATTCAAAAAAATCAAGAATAAAACCTGTTCTTTAAGGGTAGAACCCGAATCATAAATATTATTCACTAAAATTTACGCCTAATTTTGAGTCTTAACTCGTTTATATTTATTTTCGTTGCATCACGTATGTGTGGTCTAATTCATTTCCTCGCTAGTGGCGCTACTTGATTATGTGGTATATAGTACGCGTTGATACTTTCTATCTCTGGGTCCACTGCTGTTCGCCTAATTTTATTTATAACATCTGTGGGAATAACAGAAGCTATTCCCGACACGAACACGATTCCGCTAGTGCGTTCATTTTATACTCAGCACTTTCATTGCATCCCGTAGAAGGTTCTATACAGACGCAGTGGCACTCGGAGCTATTTAGGCTCTCAGCTAGTTAGGACGAAAAATGGGGAAAAACGGAAAAGACAGAACAAAAGCGTACGTTTTGTTGCTTTCTGCTTGATCTTCTCCCTGCCTGCCTGCACGCGTACATACAGACACATACAGACAACTTGCGTACGATCGAGTTGGTATTATTTTTATTGTTTTTACTAATATTATTATAACCGCTGTTGTTATCAACGACTGCTATCACCAACATAATCTTGTTTCTCATCAGAGTGACCGTTTCAGTCTATCCTGTCATATTCAATACATATATTCTTATTACCATAACTATTTCCCGCACGCGGTTTCTAAATCATCGACGTGGTGTATATCCTGTTTCGACTACTCATTCTGATTCCAGGGCAGCGTGCTAGCGTACAGATACGCAAAGACATGATGCCAACCTTATAATAGTGTTGAGAAATGGAAGCTCCTACCAGCGGCCTGGATAACTTCCTCGTACTGTACGGGTATCGTTGGTGTCCTTGACATGATCGTCTGATCGTCTACCTCGCACCGTTTTATTTGAGGGTTCGCCGCTTCTTGCAAGTTAGCACTATTGTTCCCTATCATCGTGATTTTAATTAAATCTCTTCTTTTTGTCTTCTTGTCAATGTGATCGTAGGCTTAACTAGAGTCGAGTCTTTTTTTTGTTCACCAGTGAATCCTAATAGCTATTTGCGGTATACTTTCATTCTAGTATTGATAGAATCATCTTTTCTCCCTTTCACCCCTTTACAGGCTGCAGCTAGAGAAATATCTTTCCTCCACTTTTTCTTGAGTATTGTCTCTGTGCGTGCGTTTAATTACTCTGTTAATTATATCCGTACACATCCAAGTAGCAGTATATCTTGTTATATTTATCATTATTGGTGATTATTAAAATCTTAATTTTATTAATATCCATTTATTTTTGTATATTGTAACTTCAAGAACATTTTCAGTCTTAAACCAACTATCTCGTCATTGTTGGGGCACATCCATCCCCCACCTTAGCGTATTTACTCTTCTTAGTTCTACAGTTCTCGCTGACTACTAGACCTGGTTACCAGTTTTATGAACCTTTTACAACGACTCCAATAAGCTGCTCTTTCAACCATCTTAGACGATATCATTGTACTGAACCATTTTCTCATATAATAACATTAGCTTCTCGCTTTTTCATTTCTGCTGTTTCACTAATAACCGATTACGATTATCTGAACTATATCGTCCAATCGATATCTAACCAATTAGCCTGTATAGGATCTAATATTACAAAAAATAATCTTTTGAGAGTTCAAGACTGGAATTTTTGCCCTGGCAAGATTCACTGTCATGTTCTTCATACGATTTGCGATCCTCACCAGTATTATATCCTCTTAACAAATATTTTGCCCACTTTAATGTTTCGCAGATCATTTATGTAGTTCTTTCTATCCTTATATGCATATAATTGTCACTGGGTCGGCTTTAATTTTATCTAGACTACTTTCCGTGCACTGCAATCCTGTGTAGAATGGCGAAATTCAGGGACCCCGCAAACTAGTTCTACGAATAGTAGAATAATATAATAATAGATTTCGTCATCTTTAATATTGTTATTTGTTATTATTGCGACTTCATACCCCATCACATGAATAATATTCTTTTACTATTATTTCCTTAACCAATCGTGAAATATCGAAATAATTATACGGGGCTTCCAACCAGAAAATTCCCGCTGCACCATCCCCAAACGGAGAACATCAACAGTGGAGGCATTTTGTATCGCCAACGAACTCGTTGTTGTGCTTCTACTTTCGTCGCTTACTTCTCTGAATTAAACTGCCAGCTTTGTCATACGTGCCTGCGTAACTCACATGAGCGAACGTGATCAATTTTGCAGTGGCACGCTAACGTTAAACACCTTAGCAACACCAACTAGCTGGACGCTGGTCTCATTGCCATATATAAATATCGTATGTTTGCTCAACGGACGTTTTGGGTTTTCACAAGGGTTCTGCCTCGAATGAAGCTGTCGTTACGAGCAATGCGGAGAAATTTGTTTCTTCTTGCACTTTCAACTGAACAGGAAGGTCACGCGTCTTCGTATCTGCATATTGTTCTTTTCTCGATAAAAAAATGGCCTTTACCATCTTGACTTTTTACCCTTGTCCTCTTTTGCCTGCTGCGATAGTTTTTCCTGTCTCAATACGAGAGAAGGTGTCAATCCTACCCTATCTTGTGGTCGCAATACTCAGGAGAGTTATATCATACACACAAAAGAAAATCGCTAAAACGCTATACCTCCGTTTGGTGCATGTTGTTTTTGTCGTTAATAATATCGGTTTGGATTACACTTCAGTAAATTAAAAATTGCTTTCATTGTTTTCATCGTCAGTGTTTTTAAATTGCTCTTGTTTTTTTAAAAACGAGGCAGCAGTAATTCTCCGCCGATCTGGTTTCTGCTGCTGCTTTCTTCTGATGTTACGAGCGACACGTTTTTATCTTCTAGTCGCCCACCGATCTTGTTGCTCAAAAGATAAACTTTCCGAGAATGAAGCCACACACGATGAGCATGACGGCATAGACAAGCAGCGTGTTGTGCGAGACCTGCGACAGGGGCCCGAACGACGTACTTTGAGACACACCCGCACCCGCACCGCTGGGGACCTTCGACATGAAGGGTTCGCTTACCTGCGAGCTCTTCACTCGTTGACGTAGACCTTCCTCCTGCAAAATGCATGGTTTTTTTTTTATCGTCGGAACAATTCAGTGCTCTGTAACTACGATATGCTAACTATAAATCGTGAGAATATTACGGTGCACATAATATTAACCTATGTCAATCGAAGTGAACATCATATCATTTGTGTCAACTAAACGTTCTGAATATTCAATTTATTTGAGATTTGATGTGAGATTGAGTAAATTGATTTTTTTAGTAATACGAACTACTTGAATACCATAAGACAATTATTACGGGCTTTACCTTCAAAGAAGCATTTTCCTTTCGAAGCTGTATGTTCTCATCCTGAAGCTTCTTGAGCTCATCCCATGGCACTCCTTTAACAGTGTCCGCGCCTGGGACGTTACCACTTTCCAACTGTTTAAAAGAAAAAGGAGAATTAGTATTTACACTAGAATATGTCGACACTATCTCTGTATAGGACGAGAGAACCACAACTTGTAATACGGAGATCGAATCTCTATGAAAACTCGGGAAATCTCTAACGAATTTCTTCACGTCAGCAAAAATCACACAAACAATTACAGTAATAATCATAATAACGACAGTAGTAACGACCCGGTCAAGAGACCCCTAAAAAATTAAAGCCTTGCTACGAATTATCATTTAAGCGTCGCTCTAGCCCAACGCAGTACCAATTTGCAAAACCTCGGGATAAAAAAATCTATCGCAAAAAATAGCTATCGAAAACAAGCCATATGTTTTTATCCATTTTGTTATGTAAATATACTGGTGCATCGCTGTTATCGCCGTCGAGTTTCTTCTAATAGGTTATAGGTTTTTTAAAGAGGGGAAAGATGCAAAGATTAATCTGCCTGAGTTTTATGTACGAAACAGTTAACACATTTACATTCAATGAGCCGTTTACGATTGTACTACTAACTGTCTAAATTTGCCGAAACATTATGTCAATAAGAGATAAAAATAGGCCGGGAGCTAGAACGGTTACATTACTAATTTATAGAATTAATAATCAATGTCTGCTATTATTATTGACAAACGCTTCCCACCCGAACAATTTTAGCGGACGGTTTTGACCCCAATTTAGTCCCATATAGTGACGCGCGAGTGATTTTCGAACGATTTGCTTGTACTGATTGGCTAACTTGTACCGACGGGTCATGTTTAATGTCCGTAGACAGAGCTCTCGCTTGAATTCGGTCTGCAGTGAAGGGAGCATTTCGTAGAAATGGTAATTGGATTCGCTGAGGTTGCAAGGTGTACTTGTAAGCTTGTATTTGGTAGATGATAGTTGATAACTTAGAACGATAGGTTACCGTTATAAACCGTTGAGGTGAGGGTTCGACAGCGGGCTCCTGATTCTGCAATGATTGGTTCATACCAACATAAGTATGTTGTAATAGTAGTAGCAGAGATGGTTGCAACATAAAAGAAGAAATTATGTACAGAGTATACCCAGATAGCCGGAGATGATCCGAAGTCCACGAAAGAGCACATAAACACGATGTTAATTAGTGCAGATGGAGAATTGATGGTGAGTGCAGGTGTCATCACATAGATATAATAGTCATATATGATTGCGACCCGGCCATAGCGGTGACAGCGGTGGGTTTAGCGCAAAGTGGAGAGTTACAAAGAAATAACACAAAAACAGATGAGTAAACGACACGGACGTATTGTCAATTTGGTTAGTAATGGACAAATTAAATAACGGATGAATGGGCTTGGTGACAATGTCGGACCATCCAGATTATACATACTGTATAGGCGAGTAAGTAAGGAGTTTGCTCGTAATCGATTTTCCATAGAAATTATCGAATGCCGTTACTTCTTGCTTGAAGTATATGCATTCACCGCTAAATAATGCAGCATATTATACACCAGAGATCTTTTTCGGGTGGCAAATTTATTTTATGCTGAATATTTGTATGAAGAGGAAGAGGGTTACGCTATGCAATTAGACAGAGAAGGGTAGCCGAACAAGATCTATTCTCTGAAAAAATATTTTACCTTTCTCCTAATACTTGTCATACCTTAAGTTAGGGGTGTTTGGTTGGTTCGTTTCGCGAGAAATGGAGCCGCTCGAACCTTTGTGTAAACATCGCTTACTTTTGTGCCTTACTGTATAATTTACTTTCCTAAATGAATGTTATTTTTTCAGTTATACAATAGAGACCACCAGCAGCTGCTCTTGCTGTAGGCCACCGATGCAATTCTAAGAAAGAGTTAATATACAAACAAACACGGAGGCTACGAACTTTCAGCAAATGTAAATAAATATACGGTGCCAGAAAGGAGCGTGCTTTAGCACGGCAATCAAGCGAGCACTGATTATGACATAATTACTAACCAATATTTACTAGCTAACTACTAATATCATATTTTTTGGTCCACAAACAGACACTCGTTGTACCGACAAACCCTGGATGAGATGGAAAATTGATAATGCACAGTAGGAACTATCACTACGAATTCAGACCATAGAAGTTTACTGAATAAGCTATTATTATTTGCGGTTGTAATCGGCTCATTGCAGCTGACAGGCGCCCGATACTTAATGATCGCTATTACCTGGAGGGAAGCAGAGAACACATCCTGCGCGGGGTCCTGAGACGCCACCGTTGTCGTAACCTGGCTGCTTGCCATAGCTTCGTCTTCGTCTCCGGGCAGCTCAAACACGCATCGAAGCTTGGAGTCCATGAGTTGTTCCTTGGGAGCATCCTGAAATGATCAGGAAATGCCATGGCATTCGAATCCGAACAAAAACAAACAAAACTAGGACACCATTGCGATTTGTAGCTGTTGGTGAAATCTATTTGATTTGGTTTGTTGTATGCCGTTGTTGTACCGTATGCCGCTATTTTATGCCCATCAGACCTGTCAAAATTAGCGACGATAACCGAACTATTTTTGGACGCGCTTATTGAGAATGGAACAAGTTTTTTTGAAACCCTATGTATAATAGGCATTTAAATTTCTATGGTTTATAGTGGCTACAGCTGGTCTTACTGCAGATGTATATACGGTTTAGTTGTTTCTTACATGTTCCCAGTTGCGAATAAACCACTTACTTTCCAGATGATGTCATGATTGATTGGTCCTTCGGGCGCGATCATCGATTGCACCATGAATTTGTGCTTGTTACGCTCGTTTGGATCGTATTCAAAGGGCTGCAACATGACCTACATGAAAAAAAAACGCCACATAGAACAAATGTCTGTCTTCCTAATTTAACATACCGAAACAGCTGTGCGGAATAACATAGCACAATAAGACACAACTAACTATTGTATTCAAAACATAAGTAATGCAAATAAATGACTGAAGCATGCATTTCGAAAAGCTCGTGTTTTCTAGCACAACTACAAACATACGTTTGTGAGATTTATTTCATGGAACCTTCAAAAGACCTGTTCTTCACGGGCACTGATAAAGGGGATTAATCGGCCTTGCCTTGATCTTACTTGGCAATAATGCGTACAATAACTATGATAACGTATCTTGTTGTAGCATTCTAAAATAAACACATTTTTATTGGTAAATACGTTAATCCGCACATTTGGCGTAATGAAGTTCTGCGGAAAATTTTTTGCGACCGCACAAATCGGATAAACTCACCTGTACGGTCACAGTTTGTTTAGGGTCGATGACGCCGCAGTTCGGCCTAACACAGTACCGTTTTGGCGCGGTAGTTTTCACCTTAAAGCAGACACGCTTCTCTGAAGGATTCGATAGGTGAAGCAGAGCTGTTGACACCTCCGTAAATGGACCTGCAATATGAATAGCACAACAGCGGATCAAAGCTCATTTTAGTAGCTTCGATGAAGTGGCTGAACGATGAACCTGAACTTTGTGCTATGGTTGGTTTGGTACCTTTGTTCTAGGCATAACTTGAGCACAATTTTTCTAAGCACTTCCATGGCGCCTTTAGTGTGCCCTCGACGTCCAGCAGTTTCGTCATTTGGACTATTGACAACGTGTTGAGAATCTTTTGCAGCAATTTTTTCGTAGGTATAATTTACTATTCCTGATTGTGAAACGACAGTCTATGGTTAATTTACATAAGCTTTAGGGTACATTTGGACATTATGATTTGCTTTGGAAAATCCATCGCGATTTTTCGTCCCATGTCGCGTGAGTGACTACTGAGTTGACAAAAAACAGCACTAGAAGCAGCCGTAAAGTGACTTACTGAGACATTTTTATTGTTTGATGACGGCCTCTTAAAAGGGGCCTCTCTGGAGAAATAGGGTTACGTAAGTGGTCCTAAATTCCGCAATCTAACCTTTTTTTAAGCGCGAAATATGCTGTCCGTTATAGAAAGCCTTTACGTCCAAAGACAAAATCCTATATTAGTTACATTCTGTAGAGCTGCATTGCAAGATAATTATTACTGGTCTTGGAATAATGTCTTCTCCCTGGCCCTTCATTTTAACTGCCGTGCTTCCCGCCTCAAAAAGCATACTTAATTTTAATTAACCCGTGATATTCTTATTGTTGTTATTGCCATCATTTTTGTTTTAGAAAAACCAGCAAAAAGCTGGCGATTCAAAGGAAGACAATAGAAACAGTATAGGTTACGAATGCAAAAGATCGTTTTTTGTCTCTTCGACTTGAATGGACTTTATTAATAAAGATATCTTTTGTATCAGCTTTTTTTTGTCTTTTGTTATTTCAAATTATCAATAAGGTTTTAATTAATATTGCTTTTGCTACGCTTCCACAATCATGCAATATGATCTTTATTTGTTCTCAACTTTAACACGCAATCTGTTTTTAGATGTATTTATTTCCAAAGTGACCCTTTTTCATGTTTAGATTATTTGGGCTATTCCAAGTTCGATTCAAAATACAGCAGCTAAGAACAATAACGTAGTTTTATATATTTGAGAGCGGCCTTAAATAAAATTGTCGGCAATATTCGACGAACACCAAGACATAATACATAGTCCTTAAACTTGCACTCCGCCTCGATACAGGGTGTCGCCTCTTAATGGAAGGGAGTTCACTCGCTTGAACACTTAAAATGAAGTCTCTTTGATCACTTCAAATTACAATTTATCCTGGCATACTTACTCAAGTATGATATCTTTCTAGTCGTTCTATACGAGACATACATTAGTGACAGTTACGCACCAATCAGTTCGGAGTACAACGTACCAAAGAAAGAAGCAAGTTCCACATAAACACTAACAATCTTGTATCGCGTGTCTTTTTATCAGCAATTTTATCTCTAAATTTTGACAATTCTTTACCATTTAAACAGTAATCGCGCATCTGGCAGTCTCATCACATCGAGACAACGTAGCCGTTATCAACTCAACGGATTATTTACAAATATTCATGTATTGAATGATATGTATACGTATGAGAGAAAAGGTTCGTGATTTCGTCCAGCCTCGTCTCATCTCCTCAGTAATCAGACGATATCAGTTCAAGACGATTCAACTGTTAGCCTCTCCCACGCTTATTGTTACAATAAAGGAAATGGTTTGACACTATTGCGCTTAGAAGACCAGAAAGATGCTGAAAGAACAAGATAGATGGCCTTACCTAAAATCGTCTTTTTTTTGTCCCATGAAATTATATAATGAGTAAAATTACATGACCGGAAGAATAGCCTCCCCGCTATTCGGAATCGTACTCAGGCAGGCAGAAATTGCGGGCTTATTTGAAAAATTAGTTTTATTTCCAAAACGAATAAATAACTAGCAATAATTTTCATAGGCACACCAGCTGTATATATATGGAGACTCAATCAATGTCGTTGACTAAACGTTGGAGATGTAAATCGATGTGCAGCGCGCGTCCGGCCCCGCACGAAACTAGACAGCAGACAAGTCGACGAAGCTACTCGGCCTTATGACACTGGGGACCAGTTATTTGGTGTGAATGAACTAGGTTGGGCAGGCTAGCCTAGATCGACGAGGAATCACGCTCGTACCACCGAGAATCTAGTCGATAAAATGTCACCACAAATAGGTGACGCATATATGTACATATTTGATCTTGTTTTTATATACGGACACTAATAAAATGAAGCTTTTAGTACAGCTACGAGACAAAAGATATGGGTGTATAGGACATAAGACATTTAATTGGGAAAAAGCAAAGGGAGTTCTGAATGTTGGTACAAAAATGCCTTCTTAAACCACGCTTTTGTCACGTCAGCTACGTTTAGAAGCGAAAACCAAACATCTAAAGTTCGACCTAGTCACGAACTATTTGACAGCTTTCTGTAGATAACAACCCTATCACTCATCATACCCTAGAGAGAACTGAAGTGACGCTCGAATCAGTCCTACAAAGCGGACAACTATACAATTAAACTTTTCGACAGGAGGCACTCCAACATGATCTTACGCTGACAACTGCTGGTGAAACCTTACGGTGGTACGGCGAAATTTCGTAATCGGCGTAAGCCCACTGAAGCTAGCTATTGGTCATCTGTAACATGATTTCCATAGCACCCGTGAACAGCAGTAAATAAAATGAGAATACGCCGGGTCCTTATACGACAAAACTGATATCGTCCACAGTCAAAAAAGGAGCAGTTTATAGTTAGTAGAACATAGCTGAGCCAATCCCGCGACCGGAAAAGTCAAAAGCGATATAGTAGTGTATGCAAATGAAAACGGGATAATTACTGCCGCGTGAATCGACCTCAAAATTCGTTTCGGTGCGCGCTGTATGAATAAAAACAAATGCACTTATGTGAAGTTAAATATAACCAACCCGTAAAGATAATAGTACCCCCCTTTCTATATAGGTAAATATGTGTGAATGAATAAAAATTTTTCTTCTTCTTCTGCCCAAGAATTACCTCAAAAGCTTCAACAACGCGAAATACTACAACGAGTAATAACTGTAGATCTATTTGTTTACGAACCACTGAAGTTTAACAGCCTTGCGGCCTTATGCTGTCTGCCACCTGTGGCTGCTTAAAACCGTTCAGTTCCGCCGCTAAAAGCGAGCTAAAATCCGCGAATGAGTTAAGTCAAACAGTAGACATGCACGAAGCTATCATTTTCCTTACTTTGCTCTGTTATGCACAGAAAGTAGAATCTTTACGATTAAAACGTGTCTTTCAATTGATTTATTTTAATTTACGGACTGGAGTTCATAAAATAGACTGCCTGATTATCCTCTACTTCGACTGTAATCTATAGAGGCCTCGCTCTCGCGATTAAAATGTACAAACATGTACATTTTAATTTTCTATATATTTTTCGAATATTATTTCATTCTTTTAACATAAATATTGTAGATCGTTTAACTCTATATGCTGCCCTTTGCTTCTGCCAGATCAAAGCGATTCAGCCCCACACACTCACCTATAATACAACATTACTTCTACCTATGCTCGACGCCTAACTATTCTATACAACTGCGATAAATCACCTATCTTTATCTGTGGGCAATCCGGTCACACGTTTCTACAAACGATTTGTAAACACAGGTATCTAGTAGCTGAATCATCTTCTCTAACCTTTAAAGGCAAACTTCTAAACGTATATTTAAGTACTGTGAGTGTATTGTTTTAGATGACATGTTCTTGCTACAAAAGTGTAAATATAGGTACTATTTATTCATCAAAAAGATATAATAAACACGGTGCCATCACCTAGATTAGATGAGACTTGACCTTATCAAGTACGATGAGTGCGGATGTTACCGTTTCTCACTTTTATCAAAGGTCTGCTTCTTTCGAATTTCACAAATCACATACGTGCCGTCGCATACTAGCGCTTTGTGCAAAAACGAATTATCATCCGGGCCCAGTAACAAACTAAGATTTTACCTACAGTTTTATGCTATTATAATATTAGTTAACCTCTGCTATTAAAAGAACTGTCACTTTTCGATTTGTTCAAAACGCAATCACAACGACTATAAGTCAAATTACGGCAAATTAACTGCAAAAATAAAAGTGAACACGATAAATCTTCTTAGTTTCACGGCCTTTCTATTACGGACCGTTATAACATCAAGTGAACGAATAGGTCAAGATGTAAATCTATGGATTCCACTAATTTTCTTCTAATCAGTCATTTAACACTCTCTTAGGGCCATACGAGATATCGAACTTCCTTTTAGTCGCTTGTGGCAATACACATACAAATGGACAGCAGAAAAGACGGGGACAATGACGACCGACGATAGGGGATGTATAGATAGTGGTGTCGACTGTCCTGTTTGTAGTGTTAGCGGCAGTAGAATCAAAGACTGTTATTATAAGCATTACTATTAATCCAGATAGATTATGTAACGAAAGCAGGAACCACACCTACTCAAGCTAGCTAATCAAACTGTCGTACGGGTAACGGGTAACTTGGAAAATACCGGTGTACAGTATTGGGAACAGAAATGAGGACAGGCAAGGTGGGTGAGTATGCAAATGGGTGCCTTATGAGATTCGATGGCCGCTACAGGTAGATGTTTTTGACAGTCAACGACAAGCGGCTGTAGCGGCGAAATAAGGAGACGATGCTAGCGGCTGGTTAGTATCGTAGAGCAATTGAATTGGCTATGTGTCACTGAACTGTCGACAGCAAATAAAGCGCCATTCACGAATCAGTCGTCAGGTGTGTCAACAGCCATTACTAAGAACTGTAAGCTGCATAAGGCAATGCAGCAGTAGCAAAAACAAGGATAACCGAACAACACATAATGCTATTTGACGTCAATTAATACAGCCAGTAGTAATATTGTTCCTGCTGTTACTCAACTAGTCCCGTTCGCACAACGTTCTCCAACACCAGCCCTACGCGGACTAGAAAACGAAGTCAAATGAAAAGAGTGCCGACCACTATGATGCTCAGTGCTTGTACGATTGCCGAAGAGAAATTCACAGATGGCACGCGGCAGCAAAGCAGTCAGCCATCGAGCACAAACAAGGGCCTTAGCTGGCACAAAGACGTTTGAAGTATAGCGTCGCCGCTGCTGTTGCAACATTATTTCAGTATCAGTGAGTCAATTATAACTAATCATCTCTACTAGCGAACTCATGCCTATCCGTGTGTCTTTCTATTCTCATGATAATCAACAAAAACACGGCTGAAGTCCAGTGGTAGAGCATAAGATATAAAATAACAGAAAGAAAAACGAGGACAGGAGAGGAGGCGAACGGAAGATGAATGTTATTTGTTCTCATAGTTCAGGCAGAATTGAGAGGAAATAAAAGAAGTTAGTGAAAAAAATCCAATCTGGCACTGGCGATGGTTGGTGCTATGACCTATGCATTGGTCAATAGAAGCTATATTAGGCTACACATTGTTGGTAACCAACATGTCTTCATGGTAGTATTAGATCTGAAACTGAGAAAATTTGCTGGTTAAGTTTAGATTACATGTGCTCAGGCGTTATTTTAAGGTTTACATACGCTTTCTACAACAACCGCAGTTACCGCGAGCAATTTTACAAACGCTTGTTGCTAGCGCAAAAAATGTTTATTATTTTTCATTTACCAGCGAGTCCAAACGTTTAAAACACGCTTACTGATTACTCGAAACGAGGCACTTGAAGCACAACAACTTCTGACGGCTTGTCACTATAAATGATTCTCATAACAGTGATAAAAAATTCAGCCAACTTGTCATGACAAATACGTAACTCGTCAACTTACTGTCTCTTCGTCGTGGGTGGCACGTACGCCTCACACGGTACATGTATCTACATACCAAGCAATGAGACTTTTGTTTCGAGAAGGATCCACCGTAATGAGTATCCATCCAATCGACAGAACATCGTTACGATAAGCCACTGCTGCCACCGTTATTACTGAAACGCGCTTGCATTAATGTCTGCCAGAACTCTAGGCCAGATCAGACCGGCAATCAGGGCGGCAGCAGCTGCTACTGCTGCAATACTACGCCGTTCGAAACCTCGCGAGATTCCCGTCCAAAACATAACACACTCAAGAAACCAAGTATCACAGATTGATTGCGCCTAATCCCACTGAAGGCTGGCTGGCCGGTCGACTCATTATTCGTACAGAGTAGCAGTGGTAGTAACTGGTTTCCCGACTCTTTGCCGTGGTCTATTATCATCTGGCAAGATTCTACCGCAGCCTGTGGCGCCTAAGTGTGCACTGTCACCGAGCGACGGGTCCGACCCGACTTAGAATATTTCCCAACCAGATGCGGCCGTGCCTTGGCCGGCGAAAGCACATTTTCTTTGTCGCCAATGGTTCCCTATAGTTTCATGTCACCATGACAATAGGTGGATCGTTCACTATGTGTTATATGAAATTTTCAAGAACATGGACTGGCTTTCAGCTGGGCAATACTGGCCATAGCATAAGCAAAAGCTGTTAGTGCATGGTCTACTGCGGTAACTTCTAACGCGTACTGGGTTTCTATACGACCCGATAATATAGTTATGACTTCATATCGTATACGCCACAATGATAACATCCTGTTGGTATGTCGACAATCACAGCGGCAGGGAAAATCAAATATGTGACTATTGTCCAACTTAAGTTTCATAAACTTCACAAAATCATAATTTTTTAGCTAGCTATTTCCTAGCTGTTCACTAGATTAGCCACTTACTAATGCCTATACCTTGCGGCAGGTACAGCGTATTAACAGAGATGTGTATACGGAGTCTATGCTCACCTTTGAAGCGCAGCTCCGTCTTGGGTTCGAGCAGAAGGATCTGCTCCATGGCTGCCATTGAGATTTATCACGTCAACCACTAGGAAAAAAGAATTGTCCAGCCGTTCTTTTCACGCTCACTGAACTGCACTCAGGTCCTAAGCACACGACCCGCACCTTACTCCTGAAATGCTCTGCTGAGTATATATATCTATCTATCTATTTATCTATCTATCTATCTATGTATGTATGTATATATATATATATATATATATATATATATATATATATATATATATATAGCTCGCCTTTTGACACTCGATTGCTCACAGTCTCCTCACACTAATGACGTCGTATTCCGACACAATCACAGTACTCGACAAAAGACCTTCTCGGGAATGCAGGCCTCTCTGTCAATTAACCACTTGGACAATAGCTTTATAAAAATTTTGTTGTTGTCAACTGGGAAGTCTTCGCCAACCATCCAGGTTGCTAACTCAACGAGTATTTCCCTAAAATTTACGGAACGGCTGGCGTGTTGGGCAGTTCCCGTTGCCTCGTCTCCAGAGCGCGAACGACCGCTGCCGCTACGCAATCAGCAGCAGTGTGCGTACTATTCACTTTACTCTGTAGTCAGTGCTGTCTCTATTTACCGCCTGCCTTTGCTTTTCTGGTACCCACACTCTGGGCTGACGGTCCGCTGGCGATCACTCCTGCTGAGTTGGCTGCCGACCGTCTGCCAGACGCACCAACGAAACAAATGAACTATTGAGTGTACAACAGATACGCAGCGCTACTGTCGTCGTATCAAACGAGACAGAATGAGAAAGTGGGATCCGAGCAAACAACAACAATAACAACAGCAACAGTAACGAAAGACGCAGTAGCAGCCGAGAGCTCGATATCCAGCGGCATGCAGCACTGCATCAGGTGAACTGATGAAACACAGTTGTCCACGCTGTTCTGTCCGCCAAAACGGATACTCGACTCACTACCGCTACTGCGATACTATGATAAATCTTAGCCGCAGCCGTGTTCCTTCAACTGAGATCAGCGCATAGCAATAGAACCACTCGCATTAATAGCGGAGCTAGCCAGATCGTCTGATTTCAGCTTAACGATACCGACTAAAATCTCCCTCGCCACCAAAAAGCGACATTCCAGTCAAATAGACAAGATTTTCACACTGAGTTAGCAGCAGTAGCAGGTGGCATAGAAGGATCGCTACAGACGACAGCAGTCAAAATAGTCAGACACCAGGGGGATTCACGCTAGCGACGCGATTACCGTCCCGTTCATTGACCGCTGCTGCTGCTGTTATCGTGACCGCCGCAATCAGTAGCAGTCGAAAACAGCAGCGCAGAGCGATTGGGTGGTTCAGCAACGTCTTCGTCGTCGTCTTAGATGCCGACCACCGTAACAAACAGCGGGTTAACCGCACACGGTTTCTGCTGCTCGCCTGCTCATCTACCCGTAGTGCGCTAAGCAGACAGACCACGCAGAATAACCAGCAGCAAATGCCACGGACACACCGCCACTCTAACAACAACAACAGCAGCAACAACGAGCTATTTCGATGAGAGACAAGACAAGGACAAAACTGCCGTGGCGCCAAAGGCACACCATGGGCCATGGGCTTGCACTAACGGCGACGACTGTCGCCTGGAACTATCGCTGGAGAAGTAGCAACGGCAACAACATTAGCAGCAAAAACGTCTGCGTCAAAGGATTCCACCAGTAGCATACTTCTAGTAATCATTACCGCCGCAAATCGACATTCTGCTAGTCAACAGCATTGGCTGTAGGCAAAGGGCGGAAATCGGTGCATATCTATCTGGATGTCTATCTGCCCATTAACCCTCCGCTCCACTCGTTGCGAAAACGGCCCGGTCGTAGTGAGGTGGATCAACAAAACCATCAACACGCAGTGCAATCGCGCAGGAGCTCTCTCTGCATAGCAATGATGACAACAGAAGAAAATTGGCAGTAGCTCTGGCTAGACTCAAATCGGGCTATTAGTTCGTTTGCTAGCAACTTCATCTCTGCTGCCGCTGCCATAAATATGGCTGGCCTGTGCGAGGCGAATTCAGCGTCTTTGTACGGCTCGAAGCTGGCTTGCCCCTATTGCAAGCGTCATATCGTCCACGGAGTGCCCCATAAAACTTCTGGACAATGATAGATACTAGTAACACTGTCTATATCATATACACTACTATATTATGTATTTAATATTTCGGCATTTACTTATCCATCTGAATAATAACTTGTTATATACTCATGAAACCTTTAGTAATTTAAATTTAACATTAAGGTTTCAAGTACCGTCCTCTTCCGGTACGACACGAGCCAGTATCTTCTCACTGAACTCATCCAATATAGCAAAGCTAACGACCGATTAAAGGGCTATTTATCACGTCGCTGCAAATGACGTATCAAAGGTATCACAAATAGAAAATACAACCTCTTCGACTACACAGCCAGTTGAGGATAAATCATACACACCCGCCAGGAAAGCAATGCTTCGTTTCGATGGACGATGCTTATAACAATCAGAAGCATCAATTAACACATCAGCGCGACGCAAGTGCAAACGTCCACGTATTCGACCAGTTGTCGCAAAGAGAAAGCGCCAAGATTAGATAATATACTACGGTATGATTAGGCCTAGGTACAGCACCAATCAGTTCATAATGGCCATTTTAGATGAACTCCAGAAGCAGAAAAATAGAGGGCAAGTCAATCTGCACTGGAGCGTATCTGACTAACGAGATGGGCTCACAAATGGCCGAATGAACATGCAAGCCCCGTTTCGATACGTTTCCTCATAGCCTTTTGAAAATGGATTCCCTTAACTGCGTTACTTGCCACAGTTTCATGAATTTAGGCAGATTCTGCTAAAAACATTACCGTTGAAAGCCGAAAAGCTCACATTGGCCTTTGAAACGCCAACAGCCTGCTACTGCTAAGATAGTACCGTATACTGCGATAAGCTTACTAAGAATACTTCATTTTTCACCACCAGAATGCCGAGAGGTATAAAGAAATATGTTCACAGTCAAGTACTATTCTAAATACACGTTCAAAAAATGAAAAGCAATGGGTGGGTCAAATGTTAGAGGCAAGATATTGTCGTAAATGTCTACCTAAGGCAAGATGAACACTTTACTGGAGGCTTATTTTTATACTGGTTTTCATCAAATCAAAAGTTCTTTGGAAGCTAGAACCCGTAACTATATTCACAACTGTATGCGGTTAAAAATTATTCGAAGCTTAATGAGAGATATTTTTCTTAGCCTATTTTACAAAAGCTTTCCGATCGTGCTCCTTACACGTCACCTTAAGACATATACGACACATAATCGAAGTCATGTTAGAATATATTTTTATTACAGCACAATCAATTATTCCGATCCTCTGACGTACTAGCAACAAACATTACCTAAGCGAACAATTTTAGTACTTTAAAAAACGTGGATTTTTTTCGAAATATATACAGTTGTAATGGCACATATGTGATTTTGCTAGAACATCTTGCTTAACTTTATAGGCAAATTTTCTTTTTTATGAGTAAGTAGCTTTTCTGATGCCAACTAGTTTGACACCCGGCATTTGGCGCTTAATTGCAAGCCCGGGCCACAGGGTAGAAAATCTATTATCTATTCTAACTGTTGTTCATTGCTTCTCAGATCGCCCGATGCACTGCCAACCCGACCATGCACAGATCATCATTGCACGCATCTTGTTTAGAACTAGTGAGCCATGATTAGAGAAGGAGGTGATGGGAAAGAGTGAATTCATCTAGCAGACGGTTGAAAGAATGAGGGTATAAAAATAAAACCTCAATTAATCACAGCCAACGTTTTCGAACAGTGTATCGTAGAACGGGCCCGCCAGTTTGGCGGAATTTTCAAGAGAGGGAGCGCCGCGGACTCCCACTCCTATCCGAGTTTTGCCGTGATGGAACAACCGCAATTCTCTACCGTCACGGATTCACCAAATAGTAGTGGTTTAACGTACTGCAGAACTGTATTTTCAAAATAGCTAAATTTAATTATCGTTATATTAATGAAAAAATGCGCCGTGTCATTGTTGTCTAGAGAAGATTTTGATCGCGAGGCGTATACCGCTTATTCTGCACCAAACAAGAAAATAGTTCATTATGAATTGCTCATCTGTTGCACGCAGATTAATTTCCATAATGTAACTTATTATAAAGGGCATGTTCTATTGCTCACACTATATATAGGATCAATGCCTATAGTACAATATAGGGTTTTCCCTGTTTTTGTATATATGTACATATTTATATAAACATATATATGTTGAGGCCTTGTTTTGTGCTCAGCCATCTTGTTCGACAGCCTGCGGTAGTGGAGAGTCGCCGTGGATACATACTCCGAAGTCCTGGTAGATATCATCTCTGAGCACCCGCCGTCGTATTGTTGTAGCACCAGCTTCCATCGGAGCGCGCGTACTTTTGGTCGCAGTGCAGGTTCATCGTGCTCTCTGTGTATTGGCGCGCTGTGTAAACTCGATAGACCGGCGTATAGCTGCAACAGCAGCGATAGAGCAGGCGCTGCGATTCCGCGCTCAGCCTGTCAGTTTATGGAGAGCACCGACGTTATGGCCGCTCCGCCTTTCGCGTTGCGTTTGGCCCAAACGGTGACTGGCTCTGTGTCCATCTCTTTTTGTAGCTGCTGCTTCCGTTGCTATTGATGCCGCTTTGCCATAGACAGCGCAGACGACTGGTGCAAACGACCAGGCCAACAAAAGGCCACGTCCGAAACCTGTTCTTTCATTTCGAGCGCACGCTACAGTAGCGGCGGCGACAAGTGAGTGCACGACGGTGCTAGATAATCCTCTCCAGTATGGCGTTCTGAGCATGATCTATGCGTGTTCGAATGGGCGGCACTGTGCAGTACTGTGTCACGCTAAACGGCAACCCTACGACGACTTATATAAGATAGCATGCGCCCATGGAGCAAATACCTAGCTTGAGCAGCAACTTAACGAATATCAGCCTTCACTTTCATCTTGTACACAAGATTGTATATGCCGAGTTATTCTGAATGACTGCCGTTCACAACAGCAGTCTTTAGCAGGCTATTTGAAATCGAAAAACGTGCGGGAATCTGCTATGAGGTATCTGTCGCTCTCTTTCTTTCTTTCTCATTCTCTCTCTAATATATATATATATATAAAATACGTCCCGCATCAGATGTTTACCAACCCTTCAGTGGGCAAGTTGGACTAGTTGGTTTGGGCGCGCAGTGAAAATCTCGTATAAGGCTTCGCTTTTGCAACGATCGACATGTTTTATGTTCACATTGACAGACGTGTGTGTGCTAAAAATGTTGCCATACCAATTCATGCTAGCACGCTGGACAAACGGTGCGTGCTGTTGTTGACCAGCGCAGTCGCCTAGCTGGCTCCAGCTAGGCGGAGCGTGAAAACGCTATGAGAACAGGAAACCTCGAGAACGATGTTATTTAATGTCTGCGTGTGTGGCGGCTAGCTGGAACTGTTTTTGTCCATTTACCTATCCATGAAATAGGCAGTGAAAGAGAGCGCGACATTAATTCTAATGTCAACTAGTGTCTGTCGTCGATGAGTGGCTGTTTACTACGAAGAATGATGAAAAATTTTTTGAAAAGTGTTTTTTCTGCAGCTCTGTGTCGCGATCGACCGGCCGAACTCATTGTATTTATCTGTGTCACAAAGACAATCTTAACAAATTGATAGAGATTCAGCTGTACGCGGAAAACACAACGAAAAACTTCTACCGTGTCTGGTTAAGGTAAAACAACTTCTAGTGACATTGTAATGTTTTCCAGAACAAAACAATAGCGGACTACGTTAAGAGTCGGTGTATTTTGCTTGAGTTGAAAATGATTTACTAGTACAATCATAAATATGGTGAATAGACAATAGAAAGATATCAGCCGAGTCCCATAGTTTTCACATATATAGAGATTAGGCTACTTGCACATAGGAGGTGACATATTCGTTGAAATACGTTAATTTTTAGTTGAAAATCTTTACGAATAATCCACTGGAACGAGGTGAGTATCGTCGGCTATAGTAATTTTTGCAGACTGAGAGGCCCTTTAAGAAGTTCGTAGTAACGCCAGAAGACACTACTTGACGAACGATTCGGAGCATTTAGCTAGCTTAAACTGTTGATTAAATGGTGATAAAATTCGATGACCGACTCCTAGCTTCTATGATGATTTTCATATATATCTGTGTAATGTTTGTTCAGTATGATGACGTGAAGGTGCATCACAGTCGTGCTCTCTTTCTGGGCTTGATATATTAACGATAGGATGATGTGGGAGTCTTAGTTGGTCGGATTAGAATTTGTTTACCGAATTGGGGTTTCATTTTGTGGGTTCAAATTTGTGGTTAGTTAGCTATAGTGATAACAACGACAAATAGCCAAAAATTATCAAGGACACCGCTAACGTCAGCGGTAAATTTCCGCCCGCTAAACACAATGAACGCAATGTATAGCTGTAGCTGGGTACCACTAATGTATTGCAAGCAGTTCTTCTTTATGCCGGTGTGTAAGCGATTAGGCAGTAATTTAGACGGGTTTTCCTGGACATATCTGGGCATTTCTCTAGTAGACATGATGACCTGCTGGCGAGTCAACAAGCATTAGAATGGATTAGTTCAAATTAGTCCAATATAAGTATAATATATAATTTACTCCAGAGGGAAAACTTTGAGGAGCAGCACGGACGTATCTAGTAAACATTGGCTAATAACGAACAGACCCTTCGGTCGGAATAAATTGGCTCCTTATTTGAAGATAGGGCAGCTTCTAACGGTCCAGATAGGGTTGCAACGTTGTTATTACGATATAAAAGCTCCTTAGCTTCGAAATATGAGGCTGCTACTGCTTAGTTTAATTCAAAAGCCTCTAACAAAACCATTTCTAGATCGATCGCTCTGTACACGTGGCATTCATCACGATCTTAAAGAGGATGATAGGTTCTTTGTAAAATGACTTGAGAGATAAGTTTATTTAAATGGCCGAATTTGTTGGTTAGGGAAAATTTTGTGACGCCCAAAACACAACCTATCACGAAGTGCGCTGAGGCAGTTGGTACTATATGGGGTGTACCCTAGTTGGGTGCCCATTCAACCCCCAACCGGGACTTCACATTATTTTCAGTTGTTAGAATTTTCAAAAGCAGTTCATTACGCAGCCATCTTTAATAAATATGAATATATCATACTTAAATGGACTATTTGTAATTCTATGCTAAAAAGAAACTCTGGTAGCTTATAATTTTCTAACTATTGTTTTTAGGAGGACGACGGCATGTACTATCCTGTTAATGAAAGTTCAATAAGTAAATATAATAGTGTGACTCGACACATGTCGCCGAGCCGACAAAACGAAATCTTACGGTCATACTTGGTCATGATTAGAACTCAAAATAACTTTTTGATATATGTTCAGGCTACGCACTAAATATTCGAATAATAGTGGACTAATCAAGTTTGTTAATGTTCTTTGGTCGAGGAAAGCCGTGATGACATTTCTAATAACTGCGTATTTTCAAGTTAAAGATGAGTATAAAAGGTATGTTTAACTAAAACAAACATATAGTTTTAACTTTTTGCTTTTATAACTAATGATAAGTGTCCAGTAGAAAGAACTGTTGTTAAACAAGCGTAAATGGTGGTATGCTAAAAAATAATTATATTAAATGATGTAGTTCAGTATATTTGAGGCATCAAAATTGAAAAGAGACATGACTTTGTCGGTTAAAGAAAACGAGATGGTATAATCAGAGGAAAAAAACACAGGTATAATAGGATCTAGGGTATTGAACTTGTAACTACACTTCTTAATAAAATTAACCAGTCATATTGGTTCACTTTGGCACAAATAGATCGCATTAAAAATAACAGATCCTGAGTTTACAATAACATTTGAACGTAATGAATTGTCATAAACTATTATATAGCTTTACAAACGTTACACAGTTTCTCTGAGGACTGGCGATGATCGATGCCTGCTCGAGTTGTGTAGAGTCATGTCTTTGACATGAAATAGGTGATCAGTAATTTACATGATGGATCTATTGAATGCTCATGAAAAGGTGTCCAATTGCCGTGGTCCCAGCTAACAGCACTCCCTATACAGTTCAACAGATCTTCTATTAGCTGGAGAGGGGTCGAGCAGATCAATTTAACGGGAACTGTTATCACCGATATAAATGCTGTAAAATCGGCATAGCGAAAACCGTACGTCGTCGAGAATATTCAAGTGTGTTGAATTATTATTATCAAGAAACGCTCGCATGTATTCTATTATAGTTTTTTTTTGTTTTCTTCCTTTTCATAAGGTGAAAGAATAGTACATGCAGATATCAGAAACACAATATTCAGAATTGGAATACCATTGAAAAATATTGCAATCAAGATTAGAGGTTTTTGGTGGAAAAAGGTCGGGTTCCGCTAGCGACACATACGACACAGCTTGTGTAAATACGTGAAGATAATCGAATCAACCCATGGGTTAGCAAAACCGAGTTTTCGCCTGTCACCAATGTTATTTGAATGAATTATGTTACTTGTACGACACACACGATGAGCTCATAGATTGCTTCACATGATTTTATAGATAATTAATTAGTACCATGTCCATGGCCAGTTTCAAATCATCATAGGCTTGTTGATCGCGTTAACAATTTATGACATTTTCCATTTTCTGATTCAAGTGTTACGTGTCGCTGATGAATCAAATGCAGGGTGGTTATTAAAACCGCCACAGCGTTCATATCTCCTATCTATTTCTCTCCTGAAACATTTTATAGCCAAACTAACATTATTGGCCGGTTATAGAAGTAATGTCTACGGTAGGACCGTATCCGACGATATTGCTATATGTAAAGCTTGGATCAATGATTAAAAGTATGCTTGCAATGATCTCACCGCTCTGTATCGCAGATGTGTAGGTCGTTTACGAACAATAAGAGATTTGTATGGTAGGGTATTGGTAATACGGCACATCTTTCCAGTTGACCAGTTCGTGACAAATTAAAGTTCAGAAAAAAACGGAACTTCTGACGTTTTCTCAAAGATGAAGCAAACGTTTGCGTATTCCATTTTTCCTCAACGATGTTTCGCGCGCGAAATGCTTCTATATACCTTAGCGCTTGGTTGCTGGCTAAATCTGGCACGGTACACTTGTTAGCTTCTATCAGTGACATCGTTGAAATTTTGCTGAGTCGAAAATAAAACTTCTCGTTTGGCATGGAGAGCAAAGAAAGCAATCGTGATTTACATTAGTATGAAAAATCTTGTAAATTAGATGGAGCTTGTTTAATATTAAACCTTGTTCTAAGTTTTTTTAGATTATCTGGTCATAATGTCTTCTTTATCATTAACCGTTATAAAAAAAAAAGGATAATTTCAAAATCATGATCTGTTTTTGACCCATTGATATCGTCTTAAATGCCCTGCTTGGTACGGACCGACTCAGTCAACATAGACGCCACTTGCAAGACAGGCTACGAGGAAGCACTGTAAATCAGTCTTCCTACGCCAAGCGTATGAAAAGTTCAACCCTAATGAGGGCGTGATGATCGTCTAAAATGGCAGGCGAAAGGGTAGAGGTATCCGCTAGAGAAGACCTGGCAAGAACGTTCAGACACCCTTCTGCAAGGCAGAAAACAGCCTTTCTATATTGACAGCTGCCGATAGAATTAAGGTAGTTGATCACAGCTATAAAGGACAAATTTTCTATGTGAACATCTAACAAAAAAGTGTAAGAAGATTTGACCGATAACAGCATTTTTTGTTCATACGGTGCACTTAGATAAAGACGAAATCTGCCTTGCTCAGAGCAATTTAAGCTTCATGTCTAAGACGTTTGCTTGGTGTTGCGGGGCCCGTACTTACGAAAATTTTGGACCTCGGTAACTTGAGCCACTATATTAACAGTATCTTGCAGGGAGCAGGGGATCTGCCCTTAAAGAGGTTAACCCATATCCTATTATCTAGTCGGTCCTCTTTCTCTCATTTGTTGGCTAGGGTAAATCAAATTGTCTACTCTAACCCTTCTTACTTCTTCCTCTTGCCTTATCCTCACCTCGAAAAACCCTTTCGCGGTTCTTCGTCTCTTAGTCCTCTTCGAATGAAGAATGCTCCTTGCAGGGACAAACTCCGACAGTTTTCTCGTGGTATCTCCGTGTGTTTCTTTGGTGTACCACCGAGCTCTGATGCACCATACATTTGCTAGGAGATCTGTGCTTTTTGCCATAAGTGCCAATGCTGTTGTTTAAGGAAACATCTTGAATATATTATTGTGAATGTGAGTTCGGTCACAAAACTATAAGCAGTAATTTATAATAAAACTGTTTAGAAAACACCTAATTTATATTTTTCAATGATATCTAGCAGTGAGGAGATACCCTGTGTTCAGACATTGAATCGCCCGGCAAGGGTCACCCCCCAGTGTATAAAAGTGAAAAAAGGGCAGACCTAGGCAACGAGCACACATTGTATTTAACTAACGTCAGCCGTAGAGTGACGGAACGCAAGGTAACCAATGCTTTTAGCTCAAACTAAAACCTCATTTTTTCTGTCGTTCAGTTTGCATATTGCGAAGCTAGCCCGGCTTCCTTTTCGAATCCGCTCTAGCTAGCTGTCAAAAAGAAAACATTTTTAATAATCTAATAGAGGTAAATGTTTCGAGTAATATACACCAATTTGAAACGATATCATAAGACTATTCAATTTGGATTGCCCGCTATGGGTTCGATCCTTGTTTCGTTGTACGGATTTGCAACGTTCCGCATTGTGGAAAACCTAGGGCAAGGGTCAGTAACTCGTTCTCTAAGCACTGGCACACTCTCAAGGTGGCCTCAAAAGGAGAAGAAAGGACACGCTGCAGGCAGCGTTCTGCTTTTTTATTTTAAAAAATTCAATGAGATACACCGTAAATAACCGTTCTAGCATTATGTTAATGTTGATGACGTGAAACTAGTAGTGCCGCTTGGTATAGTAAAACACTGCGATACTTTCAATAGGTCTGATTTTGTTATTGAGTGTCATAAATGCGCTCGTGTGAATTTATCGTCTGTTAGCGCCTCAAAACGGTTGTGGTAGTTTTGGTTAAATCGTCATTTTGTGTGTATATGTGCTGAGCATATTCATCTTTAATTAACCCGCTTATTGTTGGGTATGTGCTACTCAAGCTAATAGGCGACCTGAAACATGTTTTAGGTCGGCAGGCAACGTGTTTTAGGTTGGCGGGGAGTACAGGTAGCTGTAGAGAACTCTCGCTCATGTAGATTATGCATTGGTCGACATTTGTAAGGAGCTTAAAGGCTCATAAGTGCAGCGTAATTCGCTTAAATAGTAGAAACTGGATTTAGAAGTATCGTCCGAAAATACGTCTTTATACAAGATTAATATAGTCAAGGATGTGCCTGCTTGAACGTATATAAATCTCATACTGCTCGCAGCTGGAAACAGCGCTATACGGAATATTATCAGAATGAAAGAAAGGTGACAAAATGTTGACAAGATGTAGCCAAGTTTGAAAGTTGACAAGCGAAATTTGAGCTTGACAGCCACTTTTTGGTTGACCCATGATAGGAATGAAAAAGGGGGTTTAGGTTCGTTAATCCGCTCAATCTGACACGTACTATTAGCATGTTGAAATAAGTTATTTAGTCGAAAGCAACAAAAAGTTCCGAAACGACAAAATTTAGTTATGTTTGCGTAACGATAATTAATTGGCATGTATTTTACACTTATTATAATTATACTATATACCTACAGGTATAGTGGACGGAATGGCTGCAAATCAGACAGTGTGTTTTGCGATAATTGTCGTTTATTTGATACGATCATTTGTCTGTCCCAAACTAGGTACCGCATTCCAATAGCTTTCTTAGGTATGATACATAGTCGTCCTCGTCATTTGTTTGCTTCCTATTATTGATTCGCATATACGGTTTCAAGTTATGTTGGAAATACTGTTTACGCGTTCCTGCGAGCCCATGTTGGAAACCTACTTGCGTAAAATACACATCGTTTTTACCGCAATGCAGTATGGAATTGCACGTTAGGAACTGCATGCCTTAGCTATGGTGCGTAGATTTTCGTTTTTAATGAACATGCATACATTCGTCATCGGTGAAGCGAACTCTATTGATATATTGAAGCTGATTATAACAAAATTTAAAGATAGTAGTCAATTATCTTGAATGATAACTTAATGCCGAGGTATAGGTAATCTGGACCAGTCAGTGGTAAGGACAGAAACTAGAACGAATGTAACAAACTAATGTTACCCTAAGTATTATCAATCACCTTCGAACATCAATCTTCATGATAGTTTACAAGTTAACACGTTTGCTTCCTTAGAGACATCTGGTGTCCCTAAGAGGTTAGAGTATGGCTTGAATATGGGCAAAGACACTTTGTTTTGCCTCGGCGGATACAGGAGCTGTCTGATACAACGCTTAACGGCGGTGTCGGATGTAAAATTCGACATATTGAGGTCCTAACAGCAACTCAGAGGGAAGCCAACCTAACGCAAAACATAAATATCTACTTTAAAACAAAAATATTTGTTGTATAAAATACAACAAATATTTTTGTTTTACTTTGCACCGTTTTTATGCATTGATTCCTAAGTCTTGGGTAAACTCTCTCCTTGTATTTGCCGCAATTTTTATTTCAGCACTTTATTATGTACGATTACTACACTAATCGTGTATCTGAACGGGATTTTGAATTTCTTTGATCTTGTCCATTTTTCTTGCAGCCTTTCAAGTCTGTACAAAAAAAATGGAAACAACCCTGTTTTTTTTTTTATTAATGACCCTTTGTACCCATTTGTACCCATTAAGTCTATATTTGCTTGTTGTCGGTATATCTCTGTATTTTGTCCATGTATGTGATATCTGTGATTAATTTTTTCTTGTACACATATGTATACACTATAGCTAGTACACATGAGCTTTTCACAAGAAGAACGGATAACGTACCCCAATATCGTCTCACTCGCCTTCCGTTGGCAGCTGTATATTCGCTGCAATTGATGTCTGCTAGAGGCATCTCGCTTCCCCTCAACGACGCTGCCCTGACTGCACAGATGACGCCCCGGCTCATTTTATCATCTCGAAACACAAACTCGAGCTATCTAAATCCGACGAGTTCGCGAATCAGACATCCATTAATTAGCCAAATAATTCTATCTATGCGTCTGTTATAGGTATTGATACCTGTAACCCTAAATCTTTAAACAGTAATTTTTATGCTTGTACTGCTATTTTACGTTAGTCGATAGGTGCTCCAGACTGCTCGCCGCGTCTGTGACCACTTCAATTTACGCGATTAATTGCCGCAGACGGCTGTGAACTATAACAAATTACGAACCTACGACAAATTGAATGGACGGACTATGTAGGTTGTCCTTACTAGATCCGAAACTCTTTCACGACGAACAAGAAGGTGGAGAGAATCCTGAATTGAACTAAACGTTCAGATTGAGAGGGGAACTAAAATTGGAGATTCAGATAAACTTGAACGTTTGATTCGTCGAAGTGGGTGCTTCGTGTTGAAAAAGAAGCGAGCAAATGAATATGCTTTTCGCTTTATGTAAATGAATCTACTACTACCTGACCCTCAGAGTTATTATCCCCAGTATACGTTTTATATTCGCTCGTTTATAAAAGATCTGTGGTGGTAGAAAAAATTTATAAAAAAAACGCGGTGAAGGTTGTTAATTGAAATCCCCTCTCCTGATACTTCAAAGCGTTGAGAGGAGATAATATATAGGAGTGGTAAGTCAATTACGGTTTTTTAAGCGACCTTTGTCCATACTACAGAGTCGAAGCATCTGTTCTCATCTAGGCTAGTTTCAGACGAAAATAATGAACCTTGGAACATAATATTTGAGTATATTTCAGTGTCTCGATTTTATTACTCAGATTCTAAATTCCCATGTCGTATTGTCTTCTGGTGAGGAAATAACGATCATGAAGGTAAATATTTAATTCGCAACTACCCGTCCTCTGCTGGTTCCTTTAAAGGAAAAGATGTGAGTGAGGCCTTTGCTAGAAGCAAACGAACACTAAGCAGCTCAATCCGAGTGTAGGTGCGCTTTGATGACCTGGTGTAGATTTTGGTAGTTCCATGGATGGTCATTTTCGGCCAAGGCATTAACCGCCTCCAGGCAACGAACTAGAAGGCCAGCCTCGATGTTCATTCCAGCCTGAAAAAGCAAGGAAATCATTGCAATGTATGGTCAAGACATACATAAAGCGCCATGGTTTAGCAACTAATCAAGCAGCAGTTAAATGTTTTTGCGATATTTTGACAAAAGCAAATAGTTGTTACCATAAAAGACGGGCGTCTGAGATTCGTCACTTATGTAGTCACAAAACTTATGTAGGACTTTTGTAAAAGTCCTACATAAGTTTTGCATAGGGAAGTTTTTTTTTACATTTATATGTATTTACATATGAATAGGGAAATTTAACATGAATACACGATGCGTCGATTCCATCTTCTAATATCATTTTCACTACAAAAACCTCGTAACCGTAGTGACGTGCTAAAGCCTACAGACATTATTTTTCAGACGCTAACGGCGTGCTGGTTTCCTCCACACGCTGGGTTCGGCGCTCATGATCTGTAGATCTACTGTCCTTGCTATGATTATACCGCCTTCTTCAGCTAATATTCCTGTATCAGAATGATTTCACTTCTAGTTGATCTGAGGTGACTGTGCGTTCGACGAGCTGACGGCTGACCGTCTCTACCCGCTTCAGACCTCCGCCAGCACCCAACTTGGTTAGACAGCTTTACTGTTCGATGCCTCTGACGCTCCCTGTGTTTGTTTTGTGTTATGTTATTATATTCTTGTTTTTTTATTATTAATTTCTCTGTTGTTTATTGCTTCGCCACTCGCACTGCTTACTCACTCAGTGCTCATGCTTTCATAGCACGACTGGTGGATCGTTGGCAGTGCGGATTCTTCTGACGATTGACGATCTTGCTGCCATCGCTGCACAATTTTATATTATATTTCTGTCTAATTCTCTCTCTGTTCCTATCGCATACGCCAACTACTCAGTCTTGCTCTGGTGAGCCGTTGAACCATGATAGGTCTTTGAGTGAGTCGGGATGATGCACAGTTGACATAAACCTGCGATAAAACGAGTGGAAAGCCATGCTCCCTGCTTTTGCTTTTTCTTGATTCATTTCATTTACTCGTACTGCCACAGTAAAATTGCCAATAGCAATAATGCTCAAGTTGAAGGCTAGTACCTACCATAAGGAGCATTTCACTCTGGTAGAGGAAGCTGACCACTACAGGAAGCTGTTGCATGTAGAATATGATCGAACCCTATGAAGCAATAGAACGGGATCTGCCTGCCTTCTGCTATGACATTGTGCTAACGCAGGGTAACCAGAAGACGTTGTTTAACAAAAACATCGCCAACACCAAAGCCTCTTTCGTACCAAAGCTTTAACCGTGATCTGGAAATCATATCTTTTCCCTACTCTCTCTCTCCTATGCTTATTTTTGTCCTGTTGTAAAATTGGTGCCTATGTTCATCTTGTTCGCGTTGTTATCGTAGCCCAGTCGTGTGATTAGTTGTTGTTCCGTTATTATGCTGTTCGTCATTGTAGATGTCATCGCTATTTCTAAATTGATCTGCGTTGTTATTGTGTAGATGATTCTTGTAGAAACGATCTCCGCGGGCTGGTGTCATGCCCAGCTGCCGCAATAACGGCAGTCACTTGATGGCTCCGGCGGATGGGGTCATTGCTTGTCTACGAGGCGCCACTGCGTCGTCCTCTCGAAAAGCCAATATAAAACGCAGAGAAGCGATGAATAGGGGCGAAAACGAACAAAAAATATTCGTCGACTCGAGATCGGCCTGCCAGCTATTTCTTTGTTCTTCGATTATTCGGTGCGTTTATCGAACCTCGATGTAATCAAATATCCCTGCAACTACCCTTCAAGGAAGTCTGACAGGCATCGTTCTCTTTCTCAATGAACTACTACTCCCCGTCCTGCTGCTACGTCAATTGCCGCTAGTGCCATTATGTGGTTTCTGTGGCTGCGGCTGTTTGTGGGTCAGGGAAACAGATTTACTTGGAGGGTTCGAAAAGAGACAAATATGAGCGCAGAACATTATAAAGGGTACGCCGAGATCAGTGGTAGAGAGAGAGGGAGAGAGAGAGAGAGAAGAGGAGATCGTCGGCGGCCATCATCGTCGGGGCTTTGGCTCTCGGCAGAAGGCGTAGGAATAGGGGCCGAAAATAACGCCGACACCGCTGCAAAGCAGCGCAAAAAAACAATAACAGAAAAAGCCGTCGTCATTTGTTGTTGATATCGGAATAGAATCAGAGTGGCGCTTATAGGATAGCGTTCACGGGAGGAAAGGCGCTTCATAAAAACAGATGAACGTTGCGTGAAAAAGCAAGCTACTATACAGTGCATGAACAGCTTTTGATGAATGGGTTCAGGTCATGTTATTTTAGATCTGATGATAGTTCAAACGTTAGTCTTTTCTAAGGGCTAAGTCCTTAAGGCGCCGATATTCCCCTCTAATAAAGTCTGCCGTATGATAAATCATAGGGATCCGTTTGCAATAGCAGTGAAATAATGTTCACACTGGTTAAGCAAAACTGCACAGTGAGAGCTGAAATCAAAAAGTTAAATTACTAGAAAAAAATTAGAAGGTCTTATCAGAAAATCGCATGTTTGTTAGTCCAGTGGCTTATGTAGCCTACGATGAAAGCAATATCTAAGTGCTACAACGAGCATCTGACATTTGCTACCACGTAACTGTAAAAAAGTTTAGAAAGGACAAAGCCATTCTGCAATATAACCTGGTGCAGAATGGCGAAGACGCAATCAAATCAGTGACAAGCGCTTATTTTAAAGTTAACGGCACGTGTTCGATGCCGTACTTACCGCCGAAACGATCTTTTTCTCTATAGTACGCGCGTCCCCTTCGGCCTCCAACGATGATCGCATACTGGCAAAGAATTATCCGCATGGCAAAATAGGATATTGCTAAAAATATATTAGTAGTTAAAACTGCAATATCATTACTATATAACTAACTCTAAGTTATTACCATATAGCGTGTACAATGTATGCGAAACACACTGTAACTTATGCTACAGTACTTTACAGCCCTCAAGCGTACCGGAAGATTACTTTAGATCTATCAATAAACGAAACCCATATTTGGCCCGGTGCTTTATGATTACATTTACACAGAAAAGTAATATAATCCTATATTTTCTTGGGCTCGGTAAAACTCAAAAAAGCATTTAGAGGAGAACCTTTTAGGGCTTGGTCAGAGATTGTCCTCGAGGCCGGAACGAAGTAGAATTTATCGGCATTACATAGTGTCAGATTAGGGCATTTACGTCAAACAGGCGCCCTCTGCGGCAAGATATTAATAAGAGCAAGCCGGATCGGTTCAGCACTGACTTCTGACAGCATATAAAATATAAAACGTCTCAATATATATGAATTCGGCTCATCTTTTTTTCTGATTGTACACCACCATTGGTCGAGTCAGGCCATCGAGCACAATTGAGAACAAGTATCGTTATATTTAAATCTATAAAGCGGGTGCTCGATGAAACCGATTTCGTTCACTCAGCACCTACTTATAGATCGTTGATAGTTAGATATGACAATCCGAGGTTCCTGTCTGCGTAAGGAATAAGGGTCGCAACACGCGAAAGAGCCATTCATCTGTAAAACGCATAAAACTGGCCATAAAGACTAATAAAATTAAAAAAAAAAAAATAGAAAAATGAACACTCAAATCAATAGTATTTTGCGCATGGTGAGTATCCTCCGAGCGTGATTACAACGTTGGCTTCACCTGCTGAGCTTCTTCACCCAGACGACATGGCATCATAAAGCAACGTTACTCATTGCTTGGGATTACTGAACCAGTTCACATTAAATATAATTACCCGGGCTCTAATAAAATCGTCATTGGATTATCTTTAATATTTGTACTGAACTTTGGTCATGCTCATCGATCAAAGTTAATGAAGATATTGATAATTAACGTATTGACTCACAAATGACATATCGAAATTGACGGGGCATCGGCAACCTGCTTTGCTAAAAAGTCACTCTGGATTTCACTCAAGTCGGGTATGTACTCCATCGTTGATTGTTGAACAGATTTCGCAGAAATCCTACGACAAATGGCGGTCCTGTAAAATAACAATTTGAACAATATATTTATATATGTGTACTTCGCTGTCTGAGTGTGTCCTACAAGTGGGAACTGTAATTTGGCTGAAAAGGACGCAAGTTCTAATAAGTAAAATAAGACACTTGTATAGAATAGAAACTATTTTTATTTTCTAACTCGTTATAGTTTTATTAGCTTCTTCCATGCCAGGACATAAACCGCGTTGCGTTTAGTGCTAAAATTGCATCTCACTACATTTATTTTTTTCAAATGCTCCTATTTAAGGTTGCGTGCTATAACGGCCAACGGTTTTTGTCCTGCTAAGTATGCAGGAGTGTTAAGAGTACATGTTTGCTCCCAACATATCTCCCTTCTCTTTTCAGACACTAGCTGTATAAGACGCGCATTCCCCATTATATGTTATTTATAGTTCCTTCCAAGCTCCAGCCAGATTTCGAAGAGTTTATACATTGTACTCTTCGGTTCTGTCCCAAATTTTGCTACTGTATCTGCCTTGAGGTATGTCAAAATACCGGAATCTACTATTGAATTACCGGTCCTTGACTGAGCTTCGAACACACAAAGCGTGCCGGAACCATTTGGGTACTTTGTGTCTGCTGAGAAATCCATGGCAAGGATGGCAAGCAAAGTTATCACCAAGCTATTGAGCACATAGATCTTATTCTGGTTCGGTCTCAAATCGCTTCGCAGAAGAGTGGTTCAGGTTCGGTTAGAATTTGTGTGACAATAGATATCTCATAGTGCCAATTTCTATAGTTATCTCGAAACTGCTGTTCAAGCGAAGTACTCGCCTTTTTCTGTGGCACTTTCTGTAGCACTTCGCTACCATCATTAGTAAAGTAAATATATTTTCCTCAAATCTTCTAGAATATTGCATAGCCCTTTTTCAGCATGGGTTTTACTTAATGCGGGGGTAATTGCCTTCTCTCCAAACGACTGAAATGATCGAGCTGGTGCTGATTTTTTCGGCGTTACTTCACGAAGGCCCTCCACGCTGTGAAGATTTCCAGCGAATATGTCAATGTCTAGTGCGAGGTTACTTCTTGACGTGGAAGCCCCTGAAAGACGTTGCTTACTTAAAACCCATAACTGCACGATGTTGTATTTAGTTCTGCTTGCTTTGACGAGCAGCTTTGAAGGCAGAATTTGCCTCCGCATTTTCGCACGAAGCTACGTTGTCGGCTTCGTTATGCCATAAGTGTCCAGCTGCATCATATTTCAGGGCATCGATAATGCACACAGCTGTGCCTGGCGAATGTAGCAGGAACCGGCGGATACCGCAGGGCATTGCATTTGCATTTATGAGTATGCATCCGATTTACTCGATCACTTATCACTTCAAATTTCTAAATATTCTTATAGTTGCCTCGTAGATTTATTCAAAGAAATCTAGCTTATTTATTCTGTGCTATATCATTAACTTCTGTCTTTTTTGCATTTGGTTGTCTGCGGCCGTTGTTAAGAGCAGCTCAACCAAGATCCTGCCACGAGACAATCGGCAGCTTCCAAGTTCCATGCAATTCACTGATTGGCCGATGAATACATGAAGCTACTACAGCTATCAGCAGCTTTTTCAGAAGCATTAGTTACAACACTGTTTCAACATGAAATATTATCACACTGACTATTCTCTTTGCTTTTTATGGAAGTTTTTAGCTTGTAGGCTATCCAGTTCGTACTGACTAAATCGTTTCGATAGGTGCAGCCATCTTCAGCTTTGGGGAGCGTTCATTTTGTCGGCGGCTATTTAAGTTTCGTTTGTCATCATCACAATCTGTGTCCAGATAGATAGATCTCTTTCAAAGTTTTGCCGACGGCGAGGCTCGTAGACACTAGCGTATACATGGATAAAACGCTTCAACTTCATTTGCACTACTAAGAGGAACCTACATGTTCGCCCACTCTCTCTCTCTCTCTCTCTCTCTCCGTCCCTCCCTGTTTATTGACATTCTGTTATTATATACAGTTAATTATATTAGCGCATATCTGAGGGTTTGTTAAGTGTGCCGCACCCGTGGCCACAGTACGCTCATCAAGACAGAATGGATCACCTAAAACACTTGAGACATCCGTAAACTTTCTTTTATTCCCGTTTACTATAATATGCTAATTTTTTCCCGCTTCACTTACGAAATTCTCCGTCTGAACGGGGCCAGTTTTCTTTTTTAGTCATGCTTTAGATATCGCAGACACTGTCTATTGTTAAATTTAAAAAAAAAATCGTTAAATAAGAAAAAACATTAAAATGAGCGAAAAATATCTTTCCACGCTCTACCGTCCCATCCATCACGGAGTCCTTTCTATAGAGTTCTCTATAGAGTCCGTTTCTGGACTCTATTCGGCGCTTCGAACTGCAGTAATTTCTGGGTCGTGAAATATCCCAGCTGTTTCAGCTGCAGTAAATCGGAAGTGTGCCCCGGATTTTAGCCTTATAAAAAAAAATTAACTCTTCAGGTGCGCGTGGTAACACAAGGGTAAATCTCGAAAGTTCTCAATTATTTTGTTTCTTTCTTGCATTTCTATTATGTTTATCTAGTTGATCTGAGCTGGGTAGCTGATATTAGCTTCGTTATCAAATAAACTCTTTTTTTCGTTTACTACAGATACCTGTGCGTGTGGAACCATGTAGACTTCAAATAGTGCACAAAGGCCTACGAAGCGCCCTAATCTATGCTTACACACACAAGGAAGAACAACTTGTCAAATAAATGTGGTATGATGATGATGATTAATGAATTATGAATCATATGCAGAGTAAGTTTTCATAAGAAGTTCACAAAATATTCTGGTTACGGTTCATGTATATCTAGCAATAGTCATGTAGTACATATTTAGCTAGACAATCAATGCGAGAGAAATACAGCGTAAATAACAACCAGATGACACATAGAAATATAACGACTGAACAAAACGAACCAGATGCACCGTTTCTACATTGTGTCTGATGTTTGTAATAACTTCACTAAGCATAGTGCGAAAAACATAAGTTATAATAGGCGTTGGTTTAAAATTCACTGCGCGTTGGTATTTCTCCGACTCGCGACTAGAGGAGGATGGGATCTTCCCTATCGTATAGATTCCGCTCATAGATAGAAATATAAAACAGGCTACGCGAGCTAAAAGACATCTCGTCCACATGTAGCTCTGGATAATTTTTGGACAGTGGGTGGGATATGAGTATCTTAAGTAAATACATCCTATAATCAAATCAATCGAACTACTAACCTGTGTCTCGCTAGTCGACAGCAGAGTGTTATGAGTAATTCCGAGACCTTGTACAGACTTTGAGGAGCGTGGTCACCATGGCAACCATACGATGCCTAACAGAGTTACACGAATGGCAGTCACGGACAGAAATGACCAGCGCTCGCAAACAATGAAGAATTAATACTAAGCGGATTAGTTTACACTCATTGAAAACAGTGTTGTTTTTTGCGACTAGCGGAAAAAAGCGGCACAGGAAATTGTTCAGGTCTAAAAAGCTCAAATCATGTATTTTATGTTTATTGACTCAAATTCAAATTAAAATAAACTATAGTACCTTCATGCAATGTACTTCATGTATATATTACCTCTTTTTTCACTATGTAATTAAGAGGCCCGTTTTCCCTTTTAGAAACGTTATTCGATAATATCCTGTAGTATCTTAGTTAAAACAAAGGGTTGTGTTCTAATCCACCAGAGACATGCGTGGTACCACCAAACACCTCACAACTTCAAACACCTCCAGGTGTAGATCAAGCCGCGTCATTGATGACTCAATCGCATTTATGGGAAGAAATCAAAATTAAGCCCGCAATAGGGCTCTATAACTTGGTAAGTTTCCGCACGGAACGTGTGAAAGTAAAAAAATACGTTTGTTTATGTAAGGTTTTGAACGTGTGGATTTTTCACAAGCGATATTTGATATTCAGGTCGTTTCGGGTGTTTCCGTGCTATACACACATTTAGCACTATAGACGTCTAAACTTAATAGTTACACTGTTATACAGTAATTTTATAAAAAGACAGATGGACGAAGAGTTGACGTCTAGTTTACGCGATAACCTTTTAAAGATCAAATACAAAGCCTCATGCGCAAATGAAAAGGGAATCTAAAAAGAAAATATTTGCTGTTCACTCTTTTGCCCCGTTACGTTTGAGAGGATTCTAGTTGTCAGTTCGTTCCCACATGTTCGATCTGGATTTCTGACATATAGATTGACGCCAACGAGTGAATAGCTCTCACAGCAGACCGCTTCACCATTCTGCAATCCTCTAGGCGCTGTTCTCTGACGCGGCAAAATATTTCCATTTGGTAGAAATTTTTTTTTCGTTTCTGTTGTCTTCCAATGGAACGACGTAGATAAAACCTTTACAGTTTCCACTACTGAAACCGACTGACCGCCATTTTTTGCTTGTCCTCGTTTTCCAGCTGTTACAATGCCTGTCACACTGATCGCTATGTGACGTTTCAATTCCCGGTTATACGCGTGGTTCAAGGCGTCCCTGTAGGTGTTTCCATTTGTGTGAATTTACTAGAGAAGGCGCAGAGGGGATCAAGGCGTTCAGACGTGAAAAGCTGCTTACGTCTGTCATTGACGAAGCTAAAACCGGAAAAACGCCAGTGGCGGCACGTCAATTCGGACAGGACTACACCTAGTGACCACAGCGTGGTCCTACAGAAAAATGAACGGAGGGGTTGGCCCTCGTTCTTAATGTCTTTCGGGCATCGTCCGCCAGAGCGCGTTAACGGCCTACGGCGCTAGGCGCAGGCCGTTAGGTGCGTTGGACGCAGGTTGCGTGTATGCGGAGCTTGCCTCGACGGTTGGGCCTGTCCGTTGTGCTGTGCGTTTCACTGTTATCTTTATGGAAATCGTTCAGCGTCGATCGGCTGGTGGGTGCCCGAAGAGCGACCAGTGCTCAACAGCAGCAACAGGAACAAATTCGCCAACTCGAGGCACGAAGTCAGCTGCTGCGTAGAGAACTGCACGAGTGCTACGGACAGCTGCTCAACCTGCAACGCGCCAATGATAGTTCACAGGTAAAAAACTTTTATTAGTGTACAATAATGATTGCGTTATTTGAAGTCAATAAAAATATGTATGTATCGATAGCTTCCTTTATTCACGAAGCCTGGGTTTCAAAACACAAAGAATGATTGTTCCTTCAAAAAGCCTTCGGAAAATGTGGTAAAACAATTGCTTTTCCGTTTCTGAGCGTTACAAGAAAGAGTTTGTTCACTAAGGGCAATTGCATCTCTGATTCTGCCGAGTATATATCAACAGGGCGACACAAAAAGTAGCACGATGCCGCAAAGGATCTAGACCTCGTCTTCTGGGTGTCCTCACAACTTAATCATTCTCGCCCCTCATAGACATAACATCGGAGGTTAGAACGTAGCAAACTGATAGAAAAAGATACTGAAATAAGTGGATCGCTGGCGATAGCGGTCGCTGAAGATTTATTCTTCTTTAGATTGCGGCCGAAACGACGTTTGCTTACCACTGACATGTTGTCACACGTCTGCTCGCGCCGTTTCGGAAGATGCCGATATCGAAATCAGTGAAAAGGCCCAACTCGTTCAAAATGCTCGTAGGACAGTTATTTCTTTATCATATCCCGATATTCAAGAGATGTTACCTTCCCTCGGAAACGTCAATATATAGCGCATGGAATGATTTTATAAAAAAAACAATTGTTTGCCGTTTCTCATTTAAATTTGATCGCCCTGCATCAGGTCTTATACACGTATTCGTTTGCAACGTTCGATTGCTTTGTGTGGACGGTAGACGGAACTGTAACGGATGTAATTACTTGAACATTGATTTCTGTTTTACAGTCATCTGCGGCGCGTGCGCTTAAGTGTCAAGTTATTCATGTGTCCATTGTCAGTGCCGGCTATAAGTCGACGCGGTCCCTCGTAACGTTAATTAAGAGCGTACTCTTCTACCGCAAGAATCCATTACATCTGCATCTTGTTACGGATAGCGTGGCGCACAATATTTTATCGATTCTCTTTAGCACCTGGGAAATTCCGCAGGTAAACAACCGGAAATTCGCATTAGGATAGTGTACTGACCCTATCTGACGGCAGTTTTTCGTTCTGGAATTATTCGAAAATAAAGTTAAGCATAATAATAAATTGAAGCGAGATTGAACCAAACATTACCATTGATATGTTTTGTCGTCTGCTACAATGGCTTGGCTCTATTAGGTGGAGTACTCGTTTTACCTGACCGACAAGTTGGCAAAGGATGTCAACTGGATACCCAATAAACACTACTCCGGAATATATGGGCTTATGAAGCTCGTACTAACAAAAGCTTTACCGCAGTCACTTGCCAAGACTATCGTTCTTGATACCGACGTCACGTTTGCCTGCGATATCGCCCAGCTGTGGCGACTTTTCGACTCCTTTGGGCCTAAGCATGCCATTGCCCTTGTTGAGAACCAAAGCGATTGGTATCTCGGTAAGTTAATAGAACATACACGATGTTGTGAACGAACAATCTAATCTCAACCTTCTCGTGGCGAAATAATATACTGCGTCAATAAGACATAATAATACGTTTGTCGCAGATTTGAGAAAGCTCAACGTCAAAGATCGTGCTTGCATATGCCTTGTATCAGAAATTAGATGTTATACACAGGGCCCCATCTAATATGTTCCCACAGGTAAATTATGGAAACATCACAAACCATGGCCGGCTTTGGGTCGGGGCTTCAATACCGGCGTTATACTTCTTCATCTCGGAAAGTTGCGATCTCTGGGGTGGGACGATCTTTGGCGCCACGTAGCCGAACGGGAGCTTAGCTCCATGTACTTCACCTCGCTTGCCGATCAAGATATCTTCAATGCAGTAATTAACTCGTACCCCACGATGCTACTTCAACTGCCTTGCCAATGGAATGTTCAACTAGGCGATAACACCCTGTCGGAATTCTGTTACTCGGAGGTTGAAGATCTAAAAGTGATCCACTGGAATTCTCCAAAGAAGCTACGTGTAAAAAATAAGCACGTGCAATATTTTCGGTGAGTTTTGGCTCGATGGAGGAAGTTCGTCTGCAAAAGCAGTGCCTGTAATTTGTAATTCCGGAGGTAATTTATCGAAGCAATAGTTATACTGAGTCTTGTAGCAAATTATAGAAATAAATTCTAAATACTTAACACAAAATTCTAGATTTTTATTTTGCAATAGGGAAATTATGACATGCCTACTTGTGTTCTCGCGCGGATCTATCTGTAGGAACATGTATCTGACATTTTTGGAGTACGACGGCAATTTGCTACGCAGAGAGCTAATTTCTTGCAACCGAAGCTCGACTTTGGAGGGGGTCATGGCCCCGTCATCGCGAGATCAACTACAAGGGCTGGACGAAGATGATCCATGTTATGAATTCCGCCGAGGCAATATTACCAGATACAGAACACATCTATATTATATGGAATTTGATTATGAATCCACGCAAGGTTTGTGATGTTATTAGTGGAAAAGGGTCCACGACGGAGTTGTGTAGTGAAGTAAAGTTACACAATTTATATATATAGGTATATAGGTGTAAGACGCATACGGTAACTTAAAATTTATTGCATATATAATTGCTTTTTGTGGACATGTTCGCAACAAAAAGGCACCATATGCATTTTTTGTTTTTATCTCACTGTGAGCCTGGTTGGCCAGATTGGTAAACACATAAATAGCATTTTCGCTTTGCTCTCGTAGTCCAATAAAGGACACATTATCGTACACGTAAAGTTCTGCAATGGCTGCAGGCCAGTGAGATTTACCACAAGCTACTAAATCTTCTTTTAATAGGTTGGTCGAAGAAACAGACAAGTGCCGGGCTCTCAAATGTCGGTTCCGAACTTGGATCGTGTCGTTCTCCATACTAATGCATAGCTGTTTGAAATGAACTAATTAAGTGGGCAGACGATCATTGTTATCGTCAGGGAAGAGTGAACGACTCGTCTGCCACTTTAATGTTTGTTTGCTCTTCTACTGGTTAGCCCGTTTGCTGCCGTGTTGGCTGCTTCGCGATCACTTATAAGCATATTGTCAAGAGAGCGTATCTGGCACATGGAAACTGATGCGGAATTTGTTCATAAAGCAGCTTATTATATCTGTACACTTATATAGAATAAATCTCATTAGAGATTGGTCCAAGGCATCCTAAGGACCATTCGCGTCTTACATTCACGAATGAGAGGCCTCACACCTCCAGCGTCCTGTTTAAAGACTTTCGTGTGTACCTGCTCGAATGCAGGACAAACAGATCGACGGCCGATCTGAACCTTCATATTTTCGAAGATTGGCAGTTGCGTCTACCAAAGCTGGGCCCATGCCTCTTCGACCTCTGCTGTCGGACAACACTTACTAGGCCGAAATCATTTTTCATCAATGCCTCCGTACGCTTAAGAGAAATGACATAATCGACAGTTGTTTGTAATGCAGGCTTGTCTAGTAATCCTAACGAATTATTTCTGAAGAACTTTTTTCCTTTTTTTTCTGAAGAACTATTCCAGCTGTTCAGTCTCCTGCGGTGAAAGACATCGAACAAATTTCTTTGTGAGGTCTCTGACGCATCTGCTTTCTCGGTGCCCAAATTATGCCATTTCAAGGGCTGCATCACTGAAATGTTTGCACACCTGCCGCATTATATGGCTGGTAACTGCTACCGCCTCTTGACCGGACGTTCGTTTATGTGCAGAAATTTCTTGGGTGTTTTCTCGTCGAATACTAACGATGACCAGTTGTAGCATAGACGGGCGACTGATGCGTTCACGCTTCGATTCAGCTTGCTTAGGCTGTTTAGTTTGTTACAATAACTGGAACAAGATCAACTTTGTCCCGCTAGTAAGTCGAAACGGAACGACCGATAGTAACGATAATTATAGGGCGTGTAAGAGAGCTATAAGCGGCATTTCGCGAAGAATAAATCACTCAATATCCATTTTGTTAAATGCTCACAGACGACGTTACCTTAGTCACCCAGCTGTCGATGGACCGCCTACAGATGGTGGAAGCGTTATGCAAGCATTGGCCAGGACCCATATCCTTAGCTCTGTACCTGTCGGATTCTGAGGTACAGCAATTTCTTGCCTTTACGCTCAATTCCGAGGTGCTCTCCAAGCGACGAAATATCGGGTACGTTCGTGTCGTAACAATATATTGAAGTCTCCAGGATTACAACTATACGAAGTCAGGGTCCCTTAGCGTTTCAAGGAGAATCTACCATTATGACGGATACAGTTCTAAGGAAACTGCTTGAATAATCGATATATAACGTTATGTGTGTATTTGCGTTTCCTTCTGCCACAATCTATAGGTACCACATCGTATACCGCGATGGTCCATTGTATCCAGTTAACCAATTGCGCAATGTAGCCCTCGAACAGGCTCGATCACCATTTGTATTCCTGACAGATATCGATTTCCTGCCCGTCGTAGGTCTTTACGAGACGCTACGAAACTACATTCGTCTGCTACGAATGGACACTCCACGAGACCAGCAAATGGAATCCATCCAACAACAACCGCCAAATCGGGCGCTAGTTGTTCCAGCCTTTGAGACGCATAGGTAAGAAGGCCCACCTTCGAAAACAGTTCGTAGCGAAAGAACGTATTTCACATAAGGATAGTTGTTTTGAAGCGTTGTTTCCGCCAAAGCCAAACTACAGTTAGACTTGTGTCCTGCTAATCAACACGTGACAGTTCGATTATGAAGATTAGACGAAAATTGTTTAACGAAAATGGAGCGCTCGTATGTAGTTTTTAGTTTTATGGAATTAATCGAAATGGCTGTCTGCATATTGTTACTTAGAGTCTCAAGCTTTTTTTCGTCTGCAGAATTAGGTTACATGAGGCTGTTGCGAGCGAATCCGACAGGCCTTTTTACTTCGATAAGTCTTGAACTAGCTGGGCTAAAACCAGTTGCCCTATAAAACCCCGAAATAGCACTCGAGTTAGATCAGAAGAACAAGCTCGGCCCAATCCAAGAAGTAACTAAGGCATGGTGATGAGGTGTGCTACATGCGGGCTTTTTTTTGAGTAAAGCTCTGCAAATCGCTGGCGAGATGCAGCAATTTTTAACTGTTCAAGGGGGACGTATGCCTTCAATTAGTTTCTGAATTTGGCCTATAATACTGCAACACAGTACATGTGTAATGCCAGTTTTGACCAACGGAGCCCTTAAATTCGAAAGCGAATTCTACGATAATAGCAATGTGTTCATATTAACACTGCAGTTTTCGTGCTCGAAACATTGGCACCATTCACGTATCGTGCTCTCGCTTAAGGCCTCTTTGCCTGATGCTTTCACGGGTCTTCATAAGCGTTGTGACCTTCGAAGATCAAGAACTTCCCCATTGAACGCTGATTTTCGAGCTCAAAAGATGGTTTTCGTTCTAAACTTATTTATCTTAGAACAAACTCAGTTCGGCTGTTATAGATGAATATCGTATTAAGTCATTTAAGTCAAAAGGCAATTAGTAGGCTAGTAATTCGGAATTACAAATTTTAGTTAATAAATGAAATATTATAGCTAAAGTAGTAAATTTATTTATTCAATTAAGTACGACAAGTGAGAGAATTCTTCTGAGAATTGTGTATACAAATATTGTCTATTACATATATCAGATATTATATATCTTACTATTACTCAGAGATTTTTACGAGACTGGGATATTGATCAGTCCGATTCCGTCTAGTAGACGCGCGCAGTTCAAATATTATTTCGTTTAAAAACATGCCAGATTGGCCTGTAATAACCTGATATTATAAATTGTTTCTAGAGCTGATTTAACTAGGAACGTCTGGCAGTAGAAAATGTTCACTTGTATTGTTATTTCGCAGTAAAAACAATAATAATTGCCGTTCGTTTTGTTCAACTTAGGTACCGCGTCGAATTTCCACATAGTAAGGCCGAGCTGCTAAAAATGCTAGACGAAGGTCACGTATTCACGTTTCGGCATGATGTGTGGTGTGCGGGTCACGCCGCTACAGACTTCGCCAAGTGGAAAACGGCCACGACGCCCTACGAGGTTGGATGGCAACCGCATTTCGAGCCGTATGTTGTGGTTCGAAAGGATGTTATCAGGTTTGACACCCGTTTCCTCGGGTTTGGCTGGAATAAGGTAAGGCAGAACAGTTTACGTTGTATTCCAATAAAAGCGATACTGTTCATTTCCTAGAACATCTGACACAATCGTCTCATTGCTACGCTTCGATGCTGTGTTTGCCACAGTGAACTAATAAGCATATATATGTATCGAAGGTTTTGTGTGGCTAATGACCAACTTCCGATAAGGTCTTTTCCTATAATCTTGAATGATGATCGGCTGACGTTTGTCGGGCAAACCTCAACAAAGTAACGTCCGCTATCATGCTGTGCTTGTGTGCTTTGCCGTTACAGGTGTCGCACGCGATGGAGCTGCATGCTCAGGGTTACGTATTCACCGTTCTACCAAATGCGTTTGTCGTACACTTGCCTCACGCTCCATCGCTAGACATAGCCCGCTTCCGATCCTCCAAAAAATATCGCAGCTGTCTTAAAACCCTTAAAAACGAGTTTGTCGCACACATTAATCGCAAATACGGCAAACAGTTAACGGCCGACCCCGAGCCCGGACAGCAGATCCGATGCACGTAGTAGAACTATGAAGTAAGTTACTACTGGACGTATCAGAGGTCATTAACTGTACCGCTTAAATGTTTAGAGTTCGATCGTCCGTTGTGTCTCCGTCTGATATCAGCCACTAAACGAGTAAAGGTATAGCCAAATGAGACTGATCAATCCCGTCGCTCGTCGCTGCACAACAGCACGAAGCAACTCACGTGTCGAGCTCGCTTGCCTATTCGATGAAGGATTGAAGATGCGAACGCAGACGTCGTATCTTTGCCGCTTCGTATTGTCTTGCCAGAGTTAGTTTACTGATGATGTCCAAATGTGCCTTCCTCGCATAAAGGAGTCGCGATGGACAAACAGACCCTTGCCCTGTATGTATATATAGACCCGTAACACTAGGGGCATGACAAATGATTTACGGCAGTAGAGAATGATTACAGCCGTTAACTCGACAGCTCAAGAACAGCCTGATGCTGTATGTTATCAGGAGTGTCGCAGAGCGAAAACAGTACGATGAGAGTGAGCAAAAAAGAGCCTGTAAGTTTCGTTTATGGTTGAAATGGAAACAGGTAGAGGAAAGACAGCACATTCCTCTTCGATTATAGAACATTACATTAATTACGTTCGGGGTGTGATGGGACCGAGACAGACGAAAGCTGACAAATCTATTTATATAGAAAATATGCCAAAGATTAATTTGTTCCTAACATTTTCCCCTAAATACAAACTGTGTGAATAACAAAATCTCAGGAAAGGTTGCGAACTTATGTGCGACGAGCTAAATAACTCGTGTAATACTTAAAGTGTTTATCGAAATAGATATTATGGGAAAGACCTATTCCAGGGATGAGCGATAAGGTACTGCCTCGTATCCAGTTAGTCTGTGGTACTTATTGATACAAGTGGATAGAGAGAAGGTTTAGGAAGGTCAGGGGATGGGGAAACGATGGGGTCGTACGTGAACATTGCACATGCACTGTTTTATATACTGTGAATGAATTTTAAAATAGCGTATGTTGGCCTGCCTAAGCCTGCTGTACATATTGTAATAACTGAGTGATATCTGTCTCATGGGGATCGTAGTTGGGAAATACAGAGAATAGAGGTAACTGAAAGCAATGGTCGTCGCGGAACTTCTGACATATAGATGCGTAAAAACTTACAAGTCGGCGGCGCATACATACTTATTTTCTCTGTGTAATATAGTCACACATGATTTGCGTGGTACAGTCCACCAATCGGTAATAATCACCTGTCGTAAAGCTCAATAATACTAAAGAAAGCAACGGAGGGAACCGACTATGTTTCAGCTGCAGGTACCACTGCTGGGCAGCATCTTCATTAGAGAAGATCACGTTCGGTTGACGAGTTCGATCGAGCTCTTGTTGAACAATGTGTCTCACTTCGAACGGTAGAACATCGATGTCCATAGCTACGTAGACATAGTCAACGCGGTAATTCTGTCGAATGTTCAAAATACTGTGAGTAACAAACACTAGTAGGAGGACCGGTTAGGACCATCTGTAATATTTCGCATTAGAAGTACATATCTATAACGATGCTAAATGTATACAGGCGAAACGAGTCGTCAAGATATCGTACGATGACAATACAGGGTCGATTTACATTGAGCGGAAATTCAAGGGTGTGAACAGACCGTGCCTCCTTTAAACGGGCACAACGACAAAGTAATTCCGTGAAATAGACGTTTTCTGGACTCTACCTGTAAAAACTTCACGGTATACTACTCCGCTGATGTTAAAGTTCGTTATTGAAATGAACTCATACTCGGAAGCAAAAATGACAACGGCAGGTCAATCGACAATAACCAGCAATGCCTTTTCAATCAAGTAATTTTATTGATTTGTTTCAAATTGATATGGATTCAGCGTTGTGCGCATACGAAAATCACACAGTAAAACATAGTATGACACAGGCGCTTAAACCGACAGCCAACACGACTGCAGTCAAATCTACGAAGTTAGTCGAAACTGGTAAACTTCTAAAGTTCCTATACGAGCAGAGCCTTGCGCGCTCCTTGAATAGTGTCTAGCGGTGGAGGTGACTCGGAAGTTCAGGGACAAGATCGGTTGGCGACGCTCTTGGCTCGCGCGGACTATGAGCAGTGAACACGGCTTCCTAGGGAACTAGCCGAATTCCGTGGCGGATTGGAAAGGGAACGCCCCTTTCCGCCACGGCACCACCCGTACATACGTGTACCCATACGTGTACATACGTACACATATGTTTAGGAGACGCAGCGTTCTTAGTTATTAGCGTCGGCGATAACTTTTGGTGAAGACCAGTTGAAGATCACGGAGTTGGCCCATATATAATATTGTTGGATATTTACAGAATATTAGAGTGAGATTAGAAACATTCACACTTCGAGACCTAATTACGTTTCACGTGCTTGATCAAAAAGATATAACGGAAGACATTGTTTCGGGATTAAGCACGAATCTATAATGGTCGAATCACTGAAAATTTGATGATCTTTCAATCCACTGTCACTCCACTGGGCACAATGTAAGGCTCATGTTAGAATTAATTAACTTATAATATTCTAAGAACAAACCCGAATTTGTCAGCACGAGTACATGCGCAGTTTTCTTATGTATTCGAAATAATTTTGCGTCGCAACCTCGTCATCAGCAGGCATTTTTTTTTCGCCATTTTAACCTAGACAAGTTGTACGAATGACGAAGTTTACTAAAAAAAAAAAATAGATAAGCTGAGAATAAATTCGTTATTTGTATAATTAAGTATATATATGCTCATGCAGCATGAAAAGTTGTTTATTTTCGCATTATATGTATCTTTTTCTACAGTAATCTGTGCTTCCGTTTCAGTTAATTATTTAGGACTATAGGACTTCAATTCGCAGTCGCCACGTGTCACAAAAACATTGTTAGGATGAATAGGGCAGCTATGGAACATCAAAACTTAATTCGAATTAGGTAAACAATAAATAAAATATATGTACTTTGAGAATAAAAGATGTCTGAAACTAAAAAGCAAACATGCCGGCACTGGCTGAACAATTGAAGAATTAGAGTACTGCATTTAAACAGTAAATTTAGGTTACGGCAGGACTGCGACCCGGTCAGCAGGACTTACGAGGCGCTGGAGCGGAACACAGGCTACCCTGAAAGTCATCATACTGTGGTGCGTAAATATGTTGATTTTAAGGACTACAGACAGGATGTCCTATGTATTATATGGTAAAGAAAATTAGAATCGAATGTTTCGGTCGAGTGAGCTGAAGACCAGTGAAAGGTGTCCATGCAATTTAAAGTCAAGGAGGCGCAGCGACTAGCCACCCTCCTAAATATATTCTTACCCTAATTTGACCAATAATGATTATTATTTTATGACACGCAATCAATGTTGTATATACGAGTAGTACTAGCAAGAAATTGAGACAAAATAATAAACATATTAATTATAGATATATGTTTCTATCTACCGTGAAGATAAATCTATAATGAATATTATACAACGACAAGCATTACATCGGTGTGTTCAATCTTCATCGTTTATTTATCGATTTTAGTAATAGTGATGTGGTCGATTATACGGTACAAACAGTCTATTTGGTTCAATGAGATACCAGTGTGAGCTGTAATAAAAAGCATCTGGATTATACAAGGCGTATAGATTTTCGATTCGGCGTATAGATTTCGAAGATTGAAGATAAACTGATATTAGATATTGTATCTGCTATCTCTGTTCAGATTGCTAGTAACGTAGCGGCAGTCAAAGGCAAATGCGGCTTGAAAAATTGTCATGGAACTTAGAATGTAGTGAACGAATTTGGCGAAACGGCACCGAACATAGCCCGTCGCTCTCAGAATAAATGATACTGAGGAAGATCTATTGTCTTCTTCCAACCCCTTGTGTCGTTCCGTGCTTTTCTTCACTTTACGTTTGCTGAACTGTTTGGCATATATAATTTTCGCTAGGACGTAGAATGAAAACGTGTTTCGACAACGACTTATTTTGGCAATGGTGTAAGCTCTTTTTTCCCGCGCAGGACTGAAAGCTCTCGAAATATTGAGATTGTTGCGAACTTGTCGGAGAAGAACGAGAAGTCCCTTGTGATAAACATATATTAGCATCTTCAGACATTAAGACAGCTAAATATTATAATTATTATTAAATGATTATTATGCCATCACACTCATAATTTCTGGCGGCTTGATAACGTACAAGTAGCTGGTACCATTTCTGGGGTACGCCGTTTGGCGTTTAACTTTACTAGTCGCGTCCTAGCCGTATGTGGTGACCGATAGAGCCGCAACAACGTCAGGGTACACTACCGCCACGAGCAGCACGAAGTAACGCGGCATCGTAGCGACGGAAGAAATGTTCTTGGAGGGAGAAAGAAAATATTCACCGAAAGAATCGTCGTTTACAAGCGATTCCCACAAACGCCTCTGAGAGATGGCTTAGCTCGATCGCGTCAATGTTGTGGTGCGCGGACCAGAATCGGTCGACGGTAATCATTTGTAATAGTAATTCACCTGTCGGTAGCGTTCAATAGCATTCACAAGGGCAGCGGCGGTTTCGGAAGCCTAACGAGAGATTTGCCGCTAGCGGGAGTAGCAATGCAAAACTCTGCTGGGTAGCAGAAGCCAGAGAAATATCTATTCATCACAAGGTCTTTGATTTCCTTTCCCCTAAGCCCCGCATCACATTCACCCCCCTAATTCGTCTCTTCGTTTCAACGTACCTCTGTTCTTCTCCGCGATCCGTTCGCTGTAGACCATCTATCGCTCATGGTAGCATGGATGATATCCAAAACAACACTAACCTACGCAACATAAAAGAGCAGCTTGAACAGAGACTGCTGCCTGCAGCCACGCTAACGATGAAATCGGCGCCGACGCCGGCAATGAGCGTACACCGCTCTCATGTTCCCGTGAGGGTGCTTATTTCAGCATATATGGTTTCATCTCTCAGTGCACCGGTGGCCGTTTCAGCCGACGAAAGAAGTCCACTAGCGACGTTCGCTCAGTTGGTGGCAACGGACCGAAGAGCCTGCATTTACGTGTACGTCGAGAAAAAAAGGCAAAATTTTCGATATTGTCCACGCACAATCTCGTAGTTGCTCACTCGATGAAGCTTCTCTGGCCGCCATCACATGTTACCCTGGACATTCACAGTTATCGACACAGGGGAATGTTCGATGCCAAAAGCATGATCGTGCACGTGCACCCCGCTGTTGTCAGGGGGCACCCTTTCATGTCTTGTTCATCAGGTTTGTGCGTGGCAATGTGGCGGCAAACGCTGAAAGAGCGACGAAAATAGACGGGATTCGTATGTTCAGATTGAGTGAGCGCGGTTAATGATTTGGGGGTAGCACAAGAAAGTACACCATGAATATGACGAATCAGGCATAACATGCTTGCCATTAAGCAGCTTCCATTTTTTTTAGTATGGCCACTAACTATTGTGGAATATATAGCGGGAGAAATTAACAAGAAACAAATTGAGAACAATAAAAATGTTGGCTTTGCTAAAAAAGAAAAAAATATTCGACGAACATTTCTGTAAATAAACCTTACATTGGCAACATTAATTGTAAAAACTACAATGAACGTTCTTGGACATTCAGCAGAGAATATTATCTTACAATATTATAATAACTGCGATCTTCTACGAAACATAAGTGCACTTATAATAGACTAAATATTCTGGACAGGTAAAGGAGAGGGGCAGATGAAAAATTCACTTAACGAGCATAGCAACGACTATGCAATAGGCCACCAGCATCATCGTTACCACCACCACCCATTTGTCGGAGCCCACTTTAATAAGCCTCGACAACATCACTGTGCCCTGATAGTTTACCGAACAAACATTCGATTCACGGGCGCCATTTTTTTTTAAACGGGTTCTGTAAGTCGTCCAACGATTTTTAGCTCTAACTGGGATCGTCGCACGCACTCAGATGCTACCTTCCATTTCACCACTTCCTTCCGGATCAGCAGCTTCACTTGTTCTAAGCGTTCGTTCTATATATATTCGTTTCGAAAAATAAACGGTTCAAAGGCGTTAACGGTCGTCGCCAACGAAGCTTAGATTGTGTCGATTATGCGCTGTTTCTATTTATTTATAATACAAACGATTAAAAGCATTTGTTCGATAATCTAAGTGGGCACTGACAAGGTTACCGCCGTAGAGAAATAATCGGAACACTCAAGCAGCTACGAGTTCACACTTGGCGCACCTGTTATCGTTCAATAACAAAATGGAAGATTACATCGATAATTTATATTTCACACTTAACAATATTTCAAATTGGTGAAAATTTAATAGAAACATAACAATGAAGTTCGATAAAAGGATAGGGTTCGTTGAAAGTTACACCGTAAAATTTTTATAGATTCATCGTTTTGTTTTATAGTTTCAAACAAAACAACTCTAGTGCTTACGCGTTACATTATTATAGCAGCACAATGGTAGATTCTGATTTTTCTTCAAAAAACTAAAATCTCTCCGTGGCCAAATAGTCCGCGGAACAATAGGGGGACCTCCCTCGAGTAAAATATCAACGAAGTTCAGCTGTTCGGTGAGAAAAGACTTTATTGAGTCAAAAAGAATGACGAAGTTTCAGTGCGCAATCTCTCTCTCCCCCTCCCTCCCTCCCTCCCTCGCCCGCTCGCTCTCGCTCTCTTTTTCTGAGCTGGTGGCATTTCGAAGATGTGAAGATGGAAGGCATTTCGAGATAATTCGGTTCGTTCGTGCATGCTTTACATTTTCCACCACGGATCATTTTGCAATGTAGTACAAACGTCTGTCTGACTGACTGACTCGTGTTATGAGTTGTTACAAGCTGAAGGTTCGGACGGATTTGGATAGATAATTTCCATTAGCGTATGACGACAGCTAGTTGCATCTATGTGCTCCCGGTAAATCGCCGTAGCGTCGTTAGACTTTACGCGACTGAAACAATAAAGCTTCTTCAAACGTTCCTTGTTCCGTTTTATCCCTAGCCTTTGTTTGTTTCTGACCAGTCACTGTTCCTTAACAATATATCTAGAATAGGTTCATACGTAAGTTAATCATAAGTTGAAATCATGAAGAGAAGAATCGTATGTTAAACCAGATTATGCTATAATATAATTTCAAGGTGGTAAATTTTAACTGAGCGACATAGAAGCAGAAACTCTTTTTGACATAGTTTTTTTTTTTTTTTTTTTTTTTTTTCTAGTAATTCCTGTACGAGGTTAGATTGGAACGTAGCATTTCTTGTTTTGACGATTAATCGACGATGTCTAGACGACGATGTCTAGTTGTGGTAAAGAAACGATCTATACTGTTCTACGGCTTTTTGCTAACAATTGATCGAACAATGTCTATATCTAGTGTGAGATATATTTGGATTTCACGTAACCTCACAAGCAACTACTACACAGTACGAGCTTTCTGTATAGTGCTTTATATGAGCATCGACATGCTCCAAAATGTCGGTATCGTCGCATTATCTAGCTGCTTCCGTAGACAGCCAAAGCACAAAGTCATAATGCTGCACGGGCAAATAGCAAACTGAATTTGGGCCTTATTCAGCCTCCCGTCTATATTCTTCTGCACTGCGTACGAACTACAAAGGTGTGCTGTTAGGTTTGCAATAGCGTTCGGCCTTAAACAGTGTTCAACGAGCGGTGAAGCGGCCTTCAGCATCGAGTAACGTTATCCGTTCTCTGCTTACTCTACCTAGAT